ACATGGCTTTTATTTTCCCCAATAGTTGGGATGATGATCCAATCTGACGAACTCATATTTTTCAGGGGGGTTGAAACCACCAATTATATACCCTTTGGTTATGACTAGCATAGCCATAGAAGTCATGGCCCATAGAAATAGATGGTTTATCTATTAAAAATTGGTTATGACTAACATAGAAAAACTATTACCATCTGGTTATGACTGTTGGGATTTAATGGTGATTTATGGGGATTTATAGGGGACATAATGGGACATATACCCTCTGGTTATGACCAACAGTTTGCCATGGAAAATCACCACTTCTAATCGGTAAACCATCTATTTCTATGGGCCATTTCCCATGGCGAACTGTTAAATAGGCACGGGGTATATAATTTTCTTAGGTCACGTATAGATTGATATCAAACAAAAGGGTCATAGGTCATAAGTCACATATATATATATATATATCTATATATCTATATATATATATATATATCTCTATCTATCTATCTATCTATCGATCTATCTATCTATCTATCTATCTATCGATCTATCTATCTATCTATCTATCGATCTATCTATCTATCTATCGATCTATCTATCTATCTACCTATCTATATATCACATATTAGATGAATATAGCCCAATAGGAAGTTAGCAGTTGTATGAACCAGATATGAAGCACAGCATTTCGCCAGGATCTCCTTCCTCCAACCCAGCTCCACGTTGGAGGAGGATGTGGCCACCTGGGAGGTGCCGGGATTCTGCGAAAATCATGGGATTTATATGGATTTATGGGGACTTTATGAGAAGTTGATGCGGATTTTATGGGGGTTTATAGGGTTTATGGGGAATTAGATGGATTTATTGGGATGATATAACAGATTTATTGGATTTAAGTGATTTAAGCCTGAAATTCATGAGGATTGAGAGGTGATTTCAGGGGGAAACTTCTGGAGTTTTCCACCTGGAGAAATGTGGTAAACCGTGATAAACCCAAAAGTAAAACCAGCAGTTTGGGGATGTCTTGTACCACAGATTTCTGCCAAAGTCAGGGATTGTTTCTTGGGATTACCCCATAGATGGATTGGTGGAAAACCCCTGTGTTTGTGACAAGATAGGTGGATCTGGGCGCTTCAGTCATTGTATTTGTTATGGTTCCCCTACATTATCGTGCCTTGGAGATGAAAAAACCTGGCAATGGACATGGCAATGGACAGACATATCTTTGAATGGGCGAGTTTTCAGTGCCATGTTTGATTGTCGGAGTGGGTAGGGATCAAATCCATTCGAACCAGTAATCAGTACTTGATTTTTCTCATCAAAAAATAAAGACAGAGAGAGAGAGAGATAGCTGGATGGTCATGAGTCATGCCCCAATTCATAGAAGAAAATCATGGGTATCGCCTCCATCCCCTACTTTCATGTGGTTTCGTCAGTGTTGGAAGTCTAGGATGTTCTTCTGGCTTTGGTTTGACCAGATGAGACAGGTTGACTTTTTGTCGGCCTCCTTGAGTCAATTGAGCCTGAAAAGTTGTGATTTTGTGTCACTGGGCTAAGTATGTTGTTAGTCTTGTTTTAATGGACAAGCTAAAAGGCCTGGGGAGAATCTGCAGCGAAAAAAATGGTGGTGGAACATGAAACGAAAGTCCGAAAGGTAGAACTGCTTGGTACGGACGAACCTACACATAAAAATTTGCACACACACAACCGAGGGAACCTAAACTGCCGGGCTTACTGCTTAACAAAGCTTGCTACATAGCAAAGGAACACGATCCCAAGTAAGAAATTGCTCAGAAAGTCTGTCCTGCATCCATGCATAGGGGTCCCCAAAAAGACAGATCTCTTGTTCGAGGACGTGAAAAAACATTCGCTGCAACCCTGACGTTTGCCCACCCTAAAGTTGTGGAAGGGTGAATATTTCCATACGTCTATGTAGGTAAAAATGCATGTAGATGGATCATATATATTATATATATATATATGCATATCCCATTCAATATATTGTTCAGACGGGTTAGCGGATTTGATCCCTGCAGAGGGCTAGGAGATTTGATGCCAAGTTGCAGATAAGTTGAAGGTAACATCCCAGGCAATACAATGTTCAGAGGGGTTGGCAGATTTGATCCCTTACTGCATGAAGATAAGCTGAAGTTAATAGCACATTAAATATATTGTTCAAAGGGGGTGGGGGATTTGATCCCTTGTGAAGCTAAGTGGTGGGCGAATGTCCGGGTTAGAGACAACATGTAAAGATGATGATTCCAAGTTTCCAACTTTGTCAAGTGCTTCTTCCAACGCGAGGTGCGTCGAGACCCCTCAGTGGTTTCGACCTTGGAATGGGGATTCCTAAGGGATGTTGATGAAAACGATGAAAAAATCGCGTTCGGAAGGCCCTGTTGATCCGTAAGATTGACACCGGAACCCCCGATCAATGGACCATGGGGTTTTAAAGCAATCGGTTTCCGGCGTCCGGTCAAAAAAAAACCTCAAACCAATCCAATGATATTAAGAAAAGGTGGTATGCATTATGATCCCCAATGATCAGACAAATCATGACAAACCACTGAGGTCCCTCATATTATATATAAATATAAAATTATAGCCATACAGGGAGGTACATGGGTTCAAGAGTTATAGATACATAAGATTACAAAAAGTAGAGATGAGCAACAAATTTGGAAATAGCGTAGTACTTTGCAATTTTTCATTCAGTACATCTAGATTTTAGGAGATAATACTCTTTAGAATCACAGATTGGCACCAAATCCTCTTAGATCTCAGCCCCATTGGAGTCGAACATGCCAAACACTGAGGTCGTCAGCGCCGCCTCTCCTCCCGCGCCCGGCCCGCCAGCGGGAGTGCCTGTGGTGCCTGCGCGCGCGCCTGGAGCGCCTGGCGCGCCTGGAGCGCCTGGCGCGCCTGCGCCCAAGGAAGCTCCAAAGAAGAAGGCTGGATGGAGGGATTTTGTGCTGCCCATATAACTTGGATTAAGTTGAAACAACTCCAATCACTATCAACAACTATGGTTAATGGCTTTGATTTGCTGAACTGGTATTCATGAGGTCCAAAAAAACATCTATTAGCCCACCTTGTATGGCCTTTTGATGAGTATTCACAGACAGTTAGTAAGGCTAGATAGTTTACATGTTTTCTTTGCTGTTCGTTTTAAGGATTTTAAGATTGGACCTTCCTTTTGATGGGTCAGAACATTGTCATTTGGGCAACAGGCATGAATATCATCATGCATGTGTGACCGTACATTGAAAACTGATGATGGGATGGTCATTCAACTTGTTGAACACGCCATGATTGCCCGGTTACAACTCACCAGGGTTGACTTGATCAACCCATTTTTTTCACGTTTTATGAGCCCGAACTCATCGGTCACTGAAGATAGGGTACATCAGTCATTTCATCCGCTGGTTCATCATGTTCCACCATTATATAAAAGGCTGCAACTGGGTCTACCAGACACACCCATATAACATATTGTTGGTTGTATATCCTATTCTATCACCATTTTCGTGAGTTAAAACCAAATTTTGCCTAAGTTAAATCCACGTGTTCCTTAGTTCAGTCATGTGACATCAATCAGTTCCCGCAGGTCAAATCACGTTACCCTCTGGTAATTTAACATAGCTATTGAAAATGGTGATTTATAGTGGATTTTCCCATTAAAAATTGTGATTTTCCATAGCTATGTTAGTTTACCAGAGGGTAAATTAAAATCATGTTAAAGTCCTCATTTTCCCCATATAGTTTTTTTAAGTCCAAATGTCAGACACCATGGTGGTGGTGAAGCCACCCGCTTCCGCCACCGCTCTTTGTGAGGCAGTGGAAGAGCCGGCCAGGGCGGAGCAAGGGAAAGTGCCCGCGCAGGAAATGCTGTGGAAGTGATGTCTGGATGGATAGGAAATGATAGGAACCAAATGGAACCAATGATAATTTCGACAAGAATTGGATAATGGTGATTTTTGAATGTAAGCCAACATTTTCATGGTGTCAACCTTGGATGGATGATTCCACATCTGGTTTGCAATAAGTGGGGCGCATTGACCTAACTAGCTTTAAACCATGGCCAAATACATGGCAGGCCAACTAATTGGTTGGCCATTTAAATGCTTGGGTGATGCCCCGCAATTATGCCGGTTGGTTAAACAAAAACCTTGAAGTAGTTCGAGAATGTTCAGGATATTTACCATAAAGCCAGCACTTCTTGGAGTTATGATGAGTTATGTTTGCCAACTTAGCTAACTATGTGGTTCAACCTTTTCATGCCATGAACTATCCTGCGCCAACTTTTCAGGGCATATAAACCCTTTTTCCCTGGCGATTTGAGCGCCGAACATTTGTATCATGGTATTTTAGCTGCTTATGATATCCGATTTCAATTGAGAGGAGCATCGATCCCAATATATCCCAATTAAGTGCCATGGTGTTCGATGAAACTTCACATTGAACTCTTGTTGTGCAGATGGGGTAACATGTCCTCAGTCTTCAAGAAATGCTGCTGAATTCCGGCAAATGGTCCCAGGATGTCCCAGGTCTTTTCAGAAACACTCCAAGCAGATAGGCTCCGGATTTGGACCTCATTTCGCCTTTCATTTTTTCCAGAGCCCACCAGGACCTGAAGCCCGCCTCCAAGACCAAGAAACCGGGTTCAGCCGTGGAGGTGGGTGGCTGTGAGGTAGTTCGCTTTAAAACCAAATCTGCTGAAGTTGGATCAGCTCAAGCCCTATGGACTTCGGGCAATGACTGTATTGGAACCAATTGACCATGGAATTTTGTTGTTAGTTCATTTACTTTGCGGTGTAACTAGCCTCACTTGAGTCAAGTTCATGTCAAGAAATGCTCAAATGCATCGGGGCTAAGGGGAAACGAAAATCAAAGTATCACTCGCCTCCCTGTCATTTTCCTCCATCCCCTGAGGCCGTTCCAGCCGCTCGCCCCCCCACCCGCGCCACACTGCCCCGGGGGGCCCCCGCCTCGCCCCCGCCGGATCCGCCGGAGCCGCCCCCAGAGCCGCGGCCGAAGACCGCGAAGCGCAAGGCCGCGGCCGCGCCGCCGGTGGCGCCGAAGCCGATGCCCGTGAAGCGCCCCGCGCCAGCGCCCGAGGCTATGGAGCCGCCACAGAAGGTACGGGCCGCGGCGAAGACGCAGGGGAAGAAACCCAGCAGGTCAGCAGCTGAGTGCTGGGGTGAGTTGAGTCGGGAGGATGTTTTTAGGCTTGATGTTGATATGTGGTTGGACAGACATTTATGAGGCTCTGGAAGCTCATGCCAGCTTGGAGGATCATTAGTAATTGCATGGCAAGTAGGTACAGTTAAAGCGTGCATGTTTTCTAACCAGCTTTTAGATGTGTGAATTTGCCACTTCCGAAGTGGGCGGACACTGCTGAAAACTAATATGCAACTATGTAACCCAAAAAGTGTGGTCTGAAAGATGATCTTCGGATATGACTGTTCCCATTCGAAATATGGTTTGTCGAAGAATAAACCTGCCAAAGGGGGCTGAAAGATGATTTGCCTATAGATTTCATTGATTTCCTCAGGCTGTTCCATAATGTCATCGCCCAGGATCTCCAAGCCCACGGACGAGTCGCACGCAACGTTGCAGCAAGAACTGGCCGCCGGCTATGCGGCGCTGGCGGCGGCCGCTGCGCAGGCGCAAGCGGAGGAGGCAGACGAGGCGGAGGCGGAGGCAGAGCTGGGTGGGGGTGGCCTTGGGTAAGCTGCAGAAATTTTGGGGAAATGGACATATGTTGGGCAACGGGAAATCCCGGAACTGAATGTTGGACAGGATGGGAAATTCATATCAGGCAATTTTATGTGGAAAAATCAACCGTTGGAATCCAGTGATAGCTGGTAACTATACTCAATCCAACTGGTAGCTATCATGAACTATCAGAGGAAAATTGGTAATTAGTTTCGAAGCCAATGATTGGTAATTAGTTGGAGTTTGGATGAGTGGCTGAAAAATCTGGAGGAAACTTTGGAAGATTCTGGAATCTGATTCTGCTGGACATCCGGAGTTTCGGGAGGAATTTGGAACCTTTGAACATTAATTTTAGAAATCCATCCAATCAAATCCCAGCACCAGTTCGAAATTTGAAATGCAGAGCTGGACATTGAATCAATTGCCATCACTTATTGCATCCATTGTCATTATGAATTGTGGATAATTATGGGTTCTTATGTTAGAAATCCCGATCATCAACTATCAACAACTTGGAATTTGGGTGAACATGATGGAAAATTATTGATGCGCAGTAATTAGATCTACTTGTATCTATCTATCGATCTATCTATTTGTCTATCTATCTACCGATCTCATCTTCTATTATCTTTTCTTACCTTACCTTATATTGTCTCATCTTAGCTATATTTGTTTAAATTTATCTTAAAATATCTTATTTTTTTATTTCTTACAATATTATATTGCTTAACATTGCTTATTTATCGTATCTGCCTAATATATTCTATCTAATCTATCTAATATATCTAGTCTATCTAATATGTTTAATCTATGAAACCAATCTAATTTATCTTATCTACCTTATCTACTCTATCTATCTAACTTACTTAATAAATCTATCTAATCTATCGAATCTTTCTTATTTATCTTATCTAATCTATCTTATCTATCGTCTCTATCGTTTGTATGTAATCTGTCTAATCTATCTAACCTATCTAATATGTCTAATCTACCTTATCTATCTAATCTGTGTAATCTTATCTTATCTCACCTTATCTTACTTTATCTTATCTTATCCATCCATCCGTCCATGCATCCATCCATCCATCCAGATAGATAATGTTGTATACACTTTCCCTTATCATCTTGCCGATCGCCCTATACCTCAAGAATGGCTTTATATATCTTTATATAACATATGGCAGTGCAAATAATGTTAAAGCGCACCAAAAGTCTACACAATGCCTTTAGATCAGGTTATAGTGAATTATTATTGCTATTGATTTGGAAATACAAGTTGTAGTTATATGCAGTGTGTCAATCAAAACCTTGTACCCCTGGTGAACATCAAAATAGCTGGTAAATGGATGTTCATCCCACTAAAAATGGTATTAATAGGTATTGATCCATACCCATATAAGCTCTACAATTCTACAAGGATCTTCACATCCCAACCACCAACTCCGCCTGGCACCAGGTGCCCGAGCCGCCAGCCGAGCCCGACGCTCACGCGGCTTTCCCGCCTAGCGCGCAGGTGGCCGCAGGGCTGTTTCCACCGGTCATTCAATGGCCATTTCAGGAACCTATATAAGGCCTATGTAAGGGAATATACCCAAAAATATGGCCAGAAATATGGTACAGTACCTCCATTTTAGGATCCTGGAATTCCCATTAAACATATGTTTCAATTTCGTTGTGTCCCAAGTCCGAGTCCTCCCGTTGGAATGTCCTGGTAGGTAACGATAGTTACACAGTATCATGACTATAGATAATGACATTAACCAATTAACTGCACTATGGAGCCTAGTTGCCATTATAAACTATATACTTTACTATGCATAACTCTTAGGTAATTGAGTATAATCGGGTCAATCTCGGATAGGTATAATCCTTCTTTTTCTGTCAATTGGAATTTTCACTAACCAGCTAAGCAATTTTTTGTGTATCCAATATTAGATCACGATAATTAACCAATCAACTAAGATTGTTTTTTTCAGTACTTTTAGATCATCAATCATGATTAGCTATAGACTATAGTTAGATATAGTTAGTGGCTAACCATCATTACAATGTGAGGCCCCCAAGATGGCTAAGTTGGTTTATAACTCCAATTTCACTATGGTTTATGGTACTTATAACTATAGTTACTGGGGCTTTTCTAAACCAACAAACATCACTGGGGGGCCTCACATTGTAATGATGGTTAGAATCATCAAATATCATCAACCATGATTAACTATAGACATCTATAGACTATAGTTAGATATAGTTAGTGGCTAACCATCATTCACTGGCCATCTCAGGAACCTAAATTGGAGGTACCTACCATATGTAAGGCTTATATAAGGCTTATGTAAGGGGATATACCCCCAAAATATGGTCTTATATGGTACAGTACCTCCATTTTTGGATCCTGAAATTTCCATTGAATCATTAGGTCATGATCTGCTTACCACTTCTTGCCTGCGCTTTCGGCGTTTCCCCAGGCGGCGCTGGCTGGTTACCCCGCTTGGAAATCATCGCCTCCCTGGCGCTCCACGTCTTTTGGACAAAAGAAAAGGCAGTGGCCGTTGTGGTTTTACAAAAACGGGAGAAACGGTGGGTAGTTGCTATAGTTTTATCCCAGTTTATTAGCCATAGTACTAGGGATTCACCATGTAATATTCCAGCTTTTAAACCAATAGTTGTAGGGATTCACCATATCCCAGTTTATGGATGATATGGTTTATATGGATGATATAATTCATAATGATATGGTGGTTTCCATAAATCTGGGTAAATTATAACGACCTCACTGCGACCGAAGCCTGGAAATCATGGTTAGTAAGGGGGAATCATCTCCAAATGGCCGAAGTATTCAGGTTAGTGAAATATTATAATTTACCCAGATGCCATAGTTTTATCCCAGTTTATGAACCATAGTACTAGGGATTTACCATGTTATATTCCAATTTATTAACCATAGTAATAGGGATTCACCATGTATAGTTTTATCCCAGTTTATGAACCATAGTACTAGGGATTCACCATGTTATATTCCAATTTATTAACCATAGTAATAGGGATTCACCATGTATAGTTTTATCCCAGTTTATGAACCATAGTACTAGGGATTCACCATGTTATATTCCAGTTTATTAACCATAGTAATAGGGATTCACCATGTAATATTCCAGTTTTTAAACCAATAGTTGTAGGGATTCACCATGGGGTTGGACGTGGATATATTGATTATAGGCTAAGGCGGGGTTAAATCCCAACCTATGGAGGGTTTGGCTACCATTGTTATACCCACAAAAGTAGCCACACATACCCTCTGGTAAACGTAGCTATTGAAAATTGTCATTTATAGTTGATTTACCCATTGAAAATAGTGATTTTCCATAGCTATGTTAGTTTACCAGAGGGTAGTTATCAACCCTTTCGCGCCTCAAATCCAAGGTCAATGCAAATGCCACCACCGCCAAAGTCTTCTCCGGTCGAGGATGGGTAACGGTGATTTGCCAAGTATGGACCCCCATATCTTCTCGTCAGAATCTGCATTGTTTGCTGGATACCCTACAAAGTGTGTAGAGGATCGATATTAAGTATTGACAATTTGAATTTTGTCACTATTGTTGGTGTGCTACATATTTTGTGGGATATTCTATGAAACTTGGGCCTTACATGGACTTGACAGCCTCACATAGACCTGACAAAAAACCTCATGGCACCTCCAAGCCGACAAGTTCCTATACTGCACCACTAGGACCAAGCGAAACATTAAGTATGGGAACAGTGGCGCTGCCACTATTGGCATCTCACCTTTTCTGCTGGGCGCATATGCCCTCAAAGTGCCATACAAATTGCTTTGTACGTCGAACTTGGGGCGTAAAATGCTTAAATTAAAAAATTTCAAGGGGTTAAATGTGAGAGTCCGGGCATATCCGCACACATTCCTATACTATTTTTGAAGTACGGTACATATTTGAAACACATTTAGACACCTCTTCTCTTGGTTGGTTTGGCGCCTCCAGCCGGGGCAGGCCAGCCCGGCCATGGCCGGCATGGCCAGCGCTGCCCAGGCAGCAGGGCAGGTGCTGAGTTGCTCGGCATAGGTCAACCGTTCATGGGATGGTTTTAATGGGTTTTTCAATGGGTAAAACCCATGGGAAAAACCATGGTAAAACCCATGGGAAAAAGATGTATAGTGATTCAATGGTAAAAAAAATCCACCCACTTTTAATAGGTGAATCATGGTAAATCATGGGTTTTAATGGGTAAAACCCATGGGAAAAAGATAGTCTAGTGATTCAATATGGTAAAAAATCCACCCATTTTTAATAGGTAAATCATGGTGAAGCAACTATGACTGGGCCATTTTCCCTAGCTATGTTCAATTACCAGAGGCGATTATAGTGATTGTGATTTAATGGTGATTTAGTAGTCATTCAATAGCGATTTGATGGGGATTGAATGTTTTTTTTGGGGAAAGTTAGTGGGATTTTAATATATTTTAATGGAGGTGTAATAGTGATTTTTCACGGGGCTTATATTTGGGGGGGTTGATGGGATGTAATCCCACAATTTCATATAATTTCTAGGTTCCCAGCTTTTCGTTGTGCTGGTCCCGGTACCATTTTGCCTTTTTCCGAGGTCAAATGCGTCTCATCAGACCGAAAGCTCGTGCGGGCGCTCGGAGCTTCGTCGGTGGAACCTGGTGCATGGAACTTAAGAATGTGGGTTTTGTGGGTGATCCATGATGATCCATGGTGATCCATGGTGATCCATCGTGATCCATGGTGATCCATGTTTTGTGGGAAAATCATGATCCTCTTATTCAAGGAAAAACATGGAGAGAGAGAGAGAGATAGAAAAAAAAAGTATTTTTCGGAGGTATAGAGTGCGAAAAGGATCTAAAGATGCGAAGAACGTTCAGGCGTTCAGGGGTAATTCGTGGAAGCAAAGAAGTCAGGGGTTGGAATAAAGGTAGACATTCGCACAGTTCATTCACCTCCGCATGCAGCGGAAGTGTTGAGTTTGACATGCTTGACGCTGCGCTCTGTATTTCGACTAAATTGCATGGTGCACTCGGCGGGAACCTACCGTACCATGGAGCACAGTGAGTTGCATACTCTTTGCAAGATGACTTTGCTTCTCATGTTGCCACAAAAACATACAAAAACAGGGATTCCGTGCCAGATTTTTGGAGGCGTACATACCCTCCCGCAATCTCACTTGGCAACAGAAACTCACCAATTTACAAATGAGTCCCGCTGGTATCCATTGCAGGCCGCGATTTCCCATGGTAGCCTTAGATTCCAGGATTTGGGTAATCATTCCCACATGTTATAGGTGATCTCCATGTGAGCCACCGCAAAGACTCTGGCAATACTAAACCTGCCAGGGACGAACATCGGTTGCTGGAAATTGCAAAAACACGAGGTAAGCGACGGGACCTTTCCACCTAGCGATATACCCTGGAAAAGGATATGTCATATGTACCTAATTTTCCTTCAAGCTATACCCCCCGAGTTTGCCATACATAATTGTTGTGCAAACGCGTGGTAAGCGATGTGACATTTCCAAATTTGTGGATGTTCTTCCTGTCGACTTGGAGTTTCCAAGATTGCTCATGTGTTGGGAGTGCATCCAGCTCATTGAACTATTACTTACCACATGTTTTTAGTAAGTTGGCAAACCACTACCCAAATCATCCCAAATCACCGTCATTTCCCAAGTCATGATAAAAGTTAGGTGTTTTCCTCCTAGATCAGATTGGCCTAGACATATCTAGACATTTCAATATTATGAACTATACTATAGACATAGACCATCCAAGGTGATATTTATCCTAAAATCCATAGAATTCATAGGGACCCCCAATGATGGGACCCCCATGCCCTAATCTTCCCATACGGAATCGAGATTTTCGAGATGGGAATAGGAGTCACATCATAAAGGCCCCCTGTAAATGACAGATTTATGGAAAGTCACTATGGTTAATAGGTAAATCATGGTGAATGACAATTTTCCATAGCTATATGTTCGTTTAGGGTGTCTCGGTATATCCCATTCGTAATCCATGAAATCCCCATTAGATATCTATCCAAATCCCATTAGAATCCCATTAGAATCCCATTAATCCATATTAATCGATATTAATTTGTTTGGTGGTTTGGAAGATTTGTTGTTTTTCCCATCATATTCGGAATGTCATCATCCCAACTGACTTTCACTCACTAACTCATATTTTTCAGAGGGGTAGGTATACCACCAACCAGATTATTCTTAACCATCATTAACCATCATCATAACCATTAATATTAACCATATATGAATAGTATATTACCAACCAATGGTAGGGCTCAACCACCAACCAGACTAGTCCACAGCCTCAGGTCCAGGCAGCAATGGCTACTCCACAGGAGCTCCACGGATTACGCCCTACTTGGTCTGCACCTCCAGGGGGGGCGATGGCCATGGATGGCCATGGATGGCCATGGATGGCCATGGTAATTACCATCTGGTTATGACTAACAGTTCGCCATGGAGATTTTCCACCCACTTTTAATAGGTAAACCCAGGTAAACCATCTATAAATGGGCTATTTTCATTTATTTTCCATGGCTATGTTATATAACCAGAGGGTATCAACTAGAGTTTTTTTTAGATCTGTGATGTAGACTGTGATGTTATTAACTGATGATGCTCATCTACTATATTGATGTTTGGTGATGTAGACTGTGTAGATGATGTTCATCTGTTTTTTTGCATGTGCATATGCGCAATGAGTTTGCAATGCGAGGAAAGGGAAACCATTTATGAATGCCCTTTGCTCATCACACATGGCTCAATGAGAATTACTCATTCTTCAGCAGCAAAAATATCTGGAAACGTGTTTCTTTAACCGCGCGCGCATGTTTGATCACCAGGGTAGTTCTGTATATATAGCTGTTGTAAGCTTGAGCTGAAGGCAGGTCATAGGGGTAAACGGAGCCACATTGCAATCCAGCATGATTCAACAAGGCAGGTTGAACAATGTTGAACACAAGCAGCGCAAGGGCCAAGGGCCAAAGGTGTTTCGATGGCTTTTAAGCCCCCCTTCCTTTGGGGGGGCGCTTTGGGGTTTAATATGGTTTAATGGCTGTGTAATTATTCATGGAAGGCTTGAATGGAAGGCATTCCCTGCTTTCCCATCTTAAATCATCTAAGATCATCCAAAATCATCTGAATTCACGTCACCTCGTCACGTCGTCACCTAAGATCATCAAACATAGTCTAAAATCATGATTCACAGAAAGAGAGAGAGAGAGAGAGACATTTTTCGAATCGTCACCAACTGTCCACCTTAGACCTCCCTTTGTGGTCGCCCTGAGGATATGCCGCGGTCAGCCACGCCCCCGCCGCCGCCACCTCCAAAGACGTCGGAGGAGGCCAAGCGAAGAGGACCCCCCATGAAGTTTCGCCACAGCAATTGGATAAGGATTTTAAGTTCATAATAGATATCTATCGTCTCCGTAGATTTGTCTACCTCTTGAACATTCAAGAACTTCATAGAATTTCCGGATAGGATAGTTCCAAACTCATATTCATGGCATTTCATGGCCATGCATTTCCAACATTTCCATCTATCCACAGCTAGAAAGATCACCGCTCCTCATGGAGGATTCAACGGGAAGCCCAGTGGCCAGGTGGCTGATGGCTTGGCGTCCAATGACATCTCCGCCTGGGCTCGCGCCTGGAAACTGGAGAGCTACGAGGAACGGCAGTGGGTGCAAGATCGAAACGGAGGGAAGAATGTTGATATGTCTATGTCGATATCATCCAATATCCATCTATCTCATTCAATCTCTATATCTCTATCTCTATCTCTATCTATCTATCTATCTATCTATATATATATCTATCTATCTAATGTGATGTCAATGCCCTCTAGTTTGACCTCGTGTGCTGGAAAATCGCCCGTTTCTTTCGAGGATGTTTTTAATTATCCAGGTTTTTCCTATGAAAGATATTGAAAGTTTGGATTTTCCAGCCATGTTAGTAGTGGGATGAACGTTTGGTTGGCAGGCATCTATTTGTATAGCCATGGAACTTAGATTTTTTCTCATTCCCTATTTACTTCGATGTTCCCATTAAAAAACTTTCATTTTTGTTGAGCATGTTCCATTGCGAGCCTCTGGATGATTCTCATGGCCATCCGTCAAGATCCATGTTGCATCACCGCATGTTTTGTTTCCAGCTAGCAATGTTTGATTACCGGAGGGTAACTCATATTTTCACAGCCAGCTATGTATATCCCACTGGTATATCCATGTAATCATGTATATCCTAAAATAATGTCCCATAAAATCCCATCAAATCATTACATCCCATTAAATCACTATAAAATCCCATCAAATCATTGTAGAAATCCAATCAAAGCATTTTTCAAACCCCATAAAATCACTGTAAAATCCCATTAAATCACTATAAAACACAATCAAATTACTATAAAATTCCATCAACTCATTATAAAAACCCATTAAATCACTATAAAACCCAATCAAATCATTATAAAATCCCATTAAATCCCATCAAAATAGCATTAGATCACTAAGGTCCCCCCAGCAGTGGGATTCGAAAAGTGGGCCCACTGGTTTGCGCGAGGCAATTCTGCTCCGCAACTACGACGATGTGGACCAGATCGTCTGCCTGGTGGCCCAAGAGCAGGGGATTTTAGATGTTTGGATGGCATTTGATAGTGATTTGATGGGATATGAATGGGATATGAATGGGATATGAATGGGATATGAATGGAGGTGCTTTATGAGATATGAAAGGGATTTCCACTCTACTAATCCCTTCCCCCTATTACTAAACGTCCCCCAAATACTAAAAACAGGGGTCCATCTCCAATTTCGGAAAATTTCAGATTGGCCAATTTGATTTTTAATTGATCCCCTTTAGAAAACAATTTAAAAAGAAAGCTACCATTTGTGGGTTTTGCCCCCTAATAATAAAAACTAGTTAACCCCGGGGTGTTTATTATTAGGGCCCGTCCGAATTTTTATAGTTTTTTATATTAGGGTTTTTAATTTATTATTAGAGCCCGCTTCGAAAACCAATTGTTGGCAATATTTTAATTGCGTTATGCTAGTTTCTATTATTAAGGTTTAAATTTTATTAATATGGTTTTTTCATAATAAATACCCCCCTAATAATAAACCTACCTGAGGTGTTTTTTTGAACGTTTCGTATTAGGGGGAAAGGATTAATCCACCGTGGCTGGAAAACCATGGTGGATCTTCCAGCATTACCGAGACGGGTCATGCGGGATATGTTGAATTTTTGTTGAGATAATGACAGATAGATAGGATGACAATGACAATGAAGTCTTTTTTGGCCTATCTATCAATGGTCCTATCTATTTGTTGAGATGTTTTCACAAGAGAGACCAATGACCAATGACAATTCTATAGATGGGATAGATTTGAATGGACAGACTGACAGACAAATTGTTGTAGACAGATAGATAGGCCTAGTGACTTCTTCGCGTCAGCCGAAGTGGTGCAACGAAGAAATTCTGCAAGAATTGGCTACCGAGACGCCAACAGACAGCAAGGTGGTACCTCAGAAGCTTGGCTCTGCAACATCCAATTTATATAAAGTTCTGACCTCCAGGAAACATCTCGTAAAGCAAAACAAACACCACATGATCATTTCCTTTGCCAATGTTACCTCTTCTTGAGTAGAGCCACTATCTAAGCACCAAAAAGTGATGGTGAACATGCACATTCTTAGGGTAGACATAGCTCAGTCATGATAGACCCACCCAGGTCTGCATTGTGATGACTTGTGGCTCTTCTTTAAAGACAACAATGTCTACGATGAGGCGCAAAGAGCAAAAATACCCAGGGTGCTTGGTCATTAAAAATAGTGAGGCTGTACGGCTGTACTACTAACCTTGATTCATGGGCTTGAAATATGGATTTATCATATTTTATCATGGCCCACAATAGGACTACAGTACTAGCCAACTGCGGGATATGAGCTCCGGAGTGCGGGTGGCATTTGACCCCCGTAAGTTGGGGGGTCTATAGGCCATAGGACCAGGCCCAGAGACGTCACAGGTTGCCTGCCAAAGGTTGCTTCATGAAATAGATTACCTGCCCCCAATTTGCTGACAAGCAATAGATACATCATAGAAATGGTGATGAATGGTGTGGATTGATGAACATGAAGGCTAAACACCTTTCTATACCTTTGCAGTCAATGGAGTCAATGGCTAAACGATTTTCAAAAACCGATGAGAAACATGAGAAACACCACATCAAGAAGTGTGGCTCACTGACGGAAACATGGTGACAACCCCGATGGGTTTATTGGAAACAACACCTCACGACATCCCATGATCTGAAGCCCAAAACTCTGACTTTGCAAAACGGGAACGGGGCGAGCTGCGGTTTTCCAATGTTTTCCATGTGAGATTTCAAAACATAGATGTAGGAGTAGTGGAACACCGGACGTTTTGGACCATGAACAGTGGAACAGTGGTGGGTGTGTCATATCTTACTTGATTTCAGAAAGCAATACATGTCTTTTGTTTAATATCTTCATATTAAACAACAACATAATACTCATAATATCAGAAAATACCACATAATACCAATGTGCCAATGATCATCAATAGAGATACCTGGTGCTTATGCCATAGCCAAGCTCGTCTATCTGGCTTCCTCTAGGCGGATCAATGGGCCTTCACCCATGCCATCCAGGTGAGATGACGGGTATATGGTTGGTTAGGTGCTTGGGTAAATGTTGGATGTTTTGATCAATGATGTTTCATGATTTGTTTATCTATCCTACTGAATGTGGGTTGATATCTGTATGTGTTTGTCATGTGATGTTGGTTGAATGTGGCAAACCTAGTAACAACAAATTTGAATTAAAGATGGACATTACTTTCTGGAAACCCGTGCAAACCATTTGCGAAACAGTGTAAAAGGCCTTGAACCAATGTTATGAAACAACACATTTGAAATCTTGGACTACCATCGTGGTATACTTGGTGGGGGAAACCTGCTCTTTTGGCTGTTTTACAAAATTGGGTGACCCCGTGTAGCCATGGGTTCCCCCTGCATGGCACTGACATCCCCATGTTGGACTGGTTATATCCTACTGTAATGTTCCATCAGAATCACCATTATGGTTGGTTTAATCCCTCATTAAAGATATTAAAGTGTCATGCATGTATATTATACATATATATATATATTTAAAAAAAACAACTATGATAAACTATGCGTATCCCGGATACCGTATCCCCATGAACGATGGATGGTTAATGCCCCACCATGACGACTTGCGACTTGCCAAGGGTCGGCAAGCCTTTACCAGCTGAGGGCCTGAGGGCCAGGTGAGTGAATGATCCAGCGGAGGATGTCCTGAGGATGTCATAGATTTTCTAGCAATAAACAACTGGTTGGTGGTTTCAAACATTTTTTTCCCATTATATATGGGATGTCATCCTTCCCATTGACTAATATTTTTCAGGATGGTTAAAACCACCAACAAGACAAACTATAGGTAGGTTTGAGAACTATATAACCTATATAACCTATATAACACAGATGATTTTCCTTCGTAACTAACTCTGGATGTGTGTCTGAAACAAAAAATAGGCAGGTATGGTGTTTAGCCAAGGGGCTGAATCTTGGGCCTAGTTTATCATCAGAGTATGTTCATGTTGAATCAGGTTGATATGTTTTTCATCGCATCTTAGTGGGCATACCCTCTGGTAAACTAACATAACTATGGGAAATCACCATTTTTGATGGAAAAAACCACTATAAATGGCCATGTTCAATAGCTATGTTAGTTTACCGGAGGGTAAATTCGAGGTAATTAATTCTACAACCCATGGTTTGGTCATGCCCCCTTTTGCTACCATAGGGATCCATAGAAAACATCCTCCCAGAGATGCCGAGAACGGGCAACTTGGCAACGGCGGGCTTTTCATCATCAAATTGGGATTTCAGGATGGTGCGGAAAATACGGAGAATGGGCTGTGGAAGCTGTGGATAGCCGGAAATAATATGTACTGATGCCATCTGATGCCCTGGTAATGGATTATAATCCTTTTGATTATCCAATTACCATCTGGTAAACTAACATAGCTATTGAAAATGGCCATTTATAGTGGATTTACCCACTAAAAATAGTGATTTTCCATAGTTATGTTAGTTTACCAGAGGGTATATAACGCGTTTATTACTTGGAGGATCGTCCCCTGTAACTGGGAAACTGGTGAACGTAAGCCTGGTGTGCCTAGTAACCAGTTACGATCCCTGGGATGATCCACGTAAGGTACGGAAAATTACCCATGCTTCTTGGGGTTGGGATATAAAAGTAGGGATTCTCCATTGCCATGTCCTTTTTTTTCCGGAGGGCATATATGGGCATATGGTTGGATAAGTATTTTAAATTGCCTAGGACTCAATGTTAGCACCCAGGACCGAACTACTGATGCACGAGAAAACATTCTGCTGATTTTGGCTGTGAAACCCTCCGGGGCCTGGGCGTTTTTTGGAAGTCGCCAAGCGGTGGCTGCTAAATAAAGCCCTCTGGATTGACGATTCTATGGGGTTATCCGAATCTATCCAATGTATTCCATTATATATTATATTGTTGAGTATCACTTGGTTATCATTATCCATGAAGTGGGAACGCCGTTGTTCGGATTTCATGGAATGACATGGAATGGGTTTTAAACACTGCTCAAGTGGGTTTGTTGGTCCTCCCTCCGGCACTCAAAGCTGGCAATGGGAATATATACATACGTGTGTATATATGTATATATATCCATACACGCATATATATATATACATTTCAGCATGTCAATGGTAAACTGATTGAACAAAATGGTGGATTTTCCAGCAAGAAACAATATTTGATTACCAGAGGGCATATCAAATCCCATTGAAATCCCATTAAAATCGGCTCTTTCTTACTCGTTCTTACTCTCGAACTTGGGCCTCAGATCCTTTCCTCGCTGTCATGTCCTCACTGCCAATCCCACTGGATGTCAACCTTTGAAACGGTGCCGTTGCAGCTTTCTGCAAGATAGCGACCCCGACCATGAAAGCGATATAATTACATAAGAATGCTAGGCGTGAGGGTCTGTTGGCAACTATATTTCGACATGAGTAGGAAGGCAGTCAACAAAGTCATGCTGTGGATTCACTCTTCTTACATCAATTCAAGGGTAAGATACAAGCTCACCAAAGCAGTCTCTTGAGTTTCTTTTGTACCTGGGGATGTCTACAAGAGGCTGGTTGGATGGCAAGATTCCTGCCCCACAAGCCTCGGTTTGATTGGACACTAGCTGCATTTTTCGTTAACATGGACATTGGCACTTAGAAACTCAACAGATAAATCATCGACTTGTTTGCCAATTGTTTTTTACCCAGGTAAGTTAAATGCCAAAAGAGATCATATCCAGTACAACAGGAGGATCCTTAGAGAAGCAATGGGAATCAACCTGATATACATTGTTTTAACAAATCCACGTAGAACAAGTGTGTACTAATTTCATAATGACTCAATGACATAATGAGAAAACACTTTGAAGCAGTGGAACTCATTTATAAATTTGCATGATCCGGAAAAAGATACTCCAGTGGCTAGACGTAGCCATTATAAATTTCATAATGGCTAGATATAGGTTGATATAATCATAGAATTGGATTATGGAAAAATTTACAGGAAAGTCCTATATTTGATGGTAAAAACCATGGTTTCCTGTAGGTTTTCCCTTAAACCAATCTAGTGATATAATGAACCACATTTAGGCCATGTACTCCTGAACACCAGGGGGTTCTTCACCGCACCAAAAAGTGCCATGAGATGCTGCCCGTTGTGCCGCCACACACCGCAGTGAGCAGCACAGCACCAGTGCCTTGATGCCGGCGAAGTGACGGGTGAAGGGCAAAAATTCCAATTTGTAGTCCATGTCTCCATCCAAATTATTAAATTATCCCATTACACTATATACATACATATATACAAATATACATATACATATATATACCATTATAGACCCTAGTTTTTCATCCGTAAATTATAATCCGTCGGATTACCCATGAGTTCACATCATGCGTAAAAATTGCTTGGAGCATCACGGCTCGGAGTCCTGGTGACGTAACCACAGCGGATCGATCCCGATGATCCTCCAGCTGGATCCACCACTTTTAATGGGTAAATCCACGATTTCAATGACCATTTCCAATAGCTATGTTGGTTTACCAGAGGGCCAGAGGGTAAATGATATCTATATCTATATAATTACTTGGGATATTTGACCATTGGCAATTGGTACTTGGGATGTTCCATTCCAGGTCAACCTTGTATGGTACTTCGATGATTCAATCTGTTGCCATAAATGGGGTATGTGTAAAGCAAATCTGCTTGGCAAGGCCAGGTACGGCTTTTCTGTGCCCGACCCTTTCATCACCCCTGGCCCACGGCCAACCAAATCCCAACAACTGAAAGCTATTGGTGATGCAGATGCGAGGGATCTAGATGCAGGTTGGCACGCAATTGGGCTTGTGAAGTCCGTAGATATGACTATATATCTCAGGCTTTCAATCTTGTGGATGATTTTCCCAACAAAGAATATAAATCCCGTTGTTCTATGGGTTTAGAACTGAATAGAAGTTTAATTCACCGCGAGTGACCAATCACTAATAGAAGTCCAATTTCCAGGTCAATATTATTCCCAAGTGGGATTTCATTGCCCCAGTTGAAAGTAATAGCTGTAGCCCTTTTTGGTTTGCGATGGCCATCGGTTCCACATTTCAGGCCTCGAAGCATGTAGCCACTGTAAGCCCTGCGGTGCCAGAGGCCTTGGGGATTGTCCCTGTTTCTCCGGGTTTTTTTGGGCAGACTGGGGGGGGGGTAGATTTACCTAACTTAGCCAAGGCAAACTTAGGAAACTGGGCAAACTGGGGGGCAAACTGGGGGGCAAACTGGGGAGACTTAGCAAACTTAGCCAAACTGAGGCTTTTTTATGCTTTTTCGAAGTTTCCAAGGCAAAGTTCGCAAACTCCACTGCTTGGAATTTCTTCGGAATCAACAAATGATAAACAAAAAAAAAGTGCGGAAGGCTTGGAAGGGTCAAGCGAAAACTGATTGCGGTCTGACATGTACCCTACCAGGTCAGACCGTCGCCGGCATCCTTGTTGCTTCCAGTGGCGTGGCCCGAAGGGTGTGCCAGGTGGTGATCAAAAATGGAAGTCGGGCCACCGATTTGTGGGTTCAAATGAAGAAAAATATAATGATCAAGATATTATTGATGAGTTTGGTGGGTTTGATCATGTGAGGGTGTTTTTTTGCATTGGTTGCATTTGATATGCCTCAAAAAAAGGTTTTGAACGCACAGCAAGACAGTTAGTTGCAGGTTTTGCAGATGTTTCCCTTGATGCTCTTCGCAGTATGATGAGACTTTATGTGGGTCCAAATTCACGAGTCAATTCCCAGCACATCCTAGGGCCTGATCTTGAAGTCTTTTTTGAAGCCATAGATTGCCAAACGCCTTTTGATTTTCAAGGGGCTCATGTCTTCACATCACATTTGGAATGGATCTCCTCAAACATTGCTAAGCAGACACGTGCATTTATGTTTTATGTAGCCCTCAATCCCAAACTTTATAGAAAAACAGATTTACCATTATTCTATATTATAGAAAAAACAGATTTACCATTATTCTATATTAGGATTTTACTTCGTCTATGCTTTGTATATCCCAAATATCATGTTCATAGAATATGTCACTACTTTCCCAAAGATATCTCACTACTCTCCAAAAAAGCATATTTATGATTATGTTTTTACTAGTATTACTAGTTATATATATATGTATATATTGTGCTTTTTTTATCTAAGTTTTGATTTTACCACCCCCACATGTCCACATCGTTCCTCATCACTTGACTCCACAGAGCTATACATAGGTGGTTGCCCTTGGTTGCCGTCGCTGCAAGCGTCGGCGGGTGACCATGGCCTTTTTCTTCGGGCCTGGAGAAGCCAAGGACGAGGGATGAAGTCGAAGTCGAATTCTTTGCATGATTTATGTACACTCTGGTAAATTAACATAGCCATGGAAAACCACATGTGTTTAAAGGCAAATCAACTATAAATTGCCATGTTCAATAGCTATGTTAAATTATCAGAGGGTACTGGTAGTTTATATATCCCAAATATTCCCAAATTCTCCCATATTTACCCCAAAAAATGCTACACTATTTGAGTGTGATTTACAACTGTTTTAGGGGGTTCTTGAAATGAGGGATCCCCAAAACCATAGGCAGCCATTGAAAGCCACCAGCACGCAGCAAACACAACCGCAACTTAGGTGAGTGACCCACCAAATGGGGTGACGTTTTTATTGGTTGGACTTGAGTAGGACATGATAGGACATGGTACCAAACCAACTCCCTCTTTTTTTTTCTGGAGAGCATTCTGCTTTTTTTCCACAGGGACATGATGGGGCATGGACTGACCCACCAGGATGATGATTTCCCTTGCTTCCGGTGCTACCCCATGTGCATCCTCATGATGGGCTCTTCCTCATTTGGCTAATGGTAGGCGTTGGGCTCAGGCCTTCAAAACTCTTCTCATGCTGGTTGGTGGTTTGGAACATGGCTTTTATTTTTTCCATATGTTGGGAATAATCATTCCAACTGACTAATATTTTTCAGAGGGGTTGAAACCACCAACCAGCATGTAACAATCCTACCATTTTTGCAGAGATCAAGTGAGATTCTGGATGAATTCGAGGCCACTTATCCCACTAAAAGTGAAACTTTCAGCAGGGGTTTAACAAACCATATATCCTCCATTAAATCATCCACATAAATCACTGGTTTGTGGTTTGGAACATGAATTTTATTTTTCCATAGTATATGGGACAATCCTTCCTATTGACGAACTCATATTTTTCAAGATGGTTCCACCAACCAGTATAAATCAATATAAACCATATACCCTCTGGTAATTTAACATAGCCATGGAAAATGGCCCATTTATAGATGGTTTACCTATTAAAAATAGTGATTTTCCATGGCTATGTTAAATAACCAGAGGGTAAATCTCATTCATGTCCATGAAGTCCACCAAAAATCCCAGACTTTTGCTCAAAATCCCGCTGCCCATGTCAGGAGGACAATGATCCGCCACTGGACCCGCGATCTGTGCGGCTCTTGAACCATACCGAGACGCCCCTGGAGGTGTTGATGTTTCCCAAGGAGCCACCGACAAGTCTGGTGAAATGAACTGGACGAAGTAGTTGTTTTGTGGCTTAATTAGATTTAATTATGATTTATATATATATATTATAATCCTTGATTTAGTTGCCATACATGGAATATGGTTCTATATTGAGTTGGTAGTGTCAGTTGTTTTTTTTTGTGTCTACTATATTGGATCCACGGATTAATTAGGATCTAATAAAAAAGTCCTTAATTTAGTTGCCATACATGGATATGTATTTCTACTAATCAGTTAAACTTAAACGTTTTTTTGAGGGAGGGGGGAAGGGTATCTAAGATGGCCATGGAAGCGACGAAACCAGGCACTTGTTTCATATTTTTGTTGGCAGGGAGTATAAGACTGGCCATGAATATGAGAATCGATAGATGTGTGGAAGGGATAAACTCAGTGGAAGCTTAATTATCTCATGAACATGGGGAAAGTAAGCCAACTGGCCAAGAGTAAAACGTGGATATTAAGCTAACCGGAGAATGGAACTTGGTGAAGAGCTTGAACAATTAGAGAGATCAAACGAGATGACCCATCGACTGAAGAGAGAAGTGGGAGCGCTAACACCAAAAAATCCACCGCTGCCTCCTAGTGGGGTAGAATGAGATGCGTTTCCGATGTTTCTGAAAGGCCTGCTGTGATCCCTGAAGTGGCTAGTAATTGTAATTGGTATTAATTGGTTAGTACCAGGTATATCATATATCCATTGCATTTGTATTTTTGTCACTGGTGTTTTTCATAAGACTCGTCGTACTCGTTGCTGGATTAGTAATCCAAAAGCCCGCTTCACCCAGGGAATCCATGTCACCCAGGCGACATCACTACTTCGAAGATACCTCCCCCATTGGTCCACAATAGATTTTTCATCATTTTTTATGCCAGTCAGTGCTTCAAATTCTTGGTAAAATATGGTTAAATCACAAACCCATAGGATCCATGTATGCCATATATGGTAACATTTACCATCAATATACCCCCAATGTTAGCATATATATACCATACATGGATCCTATGGGAAAGAAATCCATGATAATCAGGGTTTGAATGAGTTAACTCATGGTTGGGCGCCAGTCTCCGGCCGGCGCCAGGAAACGATGCCCTACATCCTGGGTGGCGATCGGGTGCAGTTGCCGGGAAAGTCGCATGTAGACATCCAGGTGGGCTTGGGCCGTGGGAAAAAGAAACGGCAGTCAAATCATGGCTTTACTAAGAATAGTGATGGGTAAACAGGGTAAACAGAGGATTTTGAGCAGCAAACTTGGGATTTTATCTATTCTTATTTTAGTTTGGATGTTTTGTCAAGAAGCATCAGGGATGAACCAGAAACAATGGAGCAATCCAAGTTGTCGTGTCATGATCCAAGTTGTATGCCCAGTTGGTTCAAGGGGACAGATGAAGAAAACCGTGGTTCTTGCCATTTCTTACCGGCAAACTTTCTGTGTAAAACTTTGCTAGTACCTTGGATGGTTTTGCAGCCACACACTTAGAAACTTGGTAATCTGGTTGGTGGTTTGGAACATGGCTTTTATATTTCCATATATTGGGAAGAACATTCCCAACTGACTACCCTCTGGTAAACATACAAAAAGCAATGGAAAATCACCATCTTTAATAGGTAAATCAACATAAATCAACTATAAATGGGCCATTTTCAATAGCAAACTGTTAAATTACCAGAGGGTAGGCCAACCACCAACGAGGCGATTCTGTGCGAGGAATCACTTGGATCACCTCCCCACTAGCGTTGACCTCCAGAGGAAACTTGCGGTGTGAAAAAGAAGTCTTCACAGAACTCCAAAACCAAGGAAAAACATATAAAACAAAAGAATATCAAAAACAAAGCAATCCACAGAAAACACTGAAAATAAACAACAAATCCGAAGAACAAACAATAAACAAAATAAAATCCACTAGAAAACAGAGACTCAACAAAAGTCCCACAAAAAAATAAACAAACAAATATCAACAAACAAACAAAAAAAGGAAACTTTGCTGCAAAATGCTGATTTTGTCTCGCTTGAAACGCCGGAAAGTGTTTCGCTCCCGACGCCGGGTGCCACTGTGATAATGTCGACGACAACAGCAACAACAATAACAACAATAACAACAACAACAACAACAACAACAACTGCAACCACAAAACAACAACAACAACAACAAGAACAACAAGAACAACAAGAACAACAAGAACAACAAGAACAACAAGAACAACAAGAACAACAAGAACAACAAGAACAACAAGAACAACAAGAACAACAAGAACAACAAGAATAACAAGAATAACAAGAAAAACAAGAATAACAAGAATAACAAGAATAACAAGAATAACAAGAATAACAAGAATAACAAGAATAACAAGAATAACAAGAATAACAAGAATAACAAGAATAACAATAATAACAATAATAACAAGAATAACAAGAATAACAAGAACAACAAGAACAACAACAACAACAACAACAACAGCAAAAACAATCACAACAACTACACTCACAACCACAACCACAAGAACAAGAAGAAGAAGAAGAAGAACAACAACAACCACAACCACAACCACAACCACAACTACAACAAGAAGAACAAGAACAAGAACAACATCAGCAGCAACAACAACAACAACAAAGCATTGCGAGTATTACCTTTACACAGCTACGGTGACTACGACTACCACTATTATACTTCTACACTCATCACGTGTCAGAATGACGACAGCAACAACCAGGACCATATCTACTATTACAGCTACCACTACCACTACCACTACTACTACTACTACTCCTCCTACTCCTCCTGCTGCTGCTGCTGATGCTGCTGCTGCAACTGCAACTGCAGCTGCTTCTACTGCTACTGCTACTGCTACTCCCACTACTACTACTCCCACTACTACTACTACTCCTCCTACTGCTACTACTACTCCTCCTACTCCTCCTGCTGCTACTACTGCTACTGCTACTGCTACTGCTACTACTATGACGCGTGAGTAACAAGTTAACCTCCAATCTGGTTGTGAGGAATGCTATTGCATCCACCCGCCCAACCCCATTATGATGACAGGTTTCGAGCAGTGATTTCGTCAATTTTCCATTTGCGAAACCCATGAGCCCCATCATTTTTCCCCAGCTTCCCCTGGGTTTTCCCCACCTTTTCCCTGCGTCTTTCTTGGAATTCCGCAAATGCCCCGCAGCAGCGCCAGGTCGCGAAGCGGAGCACCTTCTGCCGCATGGCGCTGCGGCGCCGCGACATGGCGGCCATGGTCAACGTGCCCAAGGGCTCCAGCGTGCGGATCGACTCTGGGCTGGGCCGGGGCGGGGTGGTTCAACAAGGCAACGGCCACTGGGGGAGAAGGGGGGCAAGGGGAAGGTAAGTAGCTATAGTTAAGCATACCGGCGGGAAGAATTTAGCAGCTAGAGCTAAACACTAACCAAGTCCATGTTCCATGAATTGTGGTTTACTTGTATGGTGTGTATATATATATATATAAATATATAGATATATATATATCGAACTACTTAATGAGGTAAATTAGTTAATTATTGTTCAGTAAGTCCAGTTGGTGCGTTGACAGTTAACTACCCCTAGCATTGCTCAAAACCCCCGTTGGGTGATGACGATTAGTTTAGTGTTATGCTATCCTTTAATTGTTGGTTGGTGGACTTGGGTTTCCCCTAACTATAGTTTGTCCACTTATAAGTGGAAACCATTCGGTGTTGAGTAATTTCAAAAACTATAGTGGACAAAGTTAGGTATAGTTAGCGGACAACTATTTCTATAACTATGACTAACTATATGTTCAAAGTGGGCTTACCCTCTGGTAAACTAACATAACTATGGAAAATCACAATTTTTTATGGGAAAATCCACTATAAATAGCCATTTTCAATAGCTATGTTAAATTACCAGAGGGTAAGTAATTTCAAAATTTGTCAAGTGGCGAATAAATGTGGAAAACATCTCCCGTGGATTCAGAGGGAGCCGTGAAGGAAGCGAGGATGACATCCAGCTTTTCCCCATCGTTTGTGGGGAGCCAGGTGGAGCTATATATCAACTTTCCCAACCACATGATGGAGAATTAACTAGATATAACTAGAACAAGTGGTAAATTTCAAGATGAATTAACTAATTTCAAATGGTTAACCTTCATTGATATCCATCAGAGGTCGGGAAGATTTTGGATACCTGTTGGGTATACTTGTTTTTTTCAACGGAGGGGCAATTGGCAAACCAACAAACATAAAACTAAATGCTTTTAAAAACGGCGATAATTAACCATATGTTTTGTGGTGATTTTAACATGTTACGTTTTTGTGAAAACTGATTACTATATTTTCTTACATTATAGAATATGTTTTATTTACCTGCAGTATTACAGTGTACAAATACTAATCACAGTACTAAATCCTTGGAAATTGGAACCAACCTTGGCCAAGGATGTGCTCAACGACAAGAGTTCCTTGGTTCGGAGGTATGTTCCCGTTGGACCTCAGTACCTGAGGTAAACATTGGAATTCCCCACTGACCGCATGACTCATTCGTTTGGTTTCAGAAATTTCCGTGGAAAAATGTCTGGGCAAACCAATATTTATGCCATGAAATATAGGGTTTTCCCGTTATGGCAGGTTTTCCCTCGAGACAACCCAGACATGAAGGGTGAAGATGACCCAGCTGCCAAAAACCCAGTCTTGGAGCCTTGGTCAAGGTGAGATTGAGGGAGGTCCGCTGGAAGTTCGAATTGCAGATGCTCGGAAGATGTTGGTTTCACGTGGTTCAACGGGTCCCATTCAAAATGGGCACCGAATTTTAGGTTTGGAGTTGTCAAGCCATTCAACATTGGGATTTTTGAACTTTTCTGTGTGACACCTTTCTTTTTGCCACGGGGTAGTTGATACTTAATGTCATGAAAAATGTCATGTGTTTGCAGGGTTTCTCAGGTTCGATCCTGTAACTGACCTGCTAACTGACAGAAATGAAGTGCAGAAGTGCTGTTGGAATTGTGGAAACACATTGACTATTGAAGTCGTGTTTCAGGAAATCACAGCTTTTGATCCACTTTTGATCAACAAGTCGAATCACCCACATGGTCCATGTGGATGGGGGTTCCATTTCACCATTTCTATCTTCAAAGACAGGTCTTTCCACATTGGTAGAAAAGGATCGGCAGGCCACTGGAGAGAGAAGTGTGCCACTGATGTCAGTTACATTTCTGTTTTTTGTCCGATCTTCCCTGTTTTTGGTGGTCAACATCCCCATGTTCCATCCCAGGGTTCGTTCATTTTGGCTGAAGAAACATGTGTGAAACATGTGTTTGTGCCATTTAAAAGGAGAAACTCAGCCTGTCAGCAGTATTCAGCAGTTCCAGCACACCAGCACGCGGCCCTTTGCTGCGCACAAAAGAATGAGGATCTGCAAGTGACCTTTGATGATGGTTCTTCCTTCGACATCTTCCCAGGTGAGGAGATTTTGAAGGGCCGTGACTTCTTGTGTTTTTAACGGTTGGATGGGATGGCAGGGAAAATCCATGAAACGTGCTTTGGCATCATGACACGGATCATCATGAGTGTAAATATGTGTATAATTTGTGTATAATACAATATAATACAATATTATCCAATATAATACATACATGTAATTTATGTTCGCTTACATTTACCATCATTTACCCACAAAATCACCGTAAGTTTCTTAACTTTGTGGTAAATTCTCCCGCCAGGCCACGAGGCCAATTGAGGCCATGGTTCCCAGGGGCTTTTTGCAGAGCCGCAGGACCTTTGTTCTGGCGCTTGTCTCGCAACGTCGAAGACGCATCTCAGCATATCTCAGCGGGTCACGGTTTGTTGGAGATCCTACAGCACTGCAATGCTGGGGAAAGCTTGGTTTAATGATGTTTAATGTAGGTGAACGTGGGTCTTGGGTTAGGTTGGTGCGAATGCATAACATAGAATAATGTGGATTCTAGATTCTAGATAATGGTTTAGCCAGATCTGGCTGTGTGATTGTGCACGGAACGATGGGAGTCTCCCAGAATATGTATATACAGTACATATATATATATTAGTGTATATATGTATGCATACATGCACGTGCATAGGTGCCTGAGTCCGAGCTGAAAATGGTATGATGTGTGGCATTTTTGGTTCGCTACTAATTATACCAAGGATGAGATTCCTCATTCCCACAAGTCCTGCCAGCTTCCCATAACTCTGTGCATCGGCCTAGTGTTTCGAAGATGGGAGTAATGGAAAGCAGGTCCTGAAAGAGAACCATCTTCCAAAATTATGGTCTCACCACATTTCACAAGGAACCAGTTTTATAGTTGGGGGGTGCTTCATTAAAGTTGTCCTCTTCCTGGTCATCGAGTCATCCGGTTTACTTTATCTATCTCTATCCATTTGAATAAATTTTCACCTTTGATCATGGTCCTAATTAAGTTAATCATGTCTCCCCGTTTATCTATATCACACCATGCTGACTGATGGAAACTCCAATGTTTTGTAGTTCGAAACGTCACCACTTTCGCTAACACGTTTTGATTTGAAAACATGTTCAAAACCACATGTGCATAAATGCATGCAGTTTGTATTCCATTCTAGCATCTTCAGCCCCCCACATTCTTGTACACACCTGTCATGCCTTGTATGTGGTTCCAAGATGTTCAATCACCAAACACATGTTTTCCAGTGTTAATGATATGATGATAATTTGCTTGCTTCACAACTCCCAATTATTGTTCTATATTCAAACATTTTGAATATTGAGAAACTTTCTGGAGTTGTTGAACCAACTATGACAGATTAGAAGTGCGTTATTCTTCTGAACCATATTTGTTTTAATCTTCCACCATTTTTAAACTAACAAGAGAATAATATGGTTTGATGACTTACACTAGTGTTGACTAACAACTCATTCTTCAAGCCGTTCTTTGGCTTCCCCAGTGCACCTTGATCAAATCTCATCTTCAGATGTTCCCACACAAAAAATCCAACTATTCCATGTTGGATTCCGCATGAGTCCCACCGTGGTTTTCAGTGAGTCCCGGGCCCCTGCAGGACCCTGCAGGACCCTGGGGACCCTGGGGACCCTGGCCTCGCTTCGCTCGCTTGTCGCCTCGCTTCGCCACAGGTGGAATTCCAGGTGGCTGGGGTGCTGCGTTCGCAGGACCGGCACGTGTGTTTCAAGGTGGTGAGGGAGATGGGTTCCGAAGCGGCAGAGATGGTGGGGAACCGGGAACCGCTTGGAACCGGGAAGCGGAAACGGTGACGATCCGATTTTTTCTTCCCATGGAGAATGGGAATAGCATTGGAAGATGATCTTCAAAGTGGTTGAAGGATATTGAATGGATGAAAGGGAAAAGTGAATCTGGGAAACCATAAGGGGAAAAAAAACAAATGAGAGGTTCCGGTGGGTTTTGGAAGGGGAAATGGCCAGGCTAAGACTTGGATTTCCGGTGGATGTATCGACCTATGACATATAATATATATATATAGTCTTCTATCGTTGGACAAGGTTTCAAACCAGTAAACCAGGAAACATAGCTCGGGGCACCCTCCAGGCAACAGAAATGGTAGATTTAAGCAATCAGATTTTCATAGATCATGGGGATTGAACCAACAAACAAGTGTGCAAGCTTCACAGGATCTTCACAGGCTACAGGCATTTAGCATATTTGGTCCCATGCAAGGGTAGCTACACCATAGCTACACCATAGGTCACGCTTTCTTAGTTGTTCCCTGACTGGACGTTTCCCCAACATCTTTCGACATGTTTCGCCCAAGGCTGCGATTGGCGGGGCGCACCCATGTCCCGAATCCGTGTGATTTCGGCCGGATTTCTGGGCACCAAATTTCTGCACAAAGGCGGGGGGTTGGGAGAACGGTGATTAACTCACGGAGGGAATTGGGCACGAGGTTTTCAGGCCATGTGCTCTATGTATGGTATACGAAACCTACATTTGGACCATTGGGAGTACACCTGAGGGCCATTTTGAAGCTAAACATTGGGAAATGGTAAATGTACCACGCATGAAGGAGCATTTTGACAATTGGTGGTTGGGAATTGTGTGAGTTGGAATTTTAGGGGAGTCCTACAGTGATTAACCCTTTTGAAATGGATTGCATGGGATTTTAAAGCCCGGAATTGGTTATATAAGGGGAAAATCTACAGGATACACCATGATACACCTATATTTGGGGGATTTTGGGGGTTCAACCGATGGTTTCCCCCAAAATTTCCCTCCAACTAACCCAGTGATTCAACCACCGATACAAACTACCAGCTAACCATCGATTGAAGGATGGAACCAGGGAGCTACCTTCAACAAGACTGACATATGCTAAGCTGCTAAGTATTGTCAAATGCCATGATGCCATGATGCCATGATGCCATGGGTTGCATTTTTCTGTCCCGCTCATTCCTGCAGAAGCGTTTGAGCTAGGAGTCACCCCGCCCAAACGCAACACATCCTGGAATTTCAAAGAAGATCAACTTGTTTTGTGTTCTGAAACTCCTCCGACACAAAAGCATGAACCAATGAACCATTCAACTTTGTGGTTCGATTTCTCAAGCACTTTCCCAAGGGAAACCTTCCAGGAATTGCTTGGTGCAGTTGGGGTCAACCTCGATAACCTGGGATATATGAAATCCATTGAAATCCCATATAACTATGGTGAAATCTATGGTGAAATCTATGTGAAATCTAAGCCCCAGAAACTGTGATTTCACCGCATCAAAAACAGCGAAAATCTGTCCGCGTTGCTTGCAGGTACCATGTACCTGGCCAAGATTGTGCCAGGTCAGGCAGTTGAAGCTGGTCAGAGCTGGTCAGCCGGTAGGGGAATGAAACATGTTCAAACCAACGTGCCCATTTACCCTCTGGTATACTAATAACATATAACTATGGAAAATCACCATTTTTAATGGGTAAATCCACTATAAATGGGCAAGTTTCCATAGCTATGTTTGTTTACCAGAGGGTAAGTGACTGATCAAACAACATGAAACAACCATAATTGTAATTAAGCTATAGTAATACAGTAAGTGATTCGAATGTGGGATCGTTCATTGCCATCACTGGTGTTGTTTTACGCTGAAGCTGGGTGAAACACGATTTTTAAATCAAGAAATATGTGGGTTTCCTGACATCTTTCCTAGAACTAAGTCAGCCGACTGGTTGGTGAAGGGATTTGGGCCCTTGGACTGGGTAACTTACGATCAGCATGTAGCTGCCCTCTGAAGATTCGTGGGAGGCGCCCGGCTTAATATTTAAATACAGTAGGTTATTTTGTTTATGTCAATTCACATGACTTGTTGGGCCCATATTTAAAGCAACACGCTGTAGGAAGACCTTGATATTACAATTGTCCAATTGAAACCATGGGTTTTCCGTTCAAACCAATCGCCAGTGATTCTTAAATATACCACCCTTGCAGCTATCCGTGCCATGCAGCCTCTAGAGCCTCTGGCGGTGTCTAAGGAGGAGACAGTCAATGCGTTTCGAAAGATTACTGGCACCTTTGGACAACCTGAAAATATTCTCCACTTCGAGGGCTATGTGAAAACCGCTGCTTAACCGCAGCGTTAGCAGGGTGAAAACGGTTTCTACTGGGATGATTTGTGAAGTTCCTAGCAGTTAAGCATGATTAGATATTAGTTGTGAGCGTTTGTAACCGATATATTCCAGCCTTATGAGGAGACAACTGCATGGATTACATGGTTACCATCTATAGTTCCTGACTTTAGGAATTATTCAAATTCACATGGGGGATGATGAGTCACTACTTCAAGTCGCCGATGTGGTAGGCAAAGGTTGCCCATGCTATGTTTGTGTACCCAGAATACCTGCTGGTAATTTCACCTATAGCCACGAAAATTAGCGATTTGCAGATGCTTTACCGATTTACCATGATTTATCCATTCGAAATGGTGGATTTTCCGTGATTTTCCATGGCAAACAGTTCGATTCCCAGCAGGTTTTTCCACATTGCTTGGTGGCTTCAGGACACAGGCGCGCACATGTTGATTTTCGAGGATTTTGGGGAGAGCTTATCAAAGATCATGAGCTGCTCGGATGTGGTGTTTTTTAAAGTGGTGGGTTGGTGGCACGGCTGGGATTACCCTCTCGTAAACTAACATAGCTATGGAAAATGGATGAACATGGGTGATTTACAGTTGGTTTACCTTTTTAAGATTGTGATTTTCCATAGCTATGTTAGTTGTGATTTTGAGCTTGGGATTAGTTGTGTGCGATCAATTTTTCTTAATGCTGCAAATTGATGTGAAAGATTTAGACATATTTAAACAGTGATACTCGTGGTTCAGTCCAATGTATGTTTGCGTGTTGGGTTTTGAAATGTGTTTGTTCCATCGTACTTGGTATGATGACCCTAGCTAAGATGCTGAAGGCGTTGGTTTTTTCCAACTAACTACTTGTAGAAATGGCATGCAACTGACGTTTTTTCGGGGGTGGCTACCAATAGATGATTGTGAGTCAGCGAGGGGTTCCAACTGGGGGTTTTACGAATGACGGGTGGGAATATCACCAATACACGGTAGTATGCCTTTTGGGAGGATAAACGAACATCTAGGACAGGATAGGCCATGAACATGAATGTGTAGGAGACCAAAGAAACAACGTGGAAGCAAGAATGATACAGCCAGGGCCATGTGAATCCACAATTTCTGGTGCACACATCATGTCGTGCCACGTCAATCCATGTCATGATTTGGCAAGTCCGGTTCAGAGGCTCCAATTCTGAGATACTCTCGGTAGAGGACAAGGACCAATGTCGCTTGGCAGAGTGGGGATGTCGAGTCGTTCTAAAAATGGGATCGTTGATGATCATTGGATCCAAATGGGGGCAATGGATGAATCCAGGTGTTCCCAAAATAGCGAGAAGATCAAATATATATATATATATTATAACTAAATGGATACATATGCTATATATGATGCTGTCCCATGTGTTAGGAAACTGCAGGGTTGCTCGCTCTGGTATGTACTGGTCGACATTAACGACCGAAAAAGAGCAAGTTGAGCAACGAATGGTGCTCTTGGATATATCAGATGTCCTGGCCGGCCGGGATGATCACTCAGATTTTGTGGCAGGGTTGGAGCCACTAATCGAACATCATCGAATTATATATTGGTTGCTTACCCATGACATCCCATGACGATGGGAACTCTCTTTCATTGGTGGAAATCATGGCAATTTTCATCAATTTTCACTTCTACCACCTCATGCCATAGCAGTATGGGTACCACGCCCAGCAGCGACAAATCGATATATCAAGCTGATATAAGCTTATATCGTTTGATCGTTCGACCACACCACATTTTTGTTATTTTTGCAAATGTTTGCTAGAAATCACATCTCTGATTATGAATGCCCCCATAGTAACCATCCATGTGTCAGTTGTTTAGCCTCAAAAATCTTCATGGACGCGCGGGACGGCCAGGTGCTGAAGACTTACTGAAGGCCGTGGTCTCGTTACACAGTTCCAACATCTTCCACTTGGCCTTGTCCCCCGAGTCCGTCCGACTCAGAACCTCGGCCGGGTCCAAAATTCCAACTGGGGGAACCCAATGAACTGGGGATGTTGGTTGGTTTATAAATGGTTAGAATCTCCATGAGGTCAGCCATGTTGGGTTTTTTTTGGGTTTATAGAATTTTATAGATTCTATTTAATAAGACTATTTGTTTGTTTACAGATCCCTTGTCTATACTCCCCCATGTTTGTTGCTGTAGAATCTAGATCTAACCTAACCACCCCCAAAGAATACCCGAGCTGTTGGAGTAAACAAACTTAGTCAACTATATGGCCACCCAGTAGAGGAAACCCTATTCAACCAGCTGAGATGCAAATCCGAGGACGGGATGGCTGCTGGGATGCAATGACAGTGGTGAATAGTTCCAGCAGATTTTGTGGGGAGCTGCTGGCAACATGGTCAATTTACACTTTGGTTGTGGTCTCTCCAATCCACTCCTTATGTTTATGAAATTGTGTATTGGACAATTCCTATAGGAAATCGGTATTTTCCAGGAAATCACCCTGAAATTTCTTCCTGAACCGCCTATGACATGTGCATGAAATTCTGAAAATCATCACTTTTGACAGCTAAATCATCATTTTGATATATGTTCATCACCTCTTTTTTCATAGGCCATGGCTTCCATAGCTATGAAAAATCGCGGTTAAATCCCGACACGTCCGCGATCTGAGGCACGGGTCGGATGCGTTTGAAGTTAGCCGATCTGGGCACCTTTGAACGGCCCTCGCTGCCCGTCTCCACGCGCCCAGCCACGCAACTAGGCCGGTGGGTAGGATGGGAAGATGATCTCTGCTTCGTGGATGTATATGGATCTATCATAGCTGGATATAACTGGGCTATTTTTGGGGAAATGTTGGTAAATAGTTCAGAGATGGAGCATTTAGGGATGGGATTGGTCATGAAGATTGGGATGAAAATCATGGGGTTATAAATCAATAGGGAATTAACATGATTTTACCAATATATCATGGTGATGAATGGGGTTTCTCAACAAATTCATCGGATGTTTTTCCCTGATTTTCACCCTGGTTTCAGCTGGTGCAGCTTGACAGATCCTGGCAGGTTGGCGCAGTTATGCAGCGCCGGTCGCTTGGCTTAGACGGTTAGACCCTGCCTGATTCAATGGGAGTCACCAACCATATGTGGGAGATAATCATCAGATGTTTCACGGAACAATGTGACTATTGATAGCTCTGGTTAGGTCTATATAATTTGTTTGGTTTGTTCATTGATTTTTGTTGACGTTCCCATGGGTAGATCCACTTCACGAGTTGGTGAATCTATAGGGAATAGCAGGAGCAAATCCCCCGTTCCCATGGGTTGTTCTCCACAGAACTGTTGCAACCAGCTGCAGTTCCGGCACAGCAAAAGATACACCACATATCCACATCATGCCAGGCATGCTGGTGTACACCCCTGTTGATGGGTTGACCATTGTACCGTTATAATCCGTTATAGCATTTCACGAGTACATAACCCTCAACAAAAAACATAAACCATTGAACATTCATAGGGGTGAGCCGTTGATGGATCTTGTATCCCCCTTACATCGCAGGTAACTCACACAACAAATTTTTCCCCATAAGTCCCCAATGTTGGTAAACATATGTAATAGATGTTGGTAATTTAATTTAGGCCCTTCCCATCGATATACCATTAAAAACACACACACACTCACATCTCATTCTACCACCTTTACGGTTGATTCAATCCCAGCCCCATTCAATCACCATTAAACCACAATATATAAAACCTGTTATATCCCTATGTGTTCATATATGTTGTCCCATTCAAATCCCAAACAAGATCCACAAAGAATGAGATGACCATTAGTTGTTTGGCATCTAAACCCAGGATTTCCCCAATGGTTTCCCCCCACAGCTTTCTGGCCCAGGAGATCTCTGGGCGCAAGGCGCTGCTGCGGGTGGTGCAACGTGCCAAGGTGGCCAAGAAGAAGGTCGGATCAAAAACTGACGAGGGCTGGCCGAAAAATGGTGGATTTTCTGATGGATTTTGAAGGATTAAAAATCCAACCCCAAAATATGCAAAAATAGATCTATCTATGAGTTGAACATAGTTGAACCAGCAAACTGGGATGGGATTTTTGAGTGAAAATCCAACATAAATGGGATTTTATCGTGGTTTCGCCACATGCAAAACTGGGTTAAGATGGTGGAATTATCCAACATAAATGGCATGTGAGCCAACAAAACTTGGTAAATATGGTTGAACTTGTGATTTAGTAAAGAAAAAAACGTGGTAATTGACCAAAGATTGAGAAACTATGTGCAAACATTGTGATCCTTGAGTAGAACATGCAAAGCATGTCTGCGATCATGGGGCGCAATGCGCTACTACCACTCGGGAAGCTTTAACTACTTCGCAGCCATGGAATAGTTCCATGAGTTGGCAGTTGATGATTGTAGGTGGTTATGGGGGCTATATCCAATATAATGGGGCATATCACCATCCATTGTCGGAATCCTTCTTAACCAGTCTGGTGGAACGACTGAATTTTTTGTGATGGCCTGGATGGACCGCTCGTCGGCACATGTTGGGACCAGCATGGACCAGCAAAAACATCGAGTTCATCCCCGAATTCAGGTGAGCATGTTATTGGCCAACCAGGAAATCAGCTTGATAGTTCGACAAATTATAGTCCCGTCAACTCGAACTTTTGCCTGATTATTGGCAATGTTTCTGGTGTTATAAGAGTCCAGGTTGAAACTAAGCGGGGGCAGAATCAATGTTTAATAGTAAACCATACCCTGTTTGCCATTCACCCAAGCTTACCATTTGGGGGATAATCGAAACCACATTCCCCCGAATTGGCCAATGGGACATGATGGGACATTTTCCAGATTTGGTGGGTGAAAAACATGAAAATCCTGCACATTTCCCTTAACTCAATCCACAGAATATTCCAACCAAATTCTTAGTGGCGAACATGGTTTGGAAAAAACAATTTTACAGTAATAACTCGGAATACCTTTACCTTGAAATAACTTGGAATAACTCATTATCCAACTACCCCAAGTACCAATCCAATTGGGGCCACAGTTCAGGTGGAGAAGTTGCCCGAGAGCAAGGTGCTCAGCAACGTGTGCCTCGGATGCCTCCGGGGGAACCGTTTGGGATGGAAAATATGGGATCTAATGTAATGTCCTATGGGCTTTTAATAACCTCCGGTATCATATGTTTATATAAGCAATTTTTGTTGGGTCGGTTGGTTTCCATGTTATTTGAGATGGTTCGGTTTACACAATGGTTATCCAAAATGGGATTTCAGAGTGATTTAATGGGATATCAATGGAACACTCTGGGAGGTTTCATGGGACATTCATGGGATATACAGTCGTTGATGACATTGCAATGTCGCCCCCACAAGCTGACATTGGAATGTTAGCTTAACAAAAGGCAACATTGGGAATCTGTGTGGTTTTAAGCTGGGCAGTGATCATCAAAAAAAGTGATTTTCCATTGCCACACTTGATGAAGCGGCAGGGTATCGGTGAAGGAAGATGGGATGATTTGATGGATGAACACGGATGAAAATTGGTGAAAATGTGACTGAGATTGATCCATAAAAGTTCCCAAAAGGCATGGGATTTTCACCGGCCTTTTGCCATGAATCACACCTGGCATACCAGAAATTTCACAGATGGATGATGTTGCCAGGGAATGAATGAGAGGGACTTTCCATTGCCAGATGATTGAGACTTGCCGCGGGGAGAAATGTCAGTTGGGGTTGCAAACCATTATGGGGTCTAGTGGCGTAGCATTGCAGCCGCCGTTTTCAATGTAGTACTGGTTGACGGATAAATTTGCGGGACGTCATCTGGTTGGTGGTTTGGAACATTTTTTTCCAGATGTTGGGAAGAATAATTGGAAAAATAATCCCAACTGACTAATATTTTTCAGAGGGGTTGAAACCACCAACCAGGCATATTGTTCCCATTGATTGCAGTCAAGATCCAAAAGAAACTCTTTGGTCTTCCATCAACATATACTGTAATCCCTAGATGAACGGAGCCGTGAATGAAGCTGGCGGTTTTCATATATGAGCCATGGGGAGCCAACGAGCTACTTAGAGTTTCCCAAGCACATGATAGATGATTAGCACATAATAACTATAGTTAATTAACTTGTAACTATTGATAATTGACTTAATTAACTATAACTATAAGTGGAACATAGTTAATTCATTAATTTCAATATGAACTGTGATGCTGATATATGCTGCTTGTATTTTTCCCCTCAGCCCCTTCCAATGGTGTCCATCTCGCATCCCTCCATGGCTCCATCGACCCAGGAAAAGTCTGGAGATCCTTCCGAGTCTGAGCCGCTTGGTGCAGCGGAGAGTATGGGTGGAATGGAAACGGCCAAAGTAGGAAAGATCGTGGTGCCGTGAGAAAATCGAAACGTCTCTCAAAAAGCTAAGACTTTTGCACAAGTTGTACTCTTGGAGATGTTTTTCTCCGGAGTTTGCCTGCAGTGAAGCTATATTGGGGACATGTGAGGGAATTCAGGATGTCCGGTTAAATTGCAGTTGATTGCGCAGCAACGGACTTGCAACTGCTGCATTTTGGGTTCAAGGGATAGATATCCACTCGTTGCTGCCTGTGTTCTCGATTCATCTCAGCTTAAACATGAAGACCTTGCTGACCGAAGAAACCCTGAAGGTGCCAAAGGGTGTGAAGATCACCATCAAGTCCAAGAAAGTGGAGGTGAAGAGCAAACATGGAGACTTGACTCGTGACTTCAAGCACTTGCCGATCGAGCTGTACTTGGGAGATGGTGGCAAGAAAGTAATTGCCCGCATGTACTTCGCCAAGAGCAAGCAGTGCTCCATGCTGAACACCGTGTGCAGCCACATCAGCAACTTGTTTGATGGTGTTCAGAAGAAGTTCGAGTACAAGATGCGTCTTGTCTATGCGCACTTCCCCATCAACGTGAACATCATCAACGGTGGCAAGACCATTGAGATCCGAAACTTCTTGGGAGAGAAGGTGGTGCGAACCGTGCACATGATTCCCGGGGTGACTGTTGATAAGAGTGCCTCTACCAAGGATGAATTGGTCGTCACCGGCGCTGACATTGAGAACACTGGCCGTTCCGCAGCCCTGATCCACCAGTCCTGCTTGTGCAAGAAGAAGGATATCCGAAAGTTCTTGGACGGCATCTACGTGAGCTCCCACGGTGTCAAGGAAGACTAAGTGTGATGAGATCAGGCATGATGGGACGAACTGGCAACGAGCGGAGAAAAAAAAACATAGCGGAAGTGCGGCAGTGCTGTTTGACATGGTCTGCTGGTTTGTTTGTGATCTCTGAAGTTAGTGCAAATTCCCAATGCCACAGACCAGCAACCATCCCATTCAGATCCATTTAGGTCATTTAAGGATGGTGTTTATCATGTATGGTACTATCATGGTTGATGATCATAATGTTGTTCTTCTTATTCAATGAGTGATTCCTTTGTTTCTTTGGGTTTCCCACATGATAAGGGGATGCAAGTGATTCTTTCGTAGCTTTCTTTGGAGTGAAGCTGAGTGATCTAAGATACCCGCAGGTAAACGATCATAGCTATGGACAATCAACAAATGTTCATCAATCAATGGACCATTTTCCATGCGTATGTTCGATTTCCAGAGGATATGTCTAAAGAAAAAATTGTTTTGCAACCACCTTCCATGGGATAAAGGAGTTTCCAGAAGGTCCAGTTGACATCTTTTAACCTCCGATCTGCATTTTGGGTTCAAGGGATAGATATCCACTCGTTGCTGCCTGTGTTCTCGATTCATCTCAGCTTAAACATGAAGACCTTGCTGACCGAAGAAACCCTGAAGGTGCCAAAGGGTGTGAAGATCACCATCAAGTCCAAGAAAGTGGAGGTGAAGGGCAAACATGGAGACTTGACTCGTGACTTCAAGCACTTGCCGATCGAGCTGTACTTGGGAGATGGTGGCAAGAAAGTCATTGCCCGCATGTACTTCGCCAAGAGCAAGCAGTGCTCCATGCTGAACACCATGTGCAGCCACATCAGCAACTTGTTTGATGGTGTTCAGAAGAAGTTCGAATACAAGATGCGCCTTGTCTATGCGCACTTCCCCATCAACGTGAACATCATCAACGGTGGCAAGACCATTGAGATCCGAAACTTCTTGGGAGAGAAGGTGGTGCGAACCGTGCACATGATTCCCGGGGTGACTGTTGATAAGAGTGCCTCTACCAAGGATGAATTGGTCGTCACCGGCGCTGACATTGAGAACACTGGCCGTTCCGCAGCCCTGATCCACCAGTCCTGCTTGTGCAAGAAGAAGGATATCCGAAAGTTCTTGGACGGCATCTACGTGAGCTCCCACGGTGTCAAGGAAGACTAAGTGTGATGAGATCAGGCATGATGGGACGAACTGGCAACGAGCGGAGAAAAAAAAACATAGCGGAAGTGCGGCAGTGCTGTTTGGATTGAATTGATGGCCCTTCGGGGGGACTTGTTGCAACATAGTTATAGTTCTTTCTTTTCAAAGTCTTTAGTTCTCTTCGTGACAAATTTCAAAGACAGTATGTCCACCTGCACATCCGCCATTGTTGCCGGCAGTGCCACCTGTTTTGCTTGTCTTTGTTCAGTGAATTCAACTTGAACCTAGGTGGTGCCCCCTATAGATAGCTAACTTGCTTTATAACTAGCTTAACTATGCTTAACTATCGTGATATAACGATACAACTATATAATATAGCTACGCTAACTATAATAGTCTTATGATGGTTTATACATTCTTATACATATACTGGTTGGTGGGTTCAAACATTGTTTATTTTCCATAATACATGGGATAATCCTTCCCATTGACTAATATTCTTCAATATGGTTAAAACCACCAACCAGATATATATAGATGATTTATCCACTAACCATCATTAACCATTAACCATCATTAACCATCATTAACCCTCCAGTATAGTTAAAGGCTAAAGGGGGTTTATTTCAACCAACATCACCGGCCCCGAGGACGGAACCAGCACAAGGGCACCACCTCCAAGTCCAACGTGTCGCGGGAGATGCGGATGGACTTACTGGCGGAGCCGCTGGGCGCTGGGGCAAAGGTGGGGAAAAATGGTAATTTCATTGGATTTAATGGCATTCATATGGCATTCATATGGCATTTATGAGATTTCATGAGACTTAGATAGCCAAGTTGACGCAAATAACTTGGTTAACTGTTGGGTTTATGGGGAACATGTCAATGGGGGCGATAAGAATCTATAGACCAACTTGAAACTGGGGGGCTTGCCTTTTACTCGTAGATATATACATATAAATATGTATATATATATATATATCTATCTAATAATGATATATATACATATATATCTATCTAATAATGATATATATATAATAGATAGATATTTGATAATAGGGAATCTAATCGTCAAAACATGGTGATTCAACGGTTAAATGCCTCCATATGGGGCCAGAGGCCGATGTTTTCAGGTAATTTGTTTTAACATTATGTGTTTAATTCAATTTGGGAACTGATCACCAGCCTTGTTTGCGATCATGCTTTGGGCGGAAGCTCCCAAGAAATGGATACGAGTGGTACGTGGTGGAAGCACGTGCTTCCAAACCTTGAAAATGTGGTGAAGATGGGATAAGGTGGTTTGCATAGATGTCCTTTTCCCTTTTCCCATTGGTTGGTTGACTAATAGAGGGCTTTCTTCAGAAACCCCTTTAACAACAGGTTTCTATGATGATGGTATACCAGCTCCCGGCCCCTCTATTTTTACCAAAAGGACATTATTGGTGATTTGAGAATTATTTTGGTTCGCTGTTTTCCTACGTTTTCCTTGTCATTCCTTCATGAGTTACTTCTGACGTTCCCTATGAACTGAGTCAGTTTTTTGCTGAGGGCCTTCAATGTAGCAGCAGAAATACTGGTAGCCAAGCTTTGGGTGGACATTACAAGAAGTGCTGCCAATCTACGCGGTGATCCAACAGAGGTTATTTAATATGTTAATATCAATTTGGTAATTTTCATGGGTTCACAATTTATCCAACCATTAATCTGATGATTTTTCCATATCAAACAGTTTGAATATCAGTTCATGGTTGGAATTTTCCAGCTACCGGCGATGCTGCCGCCGCGACCGCTGCGACCGCTGCCGCTGGCTCTGGTTGGCTGAGGTTTTCGATGTTTGCTGAGTTGGAGCCCTGGGACTTGTACGAGCTCGCCAGGGAGTTTCAGGGTCCTTTCTATGTACTTCGGCAGTACCGGATTTAAGGGATGGTTTCGCTAGGCCGTACCCATATGTACCATATTGTACCATTATGTACCCATATGTTATGTATTCTTAACTTCTAACCATCCTGAACTGCCCTTGGAGCACATGCAGAATAGACTAGGTCACTAGGTCATGCTCAAAATGCTCAATTTTGCTGGAATCTAGGTGATTTTTCGGAATGGTCGACTATAATCGAATATACATTTATGCAGGTGAGACGTGGCTGATATTTTGGCTTGGATTTCGGGTCACTCTTGTACCCCGGATCAAATATCCATGAATAACTTCATTTGACCCTTTCTTGTACATTCCTACACGCTCCAGGATCCATAGGCCCCTAATTACTCCTAATTTATTCATAGTTGCTGACGTCAATGTTATGACCTCCTTTAGTCTTATCTTTGGTAGTTCAACATAGCTATTGAAAATTCATCTGTTTTTAATAGGTAAATCATCTACAAACAGGCTATGTTCCTTGCAAAGCATATAGGATGATTCAGGATTACAGTAACTGCAAACATTATAAATGTTAAATTATAGATGAGTAATTTCCTGTTAAATTATAAATATGTCAAGTTAGTGGATTAAGATATCCTTGCGGAATCAGTAATTGGGATTACCAGCTCGGCCCCCCAAGTTCTGTTTCTTGGTTCAGTTTCCACCCCATCAATTTGCTTGATATATATATATATATATATATCGATCTATCCATATATATATATCCACCGTAATTCATGTTTCCGAAGTTCAGTTAACATGAAATCAGCGATCAACTATAAGTCCCATACTGGTAGCTATTACCAACCACAACTAACATGTCCCCATTTTTCTCGGCTATCAACAAGCAAACATCTAAAGCAGGGGGGCCCTTGCAACGACCTCCAAGGTGCCAGCAGGCTCCTCCATCTTCCGCATGGGGGAGACAGGCGATTTCCTGTGGCATGGCGGCGCTGGTTTGTTCCAGGAATGAGGCAATGACCCATGATTATTAACCATCCCATTCCCCCATTCCCATCTGGTTGGTGCTTTGGAACATGAATTTTATGACTTTCCATATTGGGAATGTCATCATCCCAACTGACGATCTCCATCATTTTTCAGAGGGGTAGGTATACTACCAACCAGCCATCCATTCCCTACGTTTACAAGTAGGAATTTGGTTGTTTCGATTTCATGTTGGTTCGACCCTTGCAATCCCATCTCAAGCACCCACAGTGGAGATACCTGCCACAAACAGGAGAGGGATGCTGACACCATGACAAGAATCCAGGAGCATCCATAATATTCCATAGTCCCGCAGCTAGATAAATATATAATAGTATAAATATTTATATTTACATATACATATATACATATTTATTTATTAAATCTATTCATATATAGCACAAGTATAACACACCATAACTCGAATGCGATAGAAATCCCCAGTGGGGAGCCTCCACTTGGACACTGCCCATGGCTGTCCGAACCAATCAAAGTGTCATACACAAGGGTGAAGCACAGTGAACTCGATGATTTTGCCGATCAACATACCATCCTATCACCCAACTCTATAGTTACTATATATATGTTACTATAGTTTTAGAGTTTAAATGGTCTTTATTCAAGTTCTATAAAGTTCTTTAAAGTTCTATAGTTTAAACATCTATATAGTTCGATGACATCAAGTTATTTAAAGTTCTATACTTGATCGGGTTGAACCGCCAGAATTCGATTTCCCACTGCAGGTACTTCGTGCTTGCCGGCGAGGTAGTGGCACGCCGGGGCATCTTTGGCCAATTTCACAGTTGCCCTCGGGTCATGCAAAACAGTTTGCTATTGAAAGGGTCCATTGAGTTTGTTGATTTATCATGATTTATCTATTAAAATGGCCATTTATAGCATTTATACATGATTTTCCAGTTCGCACACTATTAGTTTACCAAAGGGAAATAGTATATAGTAGTAGTCTAATTACTATTGATTCAAGCGGTGAAATATGTTGAAATCAATTGGTGACATCTCCATTCAATCCCCATATGAATTATATATGAATTGGTGAAATCCCAATTCATATCCCATTGTCAACCATCATATAACCATCACTATTATATTAATTGGTGAAATCCCCATTCCATCATTAATAGCCAAATAATTTGTGAGATAGCGGGATTTAATAGTGAATTGGTTTCCCATTAATAAACCATGATGGAACCATCATGAGTCAGTATTAGTCATTAATCATTATTTTGGAAAAACGAATCATGGAAATGTAACGGCATGTAACGGTGTTTTTCCCATGAACCTGCATCGTTCTGGGACGACTCCGGGGCCGCAAGAAAAGATGCTGATGCTTCGCAACGAAGGGCTGCAGGGCTTGGCACCTGATCGACTGCCTTGTCGTGGCAGGGCAATTCTCCCTGTGCATTGTGGTAGATTGGGTGTTGTGAGCCCAGAAAATTCAATCATGCCCCCATCCCATCCCCAAACCGCCACAGTCAAACACTATAGGACTATCGGACATTTACTAACTATATCACCTTAGTACATCATAGTATAGTATACCACAGTTCACCAACATGAACCAGTTTCACCATGGTTTTTCTATGTTTTTCTCATGCTATCCCCCGGCTATCCCATTCCAAGGCAAGAAGGAGCTGCGGCGCTACCGCCGCGGCGGCTTCCTGGGCGAGGCGGCGCTCTTCGGCACCAAGGCCACGCGCCGCATCTTCTCCGCCAGCGTGGCGCGGGGCGGCGGCGGCTGCGCGCTGCTGCGTGCCTTGGACGGGAGCCCCGGGGAGCCACGGGAGCCACTGTGGGTGGCCGAAAAAGACCGATAGTTCCCCAAGGAATGGGGCATAAAAGTTAGTTTATAAATGTTTATAAATGTTAAAGGATTGATTAGGGGGATATAACAAACTCGTTGGGGTTATAAACATTAAATGTTTATAACCCCAACGAGTTGGTAAAATATCCCCCTAATCAAGCCATTAAATCGCCATGAAATCATGATGAAATCCCATTTCAGTGCCATATTTGTGTGCCATTGAATCACCAGTTTTCCCAGGAATGCACCACAACTTCTTCCGTAAAGATCTGAAGAACCGCGGCCCCGTGACCTCCTTAGTGGGTCCCGCGCGCTGGCGCTATCTGGAACAACCCGACCTGGAGCTGCAACCGCAGGAGGCGCTGGTTAAGCGAGTCAAGCTGGGGAGGTTGAGTGGATGAATGGATACTAATGGTGTTTGTTTATGTTGGCTTAATGTGGGTTATTTATGTTGGCTTAATGTGGGTTATTTATGTTGGCTTAATGTGGGATATTTCCGTTGGCAGCACGCGGTCTCTTCCAGCCGTTCGTTGGCTGCGAAGACTGAAAAGTGACCTCATTGTGTCTCGGTGGTTACTTTCGACCAGTGCATCTTCAGTTGCGAAGGCAAAAAGCCGACGTTTTTGCTGTTATTGAAGATGCCGCATTTGCGCACTACAATTCAGCAGCTTGGATATGGAGGACGTTGTCCGCACCCTTCGAAGTTCCATGTCTCTCTGCGCGCTGATGGTTCTTTTCGAACCTCGCTGGCAAAGATCTACCCAGCACCTATGAACCCTGCATTGGCTGGTGCAGTAATTCAATTTGCAACTGCGACTTTTGAGCTTGGTTTCAACTCAGGAGTCACCGGGGATGTCGCTGAACTTCAGCGTATGAATTTTGTGCCGCTGACTGTGGTTCAACCGGACTACTATCAAGGTTGTTGTGTGCTGCATGCGCCGAGCAAGACAGACTTGCAGAAGTCCGAAAGGAAAGGAAAAGGCCTTAATGTTGGTTATTTATGTTGGCTTAATGTTGGTTTAATGTTGGTTATTTTTTATTTATGTTGGTTTGATGTTGGCTCATTCTGAGATTCTGTTTGCTGTGATTATTAGTTCAGAAATGAATTGTTGAGTGGGCCAATCATTGTCCAGTACTGCCAATTATTGGTACTTGTTGGCTGTGATTAACTAGACGTGTTTTTCTTTGGGGGGTGGGGACCTGAGTAGGTTGAGTAGGTTGACTCGGGGGTTAGTTAAAGTTATATAACTTATGGTGAAAGATGACCAAGTAATGCTTGAGTATAACTTCATTATATTTGTGACTGAACTCTTGGAGAGGGCGATGGAGAGAGAGAGCTTCATTATATTTAATGATTAATCATGTTTCCTGATGTTTCCCAAGCCTGGGATTCTCCAACCCTGCGGCGCAGGTGGACGTTTTTGCCACGGGAGCTGTGTGGTGTCAACTGGCTGCGGGCTCCAGGGCCATGTCCTTCTTTAGGACCGAAATGGGACCTGGGACATCCTGGGACGGACAGTCGAAATGGGGAGTTTGTACATGGAAGAAATATGTGTTTTGATTGTTTTGATGCTAATGATGCTGGTTAGTGATGGTTAATTAATGATGCTGGTGAGTTTTTATTGTAATTTATTGTTTTGGGGATCCTCTTAGATGATGCTGGTTAATGATAGTGATGCTGGTTGGTTTGAACATGTTATTAGCCAACATTTTGGATGAAGCCAAGAAGTATCCAAGCGTTGTGGGTATACCACTGACAAATTCATGGGATACCCTATCGCACATGATATAACCATATGAGTAACCGACAAAATTAGCGGAACACTAAAGTAGTGGGGAGTGGACATGGGGTGTTCAAATTTGTGCTAAAACATTCACAACCGATAGACAACCACCCACTTACCGATACCCTATTTTTGCACATAGCATGAAAACACAAACGATAGGGGACCACCCACTTTGGCCATGTCCATTGCGTTTAGTTGGTAATTTTGTCCGCCACTCATATGTTAGAGAAAACCATTCAGGAAAGCGATCTACACATGGTGGGTTTTCCATATCTATGTCAAATTACATAGCAAAACGTGAAACCCGCGACCCACTTGGCGTCCTCAGGATCAAACGTGCGACCACCATTGAGGATCTACTGGATGCTGTGGCGACGCGAGACATCGGAAGTTTCTACTTCTTGGTGCAGGTGGCAGGGAACGGTGGGATAGTCCGGTGTTTCGTTACAGTCGGGGCGAAACTATTGGTTTTTCCTATCAACAAAGGGAGTTTTGGCCAGTTCTGGCAGCTAGAAATGCATGAAAGATCAATGCGTTTGCTTGTTTGAAGGCCACTGGCTCACGTCTTTGCTATTGTTCGCTACTGTAGTTGTTGCGAATTTGAGAGTTTAAAACGTTGCACCCACGGAAGACCGAACATTCAGAAATGAATTTGGAGTGGTTCATCAAGTTCATACATGTCCGTTGTATGTGCATTTTTAGGGTTGGGATACAGGCAATGCGAAAAGGAAAAATATGGGGATGGAGCGGACAAACACCCTGGGAGGCTTTCAAAGATTACTGTGGCAAACCCAATGCCAAAATGTTTGGGAGCCACAGTCGACGTGAATACCACAGGGACAATGTGGCTCCGCCAACAGCAATACAGGGACATGTGAGTTCCAAATTGCGAGTCGAAATCCTGCAAGGGCCTGCAAAAGGAGAATCAAAAGATGTCCTCAAGAGCAGTGTGAAGTTGAAGGAGAAACCGGTTCAAAACTCCAAAAGAGAAACCTCAGAAAAGAAGGAAGCGGATGAAAGTGCGAGGAGCACAACTGTCAACAATGAGTTGGCGATGGAACTATTTGGGAAGGAAGAAGACGAAGCCTAAACAGATTCAAGCCTAGCCGTGTGGAAAAACTGCGGCGGTTGCAAATTCCCAGTGATCATCCCTTTGATCCCACTGATTCTCTTAGTCCTATGATATATTCCATGAATAATTCTACAAATAAAAACACTGATCATCCCACTGACCCCATAAATTAATATGAATTACACCACTGATAAGTTCACTGATTGTCCCACTGGTGAGCTTATTGATTATCCTATTAACTATCCCGTTAGTCCATTGATTTTTCCATTCACTATCCCATGGATTGTTCCATTGATATATAAGCCTATTATTCATATTCAATAAATGTTCCCATTATATATACATTTCCCATTGATTATTCCTCCTTCGCTGAAATCATATTTACTCAAAACAACATAAAACATATATTACCGAAACATAGATACCTTTCTTAACGCTAATAAACTGTTAAAATAGGCTCCCAAGACTTTCAACTTAACAAAAAAATCATCCCCCAAATCACCATTTTTTATGGGTACTATCAACCATCCCCAGCCATGGTAGGTTTATGGCATTGGGTTTCCTACATTACTGTGATTGACAATCTAAACCAATGCATTTACTGAATCCGAAGCTACAGACCGAGCGGCTCAGCATAGATCACACTAGGATGTTGCCTTTCGAAAAAAAAAAAACATCTTGCGCAAACCCAGCAACCTAAAACGACAAGAAGTCCAAACCAAGTATGTTCCAACATGTTTCAAATAGGGTGTTGGTTGTTCCTTCCAAAAAAGTTGGGAGGGCCTGTTTAGAGATTTGGATGTTTGCTGGTCAACACTGATGATTACAGAGAAAGATGCAGAAATGTGCGATGCCCTTTCCAGCCGTGGACATCCTTTTCCTCACAAGTTTTTCTGGTTGGCCGAATGATGGTTACTGTAGCCCATGAAACAGTCAATCTAGGTAATATTGAATGCCACCCTAGAAACCATGTTTTTTCGTATTGAATCTATTTATTTTGGGGCCCATAGCAGAGGGTATTTCATATTAAGGGGATTAGGATGAATGGCCCATACCAAACAGCAAAACCGCCAGCTATATCCTCCGGTAATCAAACATGGCAACGGAAAATCATGGAAAATCCCTCAAGTCCCAGCTATAAATCTCCATGGCTAGTTAAATCCCTCATTTCTATATAGATAGATAGATGTCTTTTCCAGCTATAAACCTGCTAGTTTGGGGATTTAGCCATGTTTGATGACATCAGAAGCTATTCGTAAGGCCTCATTTCGAGCCAGGAATGGCGTGCCGTTGCATTGATCGAATTGATGGTACGACGTGCGTCGGCCTATGAGGCGGGCGACTTGGGGGAGAGGCCGAACGATTACTCTCCGGTCATCAAACCAACGGAAAACCACCATTTACAGAGGATCTTTATGGATTTTCTCACTAAAATTTTGAAATGTGATATATAAGTCTTGTGAGTGTGATAAGATGTTTGGATCTTGAATTTTTGAATCGTCTTTTTGAAAGAAATTGGCTGATGTGTCCTCACACCAGAAAACTCTGCATGCTCCCAGTCTCCATGAGTTTCTCACCCATCTATATGACTTGAATCTATGACTTGCGTAGACCCTACCTGGGGGTTTATCCCGATCAGCCAGTGATGAACAACCTTAATGGGTATATCCACGCCTAGCTAACCCCCAAAAAGATAGAAAAATGGGACACCTGGAAATACGACGTAAAAATGTAATCTACATCCTGGAAACTCGTTTCCACATTTTCTCGGGGCTTGCTATAGGTTACAAAATGTTTCCTTCCCGTTTACTAAGTGTCACGCACATCGAAGCAGAGTTTGAGTCATCAGCTGCCTTGAGGCCTTGGTTTGTCTGGAAGAAAAGGCGCGCAGATCCAAGGGTTTTTGGTCATGTTATGTCATGTTTCATGGGGAACTCATGCTGGAATATGTTGGAAGTTGGGTTCCCCTTGTTTTTGTTGGGAAAGAATCATGTTTGGGAGAAATCTGGCGAATTTGGGCTTCTTGAAACTGGAAAGCTTCAACACCACATGAGTCATCTCCTACGGAATCTCAGGATTCAAAGTGTCCACTATTTGGCGAATTTTCTATTGATTACTTCTGGTCCTGATGGGGTCAAATGCAATGGCAGCACAGCAGTTGTTGACCCAATGTCCTTGCGTGCTTCTTTGATTGATTTGTTGATTTGATATGTTTTGTAGTTTTAAATGGTTGATTTGATTGTATAATGATTGGACCGGCTTGAATTACATAGTGCGATTGGGTTTGGGTGTTTGATGAGTACCTCTATCCCATCCCACATCGCTTTGTCCAAAAATGAAGCATACACACACACCCATATCTACCAGTCAATCATCGCACTATCTTCCCCAGGAACAAAGGCCTTTTCTGGAGTATGTGTCAGTTTTAGACACATCCAAATGCAAGAAATCTCAAGTGCATCAAGTGTTCCCCTTTTTCAGTCCCAATGTTTCCCCATTAAAAAAGCGACGTTTTGCTACGACGAGATCCTGGCTCTCGCTTCGCGCTCCAGGAGAACTTGGAGCTGGTGAAGCATGACAACGATCAAATCGAGCCACCGCAACTTGACGCTGAAGACGGCGCCTCATGGAGGATGGCTGGGTGAAAGTCATATTTTGTCTGAACATGGTGGAATTACCCCATAAAAAAGGACACTGTTGGCAGGAATAATGATGATAAATCATTGGTTTTTGTGTGATGTGTGTGTGTGCCCTAGTTTTAGACAAACCCATATTTATGGGTTAAAAAAACGATGAACATGTTGAAACACATGGTTGATGGATGAATAAAAAATCAACAAATTTTGATGTTTGGCCTCCTTTGACGGAGGATCTTTGGTTGGGATGTCCGCCTAGGAAACACACCTATTTTTTCGGATGAATCTTGAGGATTTTGTTTCTTGAGCTCCGGCAAAACCATCCTCCCGGTTTTTGAAATTGGGCCTCAATGACTGGGATTTTTCGTTTTTCATCATGACCCCCAGTCATGATTAGTGAATGGGATGGTTTATGCCACCTTACTTGGAGGATCATTCCTTAGTAGCATGGTTAAAACACCATTTAAAACCAACAGTTAGTACGTCCCCAACGGAGCATTGTTTTCGGGTTTACCAATGTATACCAATAGTATCCCAATCTGTTTAACCAAATGGCTATGGATCAATACCTATAAATACCATTTAAGGGCATGAACATCCATTTACATCCATTTCCCAGCTAATTATTGATGTTCACCAGGGGTACAAGATTTCGACCCATCACCTAAAAACTTTGCCTTTGAATTGCACCACTGGGATGTCCCCAGAGTCAACCCCAAGGCACCGCCAGAGCCAAACTGCCCAGGCAAGGCTTCATCGCCTCGGTCGGCAAGGCGGCCAGTGTAGCTAGGCACAAGGCTTGCTTCACGTTGCCATAAGGCGGAGAATGGCTGTCAATGTACCCTCTGGTTATTTAAGATAGCTACGGAAACTCACCATCTTTAATAGGTAAATCATCATAATTCATAAATCATCTATGAATGGCCCATTTTCCATGGCTATGTTAAATAACCAGAGGATAAGTGGCCTGATATACTACAGCTTATCAATGCAAGGATCATCCAGGAAGAGGTTGGTCAGTTGTTGATCTCCTCTTCATGTTTTGCTGCTTCTGTCACTCCCCAATTATATTGGTAAAGCACCCGAAAACAGAAACCTAGAGGTTTTGGGGAACTCTGGTTTCCAGGGTCTAATCCTCATTTTGCCCCAGGGTCATTCAAACAAAATGTTCATCTCCCACCCCAACATTACTCAGGTGCAACCATGTGCAACCTATATAAATTTCAACCCGTTCATCTCCAAGAAAAACACCGCAGACCATCATATCAACAATGATTTAGTTCTTCCTCTTCAAAAACTTTCAAAACACCTTCCCTCATCTAAACCACTCTAATGTGGGAAAAAACAATGCCATAAACATCCATAAACAATCCATTTTCCTGTGGATGGTTTATGACATTATTTTATCAACATTCACCATTTTTTTGACATCTATTGACCACTATTAACCATTGGTAATATCTATTGGCCACTATTAACCATTATTAATATCTATTAACCATTATTAATATCTATTAACCATGATTAATATCTATTTAATATCTATTGACCACTAACCAACATTTCTTCATCCCCCCACCACCCAACTCCCATGGTTTCCGTTGCTAACTTAGGACGTCCAGCAGGCGGTGAACTCGGCCTTCGAGCTGACGTCCGATGCGGTGCAGGCCTCGGTGGCGGTGAAGATGTCGTACAGCGCGCGGCAAAGCGTGCTGCAGCAGTGACATGGCGATGGCGATGGCGATTTTTCGGGAAAAAAGTGGGGAGAATGGCGGGAAAACATCGCCATAATGGAGGATTATTATGATAATACCCCATTAGTTTCTCCAATATCGGGACCTCCATAATGGTAAAAAAGTCGATAAATGGAGGTGGAGAGCAAAATCATCGAAGTAAATGGGGAATGGTAGGATGCTTTTTTGATTCTATGATGGTATATTCCCATCACACTACGGTAAGACACACCTTGACTGGGTTGTTTTATGTCGTTTTATCATTATTAGGAAGAAGGGACTACTGGGATTTCATGGGGTATGATGAGATATACCTAGAACTTCTTGTTTCCATATTTTCTGCTCGGGCAGATTTTGTTCCTTTTCCGGTTATTTTGCCCGAGGTATTTGTTCATATTTGTTCAACAAAATTTCATATTCTGCCCGAGTTGTGTTTTTTGCAATGCAGACTGGATCATGTTGCAGCTTGTATCAGCCACACTTCACCTTTTGACCCCCTCAAATTGCAACACGTGTTTATGTTGCCAAAGAGTGCTAAAATTGCCTAGATTCATCTAGATTCAAAATTTTGCCCTCAGGTTGTTTTTTTGCCCGAACCATTGTTCAGGCTAATAAAACAGCTGAGGCTGAAATTGTGGCCCGAAGGATCTAGGTATAAGCATCAATAACAAGCTTTCACGACATTGCTGACTGGGGGTCAACCATCAAAGTTTGTGAGGATTCATGGGGCTATCAACTATCAAAGATGCCATGATAGGATTAACACACGATGGTTGCTTTTTTGATTACTGTAGTTCGAGGATCACACTGCCCATTTTGAATCCGTGAGCTGGGAATCCCTTTCTGAACCAAGCAGCATAAGGCTGTCTGACATTCTGGGCTTTCACTGCTCAACTTAGACAGGGCCATAGTTTAGTTAGTAGTTACAGTACCTGGTGGTCGTAAGTGTGTCACATCTCCAACTCATAACTGGATGATTGAGCCATCCACGCGCCATGAAGGGATGGTGGTTCATGTTGGGTCAAGTTGGTGGGCGATGTTGTTGTTGTTGTTGTTGTTTTTTTTACCTGTACATGCTTTAACCAGTTTGATGGGAATATACCTATATACCTATAGACAAAGGTGACTTCTTTGTGCAGGGGCTTAGGTGAGCTGTCGGATGCAGGCGCATTTCGAATTGGAATTATGAATGCCAGGTACCTACTCAAAGCCAGTGGCTTCCCTATTAGACATGACGGATTTCAGTTGATTTTTGAGACCTCCCTTTTTGGAAATCCCTTGAAATTCGGATGTTATGAGTTCACGTTGCTGGGCCTTGGAATCGCTTGATGCGGCGATGGCTGATTTAAGCCTCCATGGGGGACTTATGTCATCCTGTGTTGAAGTTTGTCGCCATTTCGCATCCATTTTATATGTGTTAGGAATCTATAAGCTTTAGCCGCGGATACCTGACACCCTACCCAGCCCACAACCCATTTCACTCCAGTCTCAGGTGGGAGAGGTTTAGCAACGTTGTCACTGAGAGACTCTTGGCCGGAATGTATCTTTCACGATCCCACTTTGCAGTTGGTAATGACCTTGGAATTTTGAAGCAGCCTGACCAAGTGTGTGGCCCCTGTTTTTTGAATCTCCGATGAAATGATGAATCTCTGTGGGTTGAAAACTTCAAGCCAAACAAGATCATCCAACATGCAGTCCGTACTACACTGTGATCTATGTTGGAATCTCAGTTCCTTGTTTTTGCATCCTTGGCATGATCACCCAAGATCAAAATCAATGATGTTTAGTACGACAGTTGTGACTCTGTTACTATAGACCGCACAAAAGACCTACATACTAAACGTGTGCTAAAACACGTTCCCTTTCTATCATTTTTGCGGGGTTACAGTGGTTGCTTACTGGGATATGTGTAGGATATTTTCATGGGTATACTGGAAAATTAGTATGATAGCATATGATAGCACTCGGGTCCGCATCCTGGTTGGTAATTGCCAAAAAAACATCATATAGATACCCTTTGGTAAATTAACATAACTATGGAAAATCACAATTTTCAATGGTTACGGTAAATCCACTATAAATGGCCATTTTCAATAGCTATGTTGAATTACCAGAGGGTAACCCATATACTACATAAACCGTTAATATCCGTTCATGGGGTTGCTCAGTTAATATGGTAATTCCAATTATAAACCTCCTGTTTATAGATTATTATTATCGCATTGCATGTTTTTTTTTTTTCTGTGAAATATGGGGATAGTTCATTACTGGCTTCACGACATTGTATAACTGGGATATTTCAGATTGATTATTAAGTGTCCCAGTTAGTAAGGGGTTAACAAGCTATAACATACTATATATGACACAATAAACTACAATATTGACAATAATCCAGATATATCCTCATTATATTTCATCCAAGTCAGAAAATAAGATCCAACTACATTTTTAAGTGGATATCAACATTCCACAACTATATATATATATATATAATATATATATATCATCCATATTAATGTCACCAGCTCAGCTTTAACAATCCCTCAGTAACGCGGGGCCCACGTCCCAGGATACGGCCAAGCCATCGGCGAAGTCTTCGGGGACCTCTACGGCAACCTCTTCGCCAAGGACATCCTGTGGATGTTCCGCAACCCCACGCGCGCGCAGCGCTTCCCGGTGCCTCGGTTGCAGCACGGCTTCGAGGTGTTTGGCTTTGAGGGGTCTGATGATCGTCGCCTTTGGGAAACGCACATGGAATTGCAGCAATTTGCGGAAATTGCATGGAATTGCCATGATTAGGTACCCACTGGTAATTTAACAGTTTGCGATTGAAAATGGTGATTTCTAGTGGATTTACCCATTGAAAATTGTGATTTTCCATAGTTATGTTAGTTTATTAGGTAAATCAGCGAACTAAATGCACCATGTTCAATGTCCCTATGTTGAATGAAGGGTGCCCCAAGGTCCCACTGGTTCAAGAGACAGGGATCATCCCCTGCGATGATCGATGGACCAAACTGGCCAGCTTTCTCCCAAAGAGAGATCGTTGCTGATGATGGCTACGAAGAGATGTGTTAATGTGCTAGGTTTTGGGGGGATTTGATAGCTGCAATGGTGTAGATCGAAACAGCAGCAGAACCAGAAACACATGATAAAGAGAGAAATCCCTATACAAAGTGTATATAGATAGATGTAAGCTAAAACAGGTGATATTGAAATAGCGCTTAAACTAATGGAAACTTAACAAAAGCATGTGTTTGGAAAGATGGTTTGATATAAGTACTGGAAACTGGAAACTTTTGCATAGACTATCTATGTCTATCTCATCAAAGCTCAGTTCCACTCCTCAGTAGAAGTGACCTTTAGGCCTTTAGGAACGTTCCGTTCAGCCAAATTTACTCTTTCCATGCGTTCTATCATCCCCAAGACCTTCGAAACAGCGGAAACACAGCATGAACACAGGCTGCAGTGCTGGAAGGTGGTTGGACATATCTACCAGATTGGCTCACTATGGGACACCATTTGGCAGGAACATGAATCCCATTAACATCCCAGTAAAAGAAAAATTAAGAAAATTCAAACTAGTCCCATTAAGATCCCATTATCCCCCATCAAAATCAAATTAAAGTCCCAGTAAAACTATCATTTAGATCCCCAAAATTCAGGTCCTCCCTCGCCCCTTAGCAATTGCAAGGTGCTCTTGGTGCGTTCCGCAGAGGATGGAAATCTACTGGCGCGGTGGCAGATCGGAGCCTCGATGGTCTTCGAAAGTCACTGGCAGAAGGGAATCCACCTGGGACTGTGGATTTTTTCGCCGGTCAAAGATGGAGGTTTCCCTGGAAATATTGGAAATGGTGTTATTTTGCGAAAGTTGATGGTTATCTGAGATATCTATAGATATCTGGTTTATTTTCCTAAAGTTGGTGGTCATTGTTAATTACTAATCAAATAAACATTGGAAGATAAAGATCAATAAAGTTCAATAGAGATGAAATGGCGTTATTTTGCTAAAGTTGATGGCTCATAAAAATGTGCTGATTTCTGATTACTAATGTTTTATTGAAACCTTCCCAGAGATACAGAAATACAGCTTCATGGGGTGCCATGGAAACTGTGGCTCACTGCAGTTGACCCATGTTTTGGTCAGCTTAGAGCAATGCAAAACCCTATTGTTTTTCGGGCAAAAAATGGTTCCATGGTCTTTGAACTCCATTGGGCTGCATCTATAAGCATTTATAAGCTACGGGGTATCCCAATCCCATGGCTTCCCAGTCCCAATTCAATGAAAAAAAATATGATCTCATGGTATATACATTTTATACATGTTTATCCCATATGCCATGGTTTTTCTATCCCGGTATCCCATGGGCCCAATGGCTTCAGGTGAGCTGTGTGCTCGCACTTTGCCCCGCGTCCTGCCCTCCCTACGTCCTGCCCTGGTGGCCGGATATCAGCGGCCTGGCGGTGCAGCTGGGGATGGGTGGAGAAGCGGCAAAACGTGTGGCAAACGTTGGGCAAACGTTGGGGTTTCACGGGAAAAATATGTGGATTTCACTGATTTCACTGGAAAATGCCGGTTGATGAGTCGTTGTAGGAGGGTATGCTGATCTAGTTTATTGGCGATTGTTAATGTGTCGTGTGATTTTGTATTATGCCCCATTGTGGGAATCCTTGTGCCCTATCAACCACACAGCAAAATGGAATCATTTGAGTCAAAGGGAGGCCAGTGAATTTAGTTTTGGAGATGCTCAGAGTAGAGGATCTTGGTGCATATTGATCGTAGAGTTTGAACTAAGATGAGGCCGTGAATTGGAAGACATGAGAGGAAGTCGAGAATTCACTAATTCAGATGTCCCATATGATCCATGCATTTACCTTATGATTATTTGGCATAGCAATTGAACATGGTCCATTTATAGATGTCTTATGATGATTTACCTACTAATAATGGCAATGTTCCATAGCTACATTACATTATTACAAGATGGACATGATATTTACCATATATGACTCATTGTAACTCTAATTACTATCTATTTATATTATATTCTCCATGTATTTCATCATATTTAATCATATTAGCATACATCACTGGGTGAAACAATTGGGATTAGCGCCACCCCCATGGCCTTGAGGATTGGCTCAGCTGTGGGGCGCAACCGCGCCATCAACTTCAAACGCTTGTGGATTGACGCCTTCATGGGCAGCTTGGAGGCGGTGGTGAAGATCTTGGAAGTTTTTTTTAAAAAAAATGTAAACCTGGTTGGTGGTTTGGAACAGCCGCGATTGCCCAATGCTACCAGCAGCTGCGGCCGTCCACCACCGATCTTGGTTAGGTATCTTTACAGGGTTTTGCCATGGCTTCATTCCCCATGACGTCCGCTGATCATGCTGTAGGTGAGAAGGTCTCCCTGGTTTCGAAATTGTGTTGCTTTGACCCATGTCATGAAGCTCACATTATGGAAGCTCTGTACGACAAGGTGACGTTCAAACTGCATGGATTACTGGATGGTTCTCATGAGCGATTTAGCCTGATGAATGTTCGATATCAGCAGCAATATCCAACTCCGAATGTGGCACTGGAACATGATTGGCTGCTTCAGACAATTGAAGATCCCCCTGCCTCCATACTGACAACGACACATGGTGAAGTGGTGATTTCACGACACAGGTCGCAGAGCTTGCAGTCCAAAAGTGCGAGGGTTCACACGGTCGGTGCGGCCAGCACGATCTCCTTGTGCGGCAAGGATTCTCAGCTGAAGGCTGGTGATGACCCGTGGATTGCACAAGATCCTTGGAAACAGTATACCCAGGGCAAGTCTGCCTCATGCATCCCAAGTGCCAGTGATGGGATTCAGCAACTTGCTGATAGGATCCAGAATGAAGTCCTTCGGAAATTGCCGGCTATGACCCAGATGGAACAGGATGACATGCCAGAACGTTTGTCCACCCTGGAGAATCAGGTTCAGCAGCTGATGGGACAGCACAAGGCTTTGGATCAGAATGTGCAGGATTTGTCAAATCAGAATGCTCAGCAGTTCGCACCGATGCAATGCCAATTGACCCAGCAGAGCCAACAGTTGCAAGGTCAAATCGATGGGCACTGTCAGAATATGCAGGCACTGATGGAACACCAAATGGTGCAGATCCGAGGCCTTCTGTCGATGTCTAGATCTGAGGTCCCATTCAACATGTACAGGTAAGGGCTTGAGCTAGGCTAGTTGGTTTGTAGTGGTTTCACCCCAGCCCTTTTGGCTTACTAGTGCAACGGTGGTAGAAAAGGTTGTTAGTGCTACTTTTAGGTTTTCATGGTAGCCGAGCTCCTGGTTGCTGAGTGATCCACAGGATCTTCGACACTCCGCTCTCCTGAGCCGGCACAGGATCGTTTCGATCCGTGCCAACGATGGCGTCGCCATCAGGCCAGGGGTCACCCACTGGAGGAGGCAGCGGATCAGGCCAAGCTGAGCAGATGCTGATGCAGATGTTGCAACAACAGCAGCAGCTCATGATGGGGCAACAGGCGCAGCTGGATAACCTGGCCAGACTAGTAGAGCGGCAGGCTCCTGCGCATCCCCGGGGCTTAGTGGACTTGAAGGCAGTTGGTCGCCCAGAGTCTCTTGGTGGGAACCTTGACCAAGCTACGTCAACTTGGCGGCAGTGGAGCTACAAGTACGAACTGTGGCTGGCCTCCCAGTGGGAAAATGGAGCTCAAGTGCTGAGATGGTGCGAAGCTGAAACGGCCACCATCGACCAAGCAGTGCTCACAGCAAAGGCTGCAGAACCAGGTTTTGAGACACTTCCCCAGCTGAACCGGCAACTTGAAGTGACACTAGCTTCCTTGACAAAGGATGTGCCTGGCGATATTGTCTTCAACTCACACCGTGGATCTGGGTGCGATGCATGGCGCAGACTGTCTGCAAGGCTGAACCCAAACAACCCTCTGTCCAATCTGCGGCTACTGCGGAAGATCATGTCTCCATCCCAGGTCACGGACATCTCTGAGCTCCACCCTTCCCTTGAAAGATGGGAGAGCTTGCGGTCAGACTACGCAAAGAGGCCAGGGTGCAGCGACTTGACTGATGAGCAAGCACGTGTGGTGCTGTTGGCTATGGTTCCTGATGCTCTGCGGGAGTACCTGGACTTGAACCTGGGCCGTTTGAACAGCTATGGTCTCCTACGCAATGAGGTGCTGGCCTACGCAGAGCAGAAGCGACAGCGAGAAGCTGACGACTCTTCTGGAGCCCAACCCATGGACGTGGATGCGCTGACAAAAGGTTCTGGAAAAGGGAAACGTGCTGCCACCAAAGAGGACTTGTGCCACCACTGTGGCAAGCCTGGTCACTTCAAGCGTGACTGCAGGCAACTCAAGGCCGAAGGGAGGAAGAAACCACCGCCCAAGGGCCGCGGGAAAGGTCGCGGCAAGGGTGGCGGCAAGAAAGGATCCGCTGCAGAGCTGGATGGCGGGGAAGAAGAGAATGAGGAGCCAGAAGGAGAGCAAGAGGACGCAGAAGAATTTGCAGACATCGGCTTCCTTTCCGTCCTGACAGCTGAGGAGAAGTCCATGCTGAACAAGGCCGTGGAATTAGCTGAAGATCCGGATGAGGCCGACTACTACGAAGACTGCCTGTGGAAAGAAAGTCTTCCCACTGGCTCGGCTTTGGAAAAGCTTTGTGGCTTAGGACTGCTTCAGTCCGAGCCATCCTCCAGTTCCACCGCGCTCGCCAGCCAATACGTGAGTACCTGCCCAGCCTCTAACAAGGTCTACGGCGACAACTCTGCAAGCAGCGCGCCCACTGGACTGCGAATGGCCACCAGGGCTCTGTCCAGTCAAATGGCAAGCTGCATGCAGGACCTTCGCGTGGCCATGGCAAAGGCAGAGGAAGATGGCGACCTGGAGGAGCTTGAGTCTTTGCGCAAGTCACGGCAAGAACTACAGGCTCAATCCGAGAAGGCAAAAGCACAAGGCCAAGATGTCCGCCGTTCTCGCAGCAGACGTTTCCAGGCAGACATTGAGGCTGGCAAGAATGCCCGAGAGGCATGGCGAAAGGAGAAATCTCGTCTTCGAGCTGGCAAACACCGCCAACAATCAAGGCCAGAGCGAGCTGCCGAACGCATGGCGTTGGAAGAGGAGTGGACGGTCAAACACCGTGCTCCTGGCGCTGCTTCGCACAAGGAGAAAGCATACCCACTGATGCCTCATCTGGAGGATGAGGTTTCTGCTCCGTTGACCAAGAGTGAGCGTCTGGACTGCAGGCAAGAGTGGGATGAAGCTTGCCCTACTGTGCGAGAAAGGCAATGGAGCAAGTCAGGAAAGAAGCAGAAAACTTGGCAGCAGAAACAAGCCAAGGCGAGGCGCGAGGAAGGAAGGCTGAAAAGGAAGCAGGCAGCGGAGGCTGCGCTTTCCTGTCACAAGTCTCCGCCTGGGCCACCTCCCTCTGAAAATAAAGCTGGCTCAGGGTCGGTTCGACCCGAGCCAAAACAACTCAAGCCAAGTCCGCCACCTGGACCACCGCCATGGTGGAATGGCAAGGACGCCGCCAGTGGACGGGTCCTAGCCCTGGAGTCACCGGTGGAGGAGGCGAAGTCTGCGCAAACTAAGTGGCAGAAATTGGTTGTGACTTTGGACTCTGGAGCATCAGACAACGTGATGCCAGTGCACCTTGCCAAGCAACAGTGCATGGGTCCTGTCAAAGGCGTTAAAGAGTTTGCCACGGCGACAGGGTTCAAAATCCCTAACCTTGGCAGCGTCACAATGGACATGTACCTGCCAGACTGGCGCAAGTTCTCTTCCAACTGGAGCGTGGCTGACGTGAAGCGTCCTCTGCTGTCCATGACGAAAGTTTTGCAAAATGGGCATAAAGTAGTGATGGATGCAAAGTGCTCCTACATCCAAATGAAGAGTGGCCAGCGCATCAATCTTGACCTCAGTACTGGTGTGCCCACCTTCAGCACATGGGTGCTGATGCCTTTTCCCGGGCAGCCAAAGATGACTCAGGCGTAAGGCCCAGACTGGCAGCCAGCGCGCAGGAAAAGTGTGCGGTTTTGGACGAACAGGGTTCGAGCAGGGTTTACTCAGTGTTTACTCTTGAAAAGTCTAAGACTAGAGAGTTCGATCCCATCCTTTCTTTTCCAAATGGCTCAAGTGTTTCACCTAGCAATTTTCCTTGTAGTCCACCCTTTACTGTACAGTTTCAAAAGGGGCTCGGCTTGGCATTTTGCCAAGCGCTAGTTCGGGGTAGGACAGGAACAGGTTTGGTTCAAGCCGTTCCTGAAATTCAACCGGTCCAAGTGCCTCAAGCTGCAGTCGAGGGGACTGAGGCTGCCAACCGGCAGGAGGCTTCCGAAGGCTTGCTCGAAGCTGACGAAGCTCAACTTGCGCAGCCGTTGTCCACTCCCGACCAGCCCACAGAGCAGATGATCCGCGAACATGAAGTCTCCCATATACCGTACCGCGCCTGGTGCACTGCTTGCGTGCGTGGGCGAGGGCGAACAATGCAGCATCGCCGGGTAGACCACTCGGACAACTTAATCCCAACTCTGTCCATGGATTACGGGTTCCTTGGCGATGGCCTTCCCTTTGTCGTTCTTCGCGACAGAAAAAGCAAGGCAATCTTCGCTCACCTTCTCCCTCACAAAGGCGTTGCGTACAGCAGTTTTCCCGAGCGTGCAATCCTCCGCAATCTTGCATTTCTGGGTTACAAGCGGCTTGTTCTCAAAAGTGATCAGGAAAGTTCTTTGAAAGCTCTCCGTGAAGCGGTTGCCAATGGCTACCCCGCAGAAGTCACGTGCGAAGATGCCCCCAAAGGTGGCGCGCACGGGCAGAGCAATGGCGAGGCTGAACGTGCGGTCCAAACCATCCAGGGAATGGTCAGAACGCTTGTCTCGCACATTGAAGAAAAGACTGGGCAACCACTCGGCAATACTTCCCCTGTCATTGCTTGGGCAGTTGAGCACGCTGCAACTTTGCATCTGCTCTTCTCAAAGGACACAGAACTGAAGGATGGCTTGACGCCGTTCCAGCGAATCAAGGGGAGAGCTTGGCACATACCGCTGCCATGCTTCGGTGAAATCGTCGAGTTCCGCAAGCGCACGGAAACCAAATCTGAGCCTCGGTGGGAATCTGGCATCTACCTTGGAACTCGCATCACCTCCAGCGAGAAAATCATAGGAACTGCCCAAGGGACGTTTGTGGTCCAATCCCTCAAGCGAAAGCCGCCTTCTTCGCAATGGGACATGGACTTCTTGAAAGAGTTCAAATCTCTTCCTTGGAGCCTGAAGCCTGAAGGTCCCACGTCCATTCCTGCTCCTGCTGACATTGCTCCGGAACTTCCGGACGCTGTGGTGCAGGGACCGGTTCGGCCCGCGCCAAAGGAAGAAGCGGGGCGCAGGATGTACTTAAGGAAAGCCGATTTCGACCAATTCGGTTTTACCGCAGGTTGCAGCGCCTGCGACGCATTGCGTGAAGGTCGCTCTCGTGCTGGCATACTCCATTCGGATCATTGCCGTGATCGGATCACCAGTCGTCTCAAGGACACTCCGGCAGGGAAAGATTGCCTTGAAGCGAACCTGGAACGCGAAAACAAGTACCTTGCCAGGTACATCGAGCGGGAGGATACTGCGTCAAAAGCATCGGCGTCGTCGCGCGCTTTGCCTTCTACCCTTGAGCAGGGCACGCCTTTGCCTAGCGCGCCTGTTTCTCACAGCCCCATGCCGATGACTCCAACCATGGAAGTTGAGCAGCCCGTCGACCCAGAAGATAAGAAGAGGCCTCTGTATGAGCCGGCGTCAACAATGCGACAGAAAGTCGCGCGTGCTTCGCCAACAACCTCTGGAATTCCTGCTCCCTCCTCACGAAAGCGTGTTGCTCAAGACCAAGGGGATGAGGACAGGATCAGGGTTCTTGAGTCAGACATGCGCGCAGAAGCTCAGAAAAGACCTTTGGAGCCAGGAGGCGACCTGGACCAGCTGCTGGCGCAGGGCGAAGATCTGGTAGATGGTGCTCTTGCTGCGCACCGCTCTGCTGTCCTTGCAAACCTGATTGCAGAGCAACCGCACCGCCCACTTGCTGATATAAAAGACGAGTTCGAGCCATGGTTCCTGGAGCAGTCCTTCTACGATGACAACACTGGCAAGCCACTCCCCTCTAAGGGCGTTATGGAAGCAAGGTATGAGGAACTGCAGGTGATCAAGCAGATGGGTGTCTGGGAGGTCATCAAAAGACCTAGGAATGAAAGGACCATAGGCACAAGATGGATCGACATCAACAAGGGCGACAATCTGAGACCAAAACTCAGAAGCCGCATTGTGGCGCAAGAGCTGCGTCGCAAGCCATCCCACACTGGAATGCCCGAAAGCCATTGGGCAGACTTCTTCGCAGCCATGCCCCCATTATCCGCCATGAAGGCCCTCCTTGCTTTGGCCACCACTGCGCGGGTACCGGACATGGCAGGAAAACTGCAACCTATGCCAAAGGACATGGTCTTGATGTTTCTCGACATCAAGAAGGCCCACTTCTGGGCCCCAGCCCGTCGAAGGATACTGGTTGAATTGCCCGATGAACTTGGACTGTCCAAAGACTATGTGGGACTCCTTCACCGTTCCTTGTACGGAACAAGGGATGCTCCCCTTAACTGGGAAATGGCAATTCGCGATGTGATGGTGCAACTGGGTTTCCAGCAAGGCCGCTCGTCGCCTTGTTTGTACTACCATCCACAGCGGCACATTCTGTGCTCTGTCCATGGAGACGACTTCATGGTCCTAACTGGGCACAAAGATGCCATTTGGCTGCGTGACCATCTTGCGGAAGCATGGACCGTTGAAACCCGAGGCATCCTTGCTCCTCCTGACAGCAATTTGCCCGATTGTGTTCAACAACTGTCAGTCTTGAACCGCTTGATCACGTGGTCGGATACCGGCATTGAACTTGAGGCCGACCCACGGCACGTAGAACTGATCGTGACAGACCTGGGTCTCAAAGGCAGTGTCCCTGTCACTACACCTTTGCTGAAAGCCAAAGCTTCTGAAGAAGTTGATGAGACTCCGCTGTGTGATCAGGACGCTAGCCGCTACAGATCCATTGCGATGCGCATTGGGTATTTGGCTTCAGACAGGCCAGATCTTTTGCGATCCACACGAGAGCTGGCTAAAGGCTTGCAACATCCTACTTGTCATCACTGGTCTCTCCTCAAAAGAATAGGGAGGTACTTGAGTGGTCATGGACGACTAGTGCAGAAGTTCAACAACCAGGACAAGATCACCGAACTCACAGTCTGGTCCGACAGCGACCATGCCGGGTGCATCCGTAGTCGGAAATCGACCAGCGGCACTGTGATCGCTTTGGGCAGCTCATGCATTGATGCCCGTTGCAAGGGGCAAGCTCTGATAGCACTGTCCAGCGCCGAAGCGGAGTTCTATGGTCTTATCAGCTCTGCCTCTCACGGTCTAGGAGAACAGTCCATGCTGAAGGACTGGGGCATCTGCTGCCCGCTCGTGATCAACATGGATGCAACCAGCGGCATTGCCATAGGTAGTCGTCGTGGTCTTGGGCGGGTCAAGCACATTGACACATCCTTCCTTTGGATCCAAGACTGCGTGCAGGAAGGCAAGATCAGTTTGCGCAAGAGGAGCACTCAAGAAATGTGGGCTGACCTCATGACTAAAGCATCTGAAGGGCCAAGAATCAAGCAACTCCTCGATCTCATGTCTTTCGAGTTCAAGTCTGGAAGTCATCCTTTGGCTTTGCGTGTGTAGATTCGTTTCGCTCCACGCTCTGAAAGGGCTTGAGCCATGTCTGATGGGATACACCTCAGTCTGTACTCGTATGCAAGCTGTGCTTCCACACTCGGGAGGCGTGTCTAGATCTGAGGTCCCATTCAACATGTACAGGTAAGGGCTTGAGCTAGGCTAGTTGGTTTGTAGTGGTTTCACCCCAGCCCTTTTGGCTTACTAGTGCGACGGTGGTAGAAAAGGTTGTTAGTGCTACTTTTAGGTTTTCAGTCGAAGCGCCCCCGTGATGAGTCCAGTACGGAATGACGGCATGGGGAAGGGTTTCCTAGACAAGGAAGTGTGTGCATTTTGGTTTGCCTGCTCGCATTAGGTTGTTTCATGGGAGCCCTGATCCCCACAGTTTGTGCAATCGCCTTTTACATGTTTTTGCAGATGACCGTGTGTCAACCCAGGCAGTCGGCTGTGAAGTTCAGACCATGGAGGTTTTTCATTTTGATGTCTGCTGGGCTTCTGCGAATTGGGGAAGCATCAAACCCTGGGCCTCCTGCCCACTTTGATGAAAAGATGTTTCACATTGGTACGTTCAATCCCTCAGGTCTTCGTGAAAGGGTTTGGATTTCCTCAGTGTAGGCTGAACACCTGAAAACCGGGTTGCCAGCGATCTCTCTGGTGACGCGTTCGACAAAGTGGTGACAAAGTGGTGGTTTGGAACATGTTTTCCCATATATTGGGAATAATCATCCCAACTTTGGGGATGCCACCACTTTTAGAAAACCCTCTGCATTAGTGATAAGACTATGGTAACCCCAAAGGACCAGATAGACGGATTGAAGGGTGATTTATATGAATTATCAGTATTTTCGCAGGGCTTTGCGAACCTCTATCTTTTTGGGGGTTACTATAAGTCCTGGGGTTGATTGTTCATTATGTTCAATGTCATCAAGGATATGAGTTGCACTTGCCGCCATTCTGGGTCATGAGTCACGATTGTCCCACAAAATTCCAGCATGGTTTCTTGGAATCAAACCTTGATTTGCTGTGATCCAAGGCGAGTTCTTCAGACAACTGCCTCTCGGCCTAGAGGTTGCAGGGATTGGATAGAGCACGATTTCCACCTATTCATACCTGGTCACTCTTTCATGACCTTACCACAAAAAAAGTATGGAAGGTGATTTTCTGATGTGTTTTCTGAAGTTTTGGTTCCATGTGACATTTTCCAGATGATTTTTAGATCGCATACGTTGGAACATTGGCTGGCTTAATTCCCAGGGTTGGTTTAAAGATAACTTATAGGAATCTCATGCATAGAAACAAAGACAAAAAGGTCCATTTGAAATAAACTTTGAACGGATCAGTAGATAATTTGATTGCAATCCATTTAAGTCCATTCAAAAACCCTTGGGAAATCCTGGTGAAGTATCGGATTTCATTTTGGATTCCCTTATTGATGGTATTAAATGTTCCATTTCAAGACAGTCAAACCATGTTAAATCCAATTGTTTCATGGTCAATCAGGGGAAATGGATCAGTATACATTAAGCCCCATACATGGTCATATTACAGGCAGTGCACATGAATACACCAAACATGATCATATGAAACCCCATGTACTCAAATACAGCTGATCCGATCCGCAGTCAAGCTTTTTTGAAAAAAAAACACGTGTTAAATCCAATCCAAAGATCAACTGGATGAACTATCCAAATAGATCATTATCCCTGGTATTGATCCAATAGATCATACATGCTTAACCTTTCAATACCTTAAATGTTAATTATAGATTAGCATCATGATCATTATTATTGTGGTTATCATTCCTGTGATGATGGTTATTGAGTTACTATCACTATTCATTATATGTTTTCAGCATTATTACTAGCATCAGTTTCGTTATTTCTATCAAGCAAAGCATACCCCACTCACAACCTTTATCTATCTATCTATCTACCTATTTATCTATCTATCTTACTTATCTTATCTATCTATCTACCTATTTATCTATCTATCTTACTTATCTTATCTATCCATCTATCCATCTATCTATCTATCTAGCTACCTATCTATCTATCTATCTATCTATCTTATCTATCCATCTATCCATCTATCTATCTATCTATCTAGCTACCTATCTATCTATCTATCTATCTTACTTATCTTATCTATCCATCTATCTATCTTTCTATCTATATATATATATACATACATACACATGATAGTCATATATAGTAACTACAGTAATACTTGGATCATCCAGGTGGGCTGTCACCAAGATTCGCGCCAAACGCCTGGTGCGGCGACGGGTGAAGTGGGACACGCTGGGCAGCGCGCTGAAGGCGGTGGGGCGGGAGGTCCTACTGGGATGGAAAATCCACGAAAAACATGGGAAAATCCAGGAAAAACATAGGATTTGATGGACTTTGGGTGATGAATGATGTGAGTTTATGGTGATACTTGGCAATCTGGTATGTCCAAGAGTTTGTTTTGAAGTCATGCATAAAGTAACATATTCATCATATTCTGGATTGAAGATCATGGGCATTTCAACACTCTGTGGTAGTTTCGAATTTAGGTGTTGAAGGTCAGCAAGCAGCTGAATGGTTTTGGAGAGGAATGTGATCAAAAGGGGAATCTGCCCAACAGCTATGTTGAGCTACAACTTTTCCCCAAACAGGGGGAGTATGGCATTTGAAACCATGTTTTTTTGGGGGGGGCCTATATACAATCATATTTCACCTCTGTGTCCTTGAGAGGGACTATGGCTGTTTCCCTGCTAGGCCCTTCTTCCAGCATCTTACAGCTAGCTTTACACATATAAAAAAAAAAAACATATTCAATTGACTCTTGTCGTTGCCCGACCTTGCAATATAGTGACCATGTCTTTTGTTACCACCACTTGTTAGGAGTCGGTGGTGCGGGGCCAAACTGCCCGGAACCTGGTCTTGACGAAATTCGGGCGCTTGCCCACCAAGTACGCAGCTTGGCAGCGAAGCCGGGCAGTTTCCACTTGAATGTGGCCATAAAATGTGGGTTCCATATGATGTTCCGAGTTGAACTTAAGAGGTGTAATATCCGTTCAAGATGGCTCATCAAAGTGATACAGGTCTAGTCACATTACTTTAAAGGAGTCAATCAAGATTTTGCATTCAGAAAAGAAGACGGACATCCGTGTTGGGCTGTTTCAAGCACTATAGACCCCCCAAACTGGATGTGAGTGTATATATATATATATGTACATGTATGAGATACATTCTGCTCCGTCTGAAGCACACTTCATTGTTCACAAAATAAACCAACTTCGGGAAAAGATCAAATGAGACCATGTGATGCTTGTTTCGCGGCAACAGCATCGCAGGACCAGAACGATCCGCAAGTACTGCAACTGTTGCTTGGTTTGGAAAGGCCAATGGAAAATGTAACTGGAGAGATATCTTGGTAACCTCGTGAGAGGTGTTACACCCGTCTAGCTATTGAGCAATCTTTACCATCATATATCCAGCCCTTTGCCGATTTTTGCCAGCTTACCTGTCTAAGTCTAGCCTTATCTTATGACTTGGGGTTATTGGGTCCTTCTTTACTGGTGATTTTGGGCAATGCCACTTGCCTTCTGGTAGTTTGATATAGCTATGGAAATCATCAAGTTCAATAGATCAATTCTGGAACTAAATCGGTCATTGTCCATATCAATCTGTTCAATTACCAGAGGGCACAGAGAAATCGCTTGTCAACCCCCGTGATGTTGCCATAGAATGTTATCTGTAACCCATACAGCGATTTTCGAAGAAAGTTTCCAGGATGGTAGTTGGATGATGTGTCTGAAACAGTACATCACCTGGGGATCTTCCATGAATCATCAGCCCCTTCAGCAACCCACGGAGGTTGCCTTCCAAATGGGTGCCTGAGATCGGCTTGCCCTTGGCCAGCGGCGTGGGGCGCGGCTTCATGACCAAATGGTGGCACCTTGGTGACGTACCTGGAGTGGATGTTGCTGATGGGGTGGAAAGGTAAATGATAGGAAAACCAGCAAAAAAAATAGGAAATGATAGGTGATGGAGATGGTGGAAAAATGAGAGAGGAATTGAACAAATGGTAGGGTGGAAGGATAGAAAGGTGGTAAATCCGACTGGTGAAGTATTTTTTCTGATCTTTTCGAAGGCTAGGGATGTTGGATGCTGGGGATCGGCTTGGGGAAATTCATCCAATCCCGTTATTTGTGGAGCCTCAACACGTGATGGCCTTCTGGCAGCCAAGGACCAGGGTTCGGTTGAATCCCTGCCACAGGCGAAGTTGAAAAGTACGATAGTTGCCTTCAAAATTGTTGGTTTGTTATAATGTGCGCAGCTTTTCTGCATAGCAGCCTCGAGAAAAGGATGGAAAAGGATAAAAGAACAATGTATATACAGTACAGACTATGTTTGCTGGAATTGACTTTTCCATCTTTTGGTGGGTTCTACAGTGTACTTCGTTGGCTGTTCATTGTAAGTCATTGTTTTGTACCGGCGCTTGTTGGCCACCACGTGCTGCTCCGAGGAAGGGCTTTCGATCTGGTTGGCGCAGGAGGTATGTCAGGCCGCGGATGGAACAACTGACCAACACGGCAAGGATGTTGGGCAATAGAACTTGCAGAAATCCCAGAATCTGAACATGTTGAACATATATAGATTTATAACTTAGTCGTGATTTCAAGTTGAATATACCAGGGATTAGCCTTAGCTTGAACATATCTTCACATGAATTTAAGATCCCATCATGGGTTTGGTTGGCTGCGCCCCATGGACATTCGTTGCTTTCCCGTGCCGTCCAGCCAGACCTCGCTTTGAAACCTGGGATTTGGAAGACGTGCCGGAGGTGCTCCGGGGTTCAAGCTGGCTGTTGCTGGTTGCTGGTTGCTGGTTTTTAATGGGATTTTTTTTATGGGTTTTGGAATGTTTTGGATGATGGTCTTAGTGGGAGTTTGAGAAGCTTAATGGGATGTGATGAATTATGGGATTTTAATGGAGTCTAGAATGAACTACATACCTGTATGAGTATATTTTATATAACAATGGAGGTGCTCGGAACAATGTTGCAGTTTTGTTTTGTCACTTGTAAACCGGTGGCGACATGTTCTCAGCTAATTTCCCAAACCACAGGGGGGTTGTACAGATCCAAGCGCCTTTGTTGGAAGCACTTGAAGTGGATCACCTGGGGCTTGGGATGGCGGTTGGGAGCTCAAAATGCCCCAAAGGGCCGTCTCAAAGACCAACAACAAATGAATAAAGCGATATAAAGCACTGAAAAAAAGAATTCCTTCCCGGTAGAGTTTGCAATGAATGGTGGTTGCAGATGAGTTTCATCTATGGGTAGAGAGTGGTTCCGGTAGCCATCAAGCAGGTCATCCTGGATTTCGCACGCCGACAAGGTGCAGAACAGGCGGCACCATTGATGCTGTGCCGGGTGGACTCATGAGAAATCCAGACATGGTGATTGCTTGGATTTGGTCAGATTCAAGTTGGTGTTCTATCAACGTTTGCCCTTATGAATTTATTCTATGCAAATTCTATTCATTGCGGTATAGTTCCACTATTCACTTATGTACTACATCCTAGTTGGTTGATAAGCACCCAACCCCCATTGACCTCCCATCTTCTACAGGCGAACTTGGTGGCCTCGTCAGTGGGTGACACCATGGCACGCGATTGGGGCTACTGGACCGGACACTTCACAGGTGGAGTTTGGGACGGCGTCGGGGAAAGTCCATGGTGAAATGGTAAGTGAATGGGTGGTAAAACATCGAACCATTGATAACTGGTTGGTGGTTTGGAACAGACTAGGAAATATGATAGATATATCATGATATATCTATAGTTAGAATGATTTTTAAATCACTGGTTGGTGGTTTGGAACATGGCTTGTATGACTTTCCATATGTTAATATATATTGGGAATGTCATCATCCCAACTGACTATCATATTTTTCAGAGGGGTAGGTATACCACCAACCAGACAACAATGGCTGGTATTAATCAATGCTAGCCATTGGCAAACACTGATCAGTGATCCACCATGGGTACTGGGTTACTTGTTTAGTGAATAAATGACTGCACTGACTGTACTGACTGTGCTCACAAAGATGTCACCATGGATGATGGGTGGCCAAGAGAACCTCCCCAACATATGACCTTCCATGACCTTCTCAGGTTGGTGAAGAAATCTATGTTTGCAAGATCCGTAAGCGGAAGAATACTACATGAGACATCATGCCACCCATTTGCATCCACATTGACATAGTATCATGCTTTGAGACTCTTTGGTCAGATGACAGCCATCAAGCCAGTCCCGATAACGCAAAGCGGGTCTCGAAAGCTGCATGTCCGCTGTGAGGCATGGTTTCGGGCTTGATGCTGTGCCACTTGGATAGCCAGTGGACTGTGGTCTTGTGTTTGCTAGGGGGGCAGGATAGCCTTGTTGATATTGTTATGAAATTCTCCAAGTACATACCCCTACCTTCAAGCGGTCAAACCATGTCAAAGGACATAGACTTGCACAATGTCTATTCAATTCAAGTTTGCCACCAAAAAAATGCATGAACAGGTTTCCCCATGACATCATCCAAATGTAACAAACTCACAAAATCTCTAAAAACTTGAAATTTCAAACCCCACCAAAGTTCTCCTCCTACCTACCTAGCATCTGCCAGCCCCCGATGTCGCCCAGCCCCAGGTATGCTGGGCAAGTCCAAATCGCTGAAGGACGACACCGGGATGATTGTGGCGGACGGTCACCTGGAGGAGGATCGGGAACTCATTGCGCTGGAGCAGTACATGGGAGACGCTCGGGTGGCGACTGGGGATGGGGATGGGAGGAGGAAGGATGGGGAAGCTCGAAAGTTGTTAGGGGAAAATTTGACCTAACCTTGGTTTGCTTGATTTCAAGCCAGACATGGAGGGGCATGATGAATTCGTATCCTGGGCATGTGGTTGTGATGCTCTATGTCGGAGTCTGCAGTGGTAAATTGCGAATAAACCAACTATTGGAATAAGGATCTTTGCTGCCGGCTGCTGCCCAGAGGAATACAGAATATACAATGAAGCCTTCTGAAAGTTCAAATCTTATTTGTAGAGCTTGTTTGTTTTGGGGGCTCGTACAGTAGAGAGTCACACTGGGTGTCATTGGAAAGGTGTTGGCAAATCTTGAACTCGGGTCCTAGGAGGCACAAAAACGCCGCACGACGCTCAACGTTGTTAAATCATAAATCTACATCATGCCCATAGTACAAGATTCCGTTGAAATGTATGTGCTAATTATATATTTGTGAAAAACAGTCACTCGTAGGTTTTGGTGGTTCCTGGGTTCTCAGATGCAATTGCACACGGATTGGTTGTGGATGGCCTGATGATGTTTACATATCCTGGAATTACTTCATACATTTCTCCATGGATTTCAGCTGTCTTTTCGAGACTTCCTTTGCTTTAAGTGTATTCCTCAGGTGTTTGCAATGTCATTTGAAATCAGCCAAGGATTCCAAGTACAAAGGAACTTGAAATCAGCCCTGCTGCTTGCTTTTGTGATCTTGGGTATGGCCCTGTGGCTGGAACAAGGGGTACCTTCAAGGAAGCTGAAACGGCAATGAACAAACGGACATTCTCAGGCAACAAATCCAGAGATAACACATGTTCCATGGGTTTTCTTGTGCACAATCAAGTGTGATATCCACGCTTTGGGGGGTCACTGACTTTGACGGATAGCCATGTGGTGCAGTTGTTTCGCGTGATTGTTTCAGGGTGGCAGGGGGTGCCTGTGATGACATGATTTGCCTTCAGACATTTGAATGTGTCCAGCACGTTAAACTTCTTGCTTCCAAAACCTCAACAGGTGATTTCCGCTGAAGTCTTCAAGAAATGTGTGCGCATGATTTCGGATATACGATATGTTGCAAGGCAGGCTGATTCCTTCAAACCCAAGCTCCTTTGGTCTAGATTCTGGAAACTTGATTGTAAGCCACTTTAGCTGATTCGCTTGTCACTGCCGTCGATTTTGCCGCACAATGTGTATCATGTTTCTTATGTCTTCAAGTTTCTTGATACATACAACGCCATCGCAATCCTCACTGCACAAGTTGCTACTCTTGCTGCAATTGAGGCTTGGAGCTCTGGCATTGCATGCAGAGACCCTGGTGCTTGGAAAAACTTAGATGTGCTACGCAGCTGCTGGAAAGCCGGACCTCCCTTATCCAAGTGGCGTCAGGTCACCTTCCAAATCCATTCATGGGAGTTTCATCTTGGCTTCGAACAAGGCGAACCTATTGCTCAACTCATGATCCTTTTCAACTTGTGGAATTAACCTTTGGCGGGCTTGTCCACTACCAGGTTTAACATGTGGATTCTTGATATAGTTGAACAGCATGGGCGGCTAGGGGCTTCAATGAATGAAGATGGACAGGAACCAGTATCTTAGAGCGGGTGTTGACTGCTTCTAACGCTGAGCTGGATATTAATTTTCAGCGTTCCTTTCCTTTGAGTCTAGTGGCATTGTCCTGGCCCACACGTAGCAAATATGGCCGCCATTGGCTCGCAAAACAAATGGAAGACAAATGAGGTGTTCAAAGCCACTCAGATTCTGAATATTATTATTCTTCGATTCAAATCAGCAACCCCCTTCCATGTTCGGATATACTCTGTTTGAGTCCTGGAGCCACCTTAGCTCATACCAGCCATGAAGCAGCCTGACTCCGAGAACCCCATACTGGCAGAATGTCAACATGGATCACCCGGGACACCAAGCACCACACCGCCCACTTTCCAACAGCTGAGCCTCCGGTTGTAGTGCCACTGTCCCTAGTGTGGCTGTGGTGCTCGGCCCATCATGGGCATGGAGAAGAAGGAGGTACGCAGAAGCTGCAGGGGTTCAGGCTTTGTATGTTCTCTCCAGGAAGGAAGAAAGATTCACATGGGCCACATGGATATGAAAAGAGAATATGTATGAAAATGTGTTTTTAAGCGTCATCCTCACTGACTGCATGAAATGAATATGATGCAATTTTCGGCATGTTTTATAAACGGAAAAGCCTCCAGCTAAACTATGCCCCTGCAGACGTTTACATGACCCTTTGAGCTGCTCAGCAAGAGACACCCTTGCGACCAGGACATCAATGGGGACGTACGACATGCGACCCCGATGCAGGGAATCACTTGGTTGGCCCTGGCAATTCAATGGAGGGCATGAGGAAGTAACCATATGATCATATGATGGGATATAAACATCCTGTATGCCATTGGCTCTTAGCCGGTACAATGTGACGAAAACACACCGATAACTAGAGGGAATGCACACCGATAACTAGAGGGAATGCCGAGCACTTGGGGGCATGATACCTATATCTGGGGGACCAATGGCAATATAATGACTGACCTACTCATACTCTACGTACTTACAGTACCCATAGCAAGCGACGGACATCCAGTGGTCAGTAGGACTGTTGACAACCAGCCTGGGAAGGACATCAGTTCAGTAACGAACTTTTGAGCACCATTTCCGTTGTGACCATGGGAAACTTATAGTGCGTTAAATTTTTCGAGCAGATGCTTGCTGCAAAGCTTGTGGGGCAGAGTATGCGGACATTTGACTTGTCGGGAGCATTTTTCGATATATTTTGTGTCTAATTTGCTACAGCATGAACTTCAGGAGCTTCATGGGTGTTTTTACTCTCATTCCAGTAGTGATAAAGCGATGTTTGATTGAAAAGAAGAATCAGGAGATCTACACTCCATTGTGCAACTATCTCCGTATCTACTAAAGAACCCACTTCCGTCCACACCCTGGCTCTGCTGCTCCGTATTCCAAGGTGAAGCTCCCGGTGGGATGGGAAGGCGGATGGTTTGTTTCAGGGCACAGGGATGGCGCATAAATTAAGATGACCTCACACTTGGGTGTTGGTAAAGATTGCAGGCCCCGTATTTGAAGATGTTTGCTTTTTGTTTGCATTCCATATTTCAGTTTTAGAGGCAACATGGATGTGAGCTGACAAGCTTCGGGACCCATACCAAAGCAAAATGGAACCTGCTAGCAGTGGTAAAGACATGCATGTCCTTGTTCCATCCTTTGGGCTTTCAAGGTGATTTTGTGGATTTTTTTCGGCTGTTGACAGGACAAGCTGGGTACAGTAGGATACTTCGCAAGCTCAGCCACTGTTGTGGTCAGCTTGTAACTGATGAGTGCATTCATACAGCCTGCACATCAAGCCCGAAAATGGTTGTACGCATACTGTAGCCCGCGTCCTTTCATAGAATCGCTTTAGAGGCCATCGTTTTGGATTGCATGTTGCGCTGCGCGGGTAAACACAATCATGTCATTCCCCCGTAGCAGTTCTGCGGCTTTGATCACTATCACTTTTCCAGAAGACATGCTCACCTTGGTTTCCTACTCGAAGACTTGTTCTACCTGAATGGCTCCAGTCGTTTTGTTTTTAGGAATCAGGCCTCGCTTTGTACTTGTTTCTACTTGAGTGCCAATGCTGCCCTCATGTAAGTTGCCATGGCTTGGGCCAGAAGACCGCATTGTAGCAACAAATTCCTGAACCTCCGGTTATTGAATGGAACGTTTCGTACATCACTTGGTCAGGCGTGTCACTTTGGCAGTACAGAGAGTTGCTGGCTTGCGAGTTCACTGGGCCGTTTGCGCAATTCGAGGGGCAGATTGACATTTGGAACAGCCCACATGGGATACCGAAGGGTGTGCATGTTCGGAAATTTCTTTTTTGTGCACCGTGTGGTTGCATTTACGTTTCTGGGGCCTCCCAAAAGTGCATTAGTGTGGCGAGTGCATCACAAAGATGGGGATCCCACGAACAACCGGCTGGACAATTTGACATATGTCACCCAGTCGGAGAATGTGCAACAGTCGTATTGCAGCAATCCTTTCAGGGGCAGTTCAAGCTCTGCACTTTCTACACCTGTAGTGTGGAGGAATTTGGCCACAACGCAGAATTGGACAGAAAGCCCGTCCATAACGTCTGCTGCAAAAAGCCTTGGACTTTCACCATACATTATCTCAAAACATTGTCGCGCTGGCGTCCCAATAGAGGGTTATCAGCTGAAGTTCGGTGCGTCCTCCGAGCCTGTGTGCTTGCCAGGAGAAGAGTGGTTGCCAATGAAGAACCCGTTGACTGGCCACGTGGTTGAAGGGAGGAAGGTGAGCTCTTTCGGGCGCCTCAGGTCCAGAACGGGTTTAGTCACGCGAGGCTGTAAAACCGTTTCCGGATATTTTACTGCAGATCTTCGTGAAGACTCCCAACGGTACCAAACCCTGGTTCATCGCTTGGTTGCATATGCCTTCTTGGGGCCGCCACCAACCTCGCAGCATACCCAGGTCAACCACAAAGACTTGAATCGAGGCAACAACTGCGTTGAAAACTTGGAGTATGTTACCCCGTCAGAAAATGTGAGGCATTTCCATGCCACTTTGGGCTATCAGAATGGCAAAACAGGTGGAGCCGTGCCGGTGCTGGCAAGGCCATACGGTAGTAAGGGCAGCTGGGTAAGGTTCTCATCGATAGTTGAGGCTGCAAAGGTACTTATGATAAACCGTGGCAGTATCTCGAAGTGCGTCAAAGGCCTGGTCAAATGTGCTGGAACCCACGAGTTTTGCATGGACGAAACGGAAGAGCCAGATCAGCTTCAAGGGGAAGAATGGCGACCAGTGGATTTGAACGGTTTGCTGCTGGACAAGATCTCTCGAATGGCGTGATGTCAGGCCTCACGGGACTCTGCAATGTCAGGACCAGGAGGCAGAGCAAGTCCTTGACTCTCTGTCTTGATCGTGAACACTAGTGATGAAATGCTTCCCCGTTGCAATGGACAAAATAGAGCTCAAAATTGACCGTGTTAACATGGTTTGAGCATGGGTAGATTGCCTGCCCAGGATTTGCGGGTTGAACAAAATATTGAATACCACCGTTCTTGGGGCTTACGTTCAGTTTTGTAGTTTCAGCAGCCCTCGGTAGATGCATTAAAAGACAGGCAGTTTGTAGGGAACTCTTGTGTGACGAAGATCTACCTAGATTTGAGATGATTTGATAGGGCCTCGAATTTTCAACCTCATCTCCAACCCCTGAATATCGTAACATGTTTCTTGTCGATCTTGCCTTGATGATATATCTTTGTCCCACTAAAATAATCTATGCATGTAAGCAGCTTTTATATGCTTTTATTGTATCGCTGCTACATATTCCAAACAACGCACTCTTATTTCATCTCATGAAATCAAGCTTCATTGATGGGTTTGGACTCCCTGATTGCCGTATCTTTGGGTTTGAGGGTCCTACTACCACTTGAGTGCCAATGCTGCACCCAGGTGGGTTGCATGGCTTGGGTCAGCAGATTGCAGTTTAGGACCCAGTACCTGAAGCTCCAGTGGCCCGGCGAGACATTCCAGGCCGCACTGGTCCGGGCATGTCACTTTAGCACGGCACCAAGGTGTTGGCATGTGAGTTCACATGGTCGTTTGCGCGATTCGAGGGGCAGGTTCACATTTGGTGCGCCTCACCCCATGGGATACAGAAGAGTGACCATTTTTGGAAACTCCTTTCTTGTGCACCGTGTGGTTGCTTTTGCATTCTTGGGGCCTCCTTCAGACACATCAGCGTGGCAAGTGCATCATAGAGATGGTAATCGTTTGAACAACAGACTTGACAATTTGGCCTATGTTACGCCTGCAATGAATGTGCAGACTGCCTATCGGTGCAACCCTTCAAGGGGCAATTCCGGCCATGCAACATCCAAACCAGTGATGTGGAGGAATTTGGCAGCATCGCCTTCTTGGAATCTATGTCGTTCTATCTCTGCAACTGCGAAACAGCTTGGAGTGTCCCCTTTAAAAGTTTCAAAGTGCTGCTGCACAGGAACGCAAATAGGAGACTGTGAGCTGAAGTTCGGTCAGCCGATAGAGTGCAGTCAGTTGCCCGGCGAAGAGTGGTTACCAATCAAGAACCCTTTTACGGGCCAAAATGTCAAAGGGAAATATGTTAGCTCGTTGGGGCGCATCAAGTCCTCAAACAGTTTGGTCACACGCGGCCATCAAATGCGATCTGGATATTTTGCAACCAGCTTATATGGAGACAATGTCCTGGTACATCGCCTAGTTGCGCATGCGTTCCTTGGGTCCCCGCCAAGCTCCTGGCATACCCAAGTTAACCATAAAGACTCGAATCCTGGCAACAACTGCTTGGACAACTTGGAGTATGTGACGCCATCACAGAATAGAAGACATTTCTTGAACACCGTTGGCTATCAAAAGAAAAATGTGTGTGGATCAACACCAGTCCTTGCAAGGCTATATGGTAGTAAGGACGAGTGGGTCAAGCACTCATCGATCAGTGATGCTTCAAAGGCACTTGGGATAGACCGCGGCAGCATCTCTCGATGCGCCAGAGGTTTGGTCAAACGCGCTGGAACCCATGAGTTCCGCCACATTGAAACCACTCGAGTTGACACTCAGCTGGAGCAGTTTCTGGGCGAAGAGTGGCGGGCAGTGAATCTTGACGGCTTGCTGGAGGAGAGAATGTCCCGAACAGCATGAACTTCCAAGCTGCGGAGGGACTTCAATTTAACTGTTGTGCGGAGAATTCCACCATGCACAGTTATTGTATGTTATTGTATTGATTGATATTGATGGCAATGTTTTTTTCAGTGCAGCCTCAGTTTGAAGCTGCAGAGCTATGTTTTTGCCTCCATGGGGCATCATGATGGGGCCAATGAGTCGCATGATCTCTGAAACATTGTTTCCGTGGAAAAAGTGTGACAAACGTTGTTCCGTTTGCAAAGCTGATGCTGACAGGTTTACAGTACTTCAGTATCATTGGTCTCAAAGAATCTATTGTTTGTTTTTTATCGTTTTTTCAGTTGCTTGGTCTTTCCATCGATAAGCAAAAAAACCCTTCCATTATCCAGGGATTATCCAGGGGCGCATGCCAACTAGCAACCCCACCTGATCACAACTCCACTGGCTATGCACCCCACAGGCCTGTCCCTGAAGACCCACGAGGGCCGTCTCTTGGTCTCCGAGGTACCAAAGGCGCAGCTGCGCAGCTGTCAGGATAGTGGTAGAGAGGAGCTCCTAGAGGATGTGTTGGGGGTGCCCTTCATGTGGTTCGTGCTTTGTTAAAAACATGTTGAGGAAACATTTTTGGGGGGCGTACCCTTCCTATAGTTACATGGCATGGGAAGTGGCATGGTTGTATTTTTGCGCACTGCACCTACTCGTAGTTGACAATTCATTCGATGTCCTGTTTGAGGGGGGTCGAATATATCACGTCGTGCTTGATGTACCACTGCTTCCGCTTCAATACAGCATGACGTTCACCATGCGTTCCCTTTGGAACATATGTTCCAGAAATATATGATGCGAGCCTTTGTCTTGGAACCCGGTTTTCTGTATTTTTGCCCAGATGAATCCTGTGTTTTTTGTTGGGGACGTTTTGGGTCCAAAGATTCGAAAAGAGCAATGCCAACAAAATGATGGCCATACGCACCGGTGGACACTGCTGCCCTCACAGCAATGATGCATGAAGGCGTGCTTCTCGTCCAAGAACTTTGAGAGCTCTGGAGCCCAGCCGCAGGCCACTGGACAGCGGGTGTGAAATAGTTGAGTTAGTTTGCTTTCAAGAGACGGACCGTGCTGATAGTGGCCGGTTGAGGTTGGAAACATATTTTGAAGACTTTTTGGAGGTAGGGATGATGCTGGTTAATAGTGGATTAGTCAATGAGGTGTGCTATTGCGGCATGTTGTTTTGACCCATTGGCGTTTGGCAAATATTTATAGATATTTGGTGATGGCGGATAATAACGTCGCCCAGCCGAGTGCGGAGAACGTTTTACGTTTTGTTGGTTTTGTAAGCGTTTCTCCTTTTGTTGTGGTTGTGGTGCTGCACAAGACTTCACACGATGCGCAGCAAGAATTGAAATTGAAAGCTATTTAATCACCCAAGATATTACATCCGGCTTTGGGTGCCAGGTGGCTGGTGTCTTCGAGGGCGATGAGATAGTTTCCGTGAATGGTGAGCCAGCTGCCAGTCCGGATGCCCAAGGGCCAAGGGTGTTTGGTCTTTTGCAGATGGAGTGGCAAAGGCAGATGGGGACTCGCTGATGATAAGGATGGACATTTGCAGCGCCACACCAGTCCCATCTAAGCAATTCATTATTGTAGGCTGGCTGGATTCATCCGTCAAGAAAGCAAGAGGTTGATCCATACGGATTGTTTCTGTGCTGTCGACCGTCTGGTTTTCCATCCGTAAGATTCGCCCATTATAGAAAGATGCCAAACCCTTTTGTTTACATCAACCTCATGCCAACATGTTTGGTTTAGATGCATTATCCTACCTCAATGATCATCTTGTTGGGACCTTTCTGAACCCCACCAGAGCTCCATAGGCCACCCACCGGGCTCCGTCAAAAGGCGTCGAAAAGAAGATCTTGGCCGAAGGCGATCCGTGGAATGCCTGTGCCTGGGCTGATGGGTGGATGCCTGGGATAGGTTTGCCACACATGGTGGGAATTCAATTTGGGGAGCACTTTGGTGAAGGGCCCGGTACAATGATGGGCCAAGTATCTTTTGCCATCTGTGGTTGAGAATTGAGGCTGTAGGGTTGGTTTTGTCAAACTATTAGAGCCATGGTTGAGTTGGGTTAGTTGGGATGGACTATATAATGGGATGGATTAATGATCAACCGCGGCCAACCGCGTGTTTAAGGAGACTGCGAGCTGGGGCACCCCGTCAGGTGTCACATCTACCAGACATCTACCAGTCTCAACATTCCCAAGCAAATCAATGCCGATCACCCGGCGAAACAAAAATAATTGCCATGTTTGGGATATCCCATTAATGAAACCAATGAAGTGTCACCATGTTTATCCCATTTCTCCACTTTTTAAACCTCAAAAACAGGGATGGAACTGTAGCTTCCTAGAGTCGAACCTCTTATTTTTCGATGTCTTAAACCTCCAAAAAAGGGAGATGTTCCATGTCTTGAACCTAAAAAAGGGCGATCCAACTTTCCCAAACGATGGCGTTTGAGGTTCTTCCAGCAAACCTCGGCACCCGGTGGGTTCCAAGGGGAAGTCCCTTGACCTCAGTGGAGGGGAGCTGCCATTCTGGGAGACCAGGGCAGTAACCAGCTACCCGTTGGGTTATTTAATGGGAATTTAATGGGAATAATTAAAGTGATTAGTAATGGTTAATAACACCCCGAAAATAAAATGGTCAACTTTAGATTGAGGTTAATTACCCTCTGATAAGCTATAGCCATGGAAAATCACCATGTTTCATAGGTAAATCATCGAACTAAATGGACCGAATGACAAGTTCAACCATAGATGGATGTTAACCCCGGGCCGTTTACATGGGATGGGGTAATTGCTGTACCATTTCTAGGAGCAGATGAAAGCACCTTTCCTTTGGAACAACACATCATTGATGAACAGGGCGTGATGAATGCAGGGTTGTCATTACTCGGACTTTTAAGGAAAAGGGCCGGCGAAGGACACGACTGTTGATTACTGTTCTCAACTTGCTGGTAAGAGTGGCAACAGTGGAGTCTCAACAACAACTAAAACTAAAATTTATTGTTAAAATGTTTTGGGGTGAAATACTTGGCCGCCATTGGCGCTGCACCCTGCAACAAAAAGTGCTTGGTACTTGGGGTGATTCGCGCAGACATGCTTCTGTCCTTTGCCGCAGCCAGGGCCATGTTCCAGAACAACAATGAAGAGATCGTTGAAGAGAAAAAAATGCTACATATATTTTGAAAACATGTCCGATTATTTTAAGGACCAACATGCCTATGGAATCGAGCCTGACGAACAGAGCCCCGGTGAGATCATATATTTGTCTCACATTCCTGGTGAGATGTTTTTTGGCTAGAGTCAATCCCTTGAATCTAAGAGCATAAGACATTAAAGATCCCACATAGATGTGGCAAGTGCCCACCTGCCTACTGACCATATGAGCAGCCGAACCTCATACCATTAAGACATATTAAGAAACCCCAGACCTTAGACAAAGTTTCCAGCCCAGAGCCATGGCGCACGGCTCGGGTGGATCGGGTGGTGTGAGGGCCAGTCGCCATGTCTCCTTTCTGGTACCCTTTGTTGGTATCAGGGAGCAGTTGCGTGGAGGCTTGGTGTCACAGACTTCACAACTGCTTGGAGAAGTATTCGGAATTTCCGGGTGTAAAATATCAGGCTCGTTGGTGGTTTCAAACATGAATTTTATTTTCATACATGGGAGAATCCTTCCCATTGATGAAATCATATTTTTCAAGGTGGTTAAAAATAACCAACCAGTCAGGGTTTGTCGAAATTTCATCAGGGTGGCCGAATATTAAGGTCAGTGTGTGGCTTTTAGGGTGCTTGGGCTGGGATGGCCCAGATCTCCACGGATGCTTTCGGGGACGATTGCCGTGATCCTTGTGATCAGGTTTACCGTGGATCTCCATTGGCATTCTGACGCTGTTGATGCTCCGCGCAACATGGGTGTAGTTTCTTTTATTGGGGGGCTGCGTCATTGGAACCTCACCAAATATTCTAACCCTTTTCTTTGCACCACAAAATATATCAAAATGAATAAGGAAATGCCCCAGGAATGATTTGGCTTGTAAGTGAACCTTTTTTTTCCAACTCCTTGTTTTTTTCTTTGCTTTTCCTGTTGTTAAACATTAGTTCGGGGTCGGCATCGCCAATCCTCCTAGTCCTAATCAGCCTTTGTGCTTCATGTTGTGAACTCTTGATATGCGAAACACTCGGAGGTTTGCGTGGTGATATGGCCGGTTGCAGACGGAGTAATTGCATTTGTGTGTAAAGCTCCCGTTGGAACCACACAGAGACATGGCATCTTACCTGCGCCATACCATTTCCTAAACGAACCATGTACCTGCATGTACCTGCTATCTAGTTCTAGGCACATCCAGGCATCAGGGGTTTGACCTCGACCGCGGCTTCCCAGGGCGGGTCTGAGCTTGGTGTTGCTGTTCACGGGCTGGACGGTGGCCTGCTTGAACGATGGAGGACGTCCGTGTGTTGGAAGTATGGATACGGCTGTGGGCAGACACGCATGTCTCCATGAAGTGACATCCTCAATCACAGTAAATTTGGATGTTTGATGTTTGTACGCAATAAGGAGTTAATGATACAGTTAGCGCTTGGCTTGGCCTGGCTGCAGGTTTCCATTAAAATCCTGTATTCATTATGTCATAACTAGTCGCATGGCACAGTGATTCACACTTGGATTGGTTTAGTTTTGCAATGCTCACCGTAATGTTCACCACCCCAGAAGCACCACTGACCAAGCAATGCCGCACAGGATCCACCGGTAAGATGCTGTTGGTGGCCAACTTGCTGTGCGTCTTCATCCTGCCTCCTGGCTGCAGCCGCCTGATGTCCAGTGGGAACAGAACCAATCCGCCTTCAGGTCCCTGTGAATAAACCAGAATTAAGACCTGAAAGAAATGTATGTCGAGTAGGCAGTTTCTGTCTTTTCTATGAGGGGTTTTCCAGAGTTGATGGAGATATTAGGTAATTTGACTGGAATTGGTGTATCCATACGATTTGTCGGCGATGACTTTGCTCATGACCGGGTGCCCCAACATGAAGTGACCTTTTCTCTCCCATCATCCATTCATAGCATATCATAGGATCCTTCCATCTCCACCGCCAGTGCTGCCAGGTTGGTGCCGCAGGGTTTACCTGCGGAAATGATGCTGCTCTTCATCGGCGCCATCTGCTGCTTCTTCGGCATCTTGCAACCCAAGGTGTCGTGGCAGAGAGGGATTGGCGGATGTGGCTGGGGGATGATGAGGGAATGGGGGGAGAACGAATTTAACAAACAGGGGTGAGGTGAGTGGCAAGAGTGGCAAAAAATATGAGATGGCATTTGGCATTTAACTGGCAGTTAGAAAAAAATGTAAACAACCAAACTGGGAGTGAGAAGTACCAACGTCACTGGAAAGGATCGGAACCCAACGTAGAAGAACTCTGGGCTCATCACTGAATGTGCGTCCCCTAATTTGGTGTTTTTCATCCCTATTGCAGTTGGACAGTTCGTTCTACAAATTTGTTTCCATGATTAAGAGAAACACATCTATGGATATCTATGGAAATTAGACACTTTTAAGATTCAAAATCGTAGGATATCCCCAGGATATCTGCTTCTAACTTGGTTGACTAGGGTTTATGGGGGCGGGATAGAACTATAAATTGGTGTTTATATTACACTCCGGTAAACTAACATAACTATGGAAAATCACAAGTTTTAATGGGAAAACTCACTATAAACGGCCATTTTCAGTAGCTATTTTAGTCATTACCAGAGGGTATATCCCATGAAAATCATATATCATATATCATATCACTATATACTAGTTATATAGATCATATATCATGATTAACTAAACCAACTTCTCATTGGTAGGGGGCCCCCACCTCTATGGATCTCTATGGATCTCCAAGGAGCTCTTTGCCGGGTGCGCCTCAGATGCTGCACCTTGGACTAAGATTCGGCCGTTGGGCACTGTTTTTGCTGGGAACATGGCAGGGCTGTTGGAATTCACAAGACATTTCAGCAAAACAAACTGTTTTGGTTGCTCATATTTTTGGTTGAAACAGCCTGAAGTAACTGAAGTGATTTCATGTGATTTCACTAGTTCTGAAAAAATGCATTCAATGGGTTGAACTTTTCCACGTTCCACTCCGCAATGGGAAAGCACCCCAGGTGGTGACGTTGGCCTTGTTATTTCCCATCATGCGCGCCATGGGTGGCTTGTCCGCTGGGTGAAGGGCGGGTGACTCAACAGTTTGGCCAGCACTTCGGTTCCCGGGAGTATACACTGCCAAAATGTTAGGGCAACATTAGTGGTAAGCTAGTAACATACTGTCGTACCCTTCCACCAGAATGCCACCAAACAGTTTCAGGACGTCCAACAGCAAACTCCTCAACATTTACAAAAAGCACCAGCAATATCCAGCGATCGCCACCGGTCCACCGCTTCGAGGCGACACCGGCGTGCCGGAGCGCTTCATCGGCTGCGTCCTGGGCATGGCCAACGGGCCGAGGAGTTTGATTTTTCGCAGCTTGGAAAATCACCATGTTTGATACATAAATCAACTATCAATTGAATCAATTATGGCAACTTTCAATAGCAAACTGTTAGTCTACCAGAAGGTAATTTCATTATACAAGATGAGGCCCCCTAGTTAGATAGGTCGATTTATAATTTGGTGACTTGGTGAACTAGGGTATGGATATATATCGTGGTATATCTAGAGTTGATAGATTTTTGAACCAACTTGCAGCTGGGGAGCCTCACCTTGTACAATATGGTTACTGTATTATGCGTGAATTATACCCGCATTTGTTGATTATTCTTTTTTAGGGTTGGACCTCCTGCGTTTTCTGGTCCAAACATGTTCTTTTTTTGCTGGTCATTTGGGTACCAGGCATGTTTGATTTGTGTGGACTAAGGTGGGGTTGCCGGCAGGGGCATAATATGGTGATATTTGTTGTTTGGTACCATCATGTAGTCATGATATGGCGCATGAACAACATTACAAACTCTTTCGGCTCAATGCTTTCAGACATGGTGTGACCCAGCCCCCTCCAGCCAAGGCATGTTCTTCGCTGTGGCCCTCCTATCTGGTTTCTTCAACAACACGCCCATTGTAGTGATGCTTGGCAGACAGGTGGTTGGATATAGTCTGATTCGATCCCTGTGACCTGTGCCCAAGTGCGGCTGCTGGGCCCAGCTTTTTCCTTTGTGATGGTTCTGGGGGTCAAAGAAGGTCAGAGAAGGGCAGTTGGTGTTGAAGTTGAGCCACGTGCTCATGTGGCACCGTGTTTGTAAGTAAGGCTTTGGTAAGCCTTCCCATGCCCCAGTTTATTAACACGTAAATAGTTCAAGACCAAGTCAATGGCTCAATTTCAAATGGATTTGCATAAAGGTACTGTGCCATATTTGGGGCCCTTTTCAAGGGCATATTTCTCTTATGCCCTTACATTAGACGTTGCATAAATAGGCCTTGAAATGTCGTTTAGGCCCAAGCTATTGAGTTTGACCTGTGGCCACGCTGAGGATGATGGTCCCGTTGTTGCAATCTTTGTGTCCCTTGGCAGCTGCAGTGGGAATATACACCCCTGAATCACTTCAATATGCCGCCGTGTTGGAGCGTGTAGAATCAATATCCATTAGCCATGACTATCCCCCACGTGCAGTATTTGAACAACTTTGCGTTTTTAGTCCAGGATAGGAACATGTTGATATCTGAGAAAGGCGAGATTTCCGTTCACTTCTGCCCCGCTACTGGCTGAGACAAACAAAGTATGATTGCAAATTGCCATAGCACCAGTTACTTATTGGGACAATTTACCAAGTACTCGTTATAAACCCAGGGTTGCAGGTGGCTTAAAAAAAAAAAACGGAAAATCCACCATTTGGAGAATCTACTCGTTGAACCCCGGTAGATCCGCGAGCTGTTCCCCTGGCGATATACTTGATCATTCTCGTCCTCCCTGAGTTGTGAAAAATGTGGGGCATTGTGGGGCACAATGACCTCTGGATTTCTTGAAGAGCTTGATAGTACAGAAACATTGGTTTTAATTTTAACCTGGTTGGTGGTTTGGAACATGGCTTTTATTTTCCCCAAGAGTTGGGATGATGATCCAATCTGACTAATATTTTTCAGGGGGGTTGAAACCACCAATTAGTACCCTCTGGTAAACTAACATAGCTATTGAAAATGACCATTTATAGTGGATTTTCCCATTAAAACCTCCATTTATAAGGGATTTTCCATGGCTATGTTAAATAACCAGATGGTAACCTTTTTTTTTCTTATTCAAATCCACAAAATTCCTTCAGCTTCCCTAGCTGTACTGCATGGACCAGGTCTCCGTCAGGGCGTGCCCTGCCAAGCAGTGCTGATGCCCTTGAGCTTCGCCGCGCAGGCGGGTGGAAGCTTGACGAAGCGCCTTGGATGAAAAAAGATGTAACCAGGATCATCCCCCCACAAAATGGATGGATGATGATTCATGTTTCAAAATAAAGATTCTATATATGCGAATCACCATGGATAGATTCATGATTCATGTTACTATCTAATTCTAGAAGTTCATTTTTTGACAATGTATTTCTGTGTTTGGTATTCTAAAGTACCATCTGGTTATTTAACGTAGCCATGGAAAATCGCCATTTTGAATAGGTAAGCCATCTATAAATGGGCCATTTTCCATGGCTATGTTAAATAACCAGAGGGTAAGTCAAAATAACATCCCCAGATATCATCCCCAGCCTCTTGTGGCCACTTGTTGCTGACCTCGGAGCTCCAGCTCTCTGAGGATGGGATCCTCCATCAACTTTGTGGCAGATGCGGCGGCTCGACAGCAGAGGTAACCAGTTGATGCTGGTGGGTTGTTGTGGGTTACCCTCTGGTAAGCTATTGAAAATTGCTATTTATAGTTGAATTACCATGAATTGCCTATAAAAAATGGTGATTTTCCATATTTATTATTACCAACACAAGTTGCAAGTGAACTGCAGCTGATGGTGGGTTTTAACCAACGAAAGTCGAAGGTGAACCGGCATGAATTGGGACCTTAACTGGCAACAATGGATAAGTATTGAACATGGAGGCTGAAACATGGGATGCCAATTAAAGGAAAGTAGATGGTGAATATAGATGTGACAGACGGATTTGTTCAACGCATTTGTTTACTTACAGCCACTCGAAGTCAGTCAATGCTGAGGTTTTTCAGCCGTATGGCTACAAGATTGGTTTCTTCACCCTGACCTTGGGGTGTTGCTTCATTTGCTCCACGGTCAAAGCTGGGGGAGGTGCTTTCTTGTGCATGGTGAGGGCTGTTTGGCACCACAACGCGAGGCGTATCTTGATAGAGATGACGGTGACGGGACCAACATGGAACTCGAACATTAAAGCTTTGAACAGGAAACCTATCTTCCAACCAAATTTGATGTTTTCCATGTTTAAACTTCGTGGATGTAACATCATGCAACCCAGCGCTTGAGAGCCGAGGTTTCTTGGGAGTGTCTTGGCTTTGTGGATGAGGATGGCAGGTGTCTTAAGTATCTTGGTTCTGGGGTTGGTCACAAACCACTTTGTAGGGAGAGGGATACTCCAATTTGCTCCCCGCACTTACCCATCTTAAATTGACTTAAGAACGGGAGCCCTAGCACTAGGTACCTTGGATTTTGAAGCCGCAGATGAACCAAGGTGGGCGGAAATATATAATATAGATATATATATATATATGGTCCCGTGTCCCGTGTTCCCACCCCCCCCCCCCATGGGATGGGGGGGGTATGATGCCCCTGTGGTGGTGTTATACATAACATACATACATACCTACATACCTACCTACCTACCTACATACCTACTACATACATACATACATACCATTACATTACCTTACCTTACATTACCTTACCTTACATTACCTTACCTTACATTCCATACATATACATACACATACATACATACCAACATACCCAACATACCAACATACCAACATACCAACATACCACCACCACAGGCCACAGGGGGGGGGGACCAGAAGAACCATACCACCACCACAGGCCACAGGGGGGGGGGACCAGAAGAACCATACCACCACCACAGGCCACAGGGGGGGGGGGGGGCAGAAGAACCAGACGATACTGTCCACCCATACCCATTGGTGGGGGGGGAGGGGGGGTGGCCAACGCTGCACCATATATATATATATGATATATGTTGAGAAGACCTGCATGGCTGAAACAAGTCACTTCGACAATTCTCTGATAAAAACAAACAGGCTCTTCCCATCTTCCCCGGAAAAAAGGGAGCTTTCCTATACTTGTACCATTGATAAAGCAAAAATTTCCCAATTAAGCCATATTAAGCCCATATTCGATGTATACATGTGTATAATATATATATATATGTGTAGAGAGAGAGAGAGAGACAGAGAGAGAGAGAGAGAGAGAGATACTCTACATTTGCAGTAGTTCCTTTCCATATTTGATGGTTTTCCGCTGATTTCACCGGCAGCTTCTCCATCCCTAGGCCGCCTACTGCTCCCTGCTGGGCCCCAAGATCTTGAAACCCGCCGAGCCCGGCGCCGACGGAAGTTCGGCACGGAACGGTGGAGGCGAAAACCACTTCAAGGTGCAGGGAGGAGAGTAACGGAGGGGGTGCTTGGAAGTGCAGTTATATCACAGTTATAAATGGATATATAACATTCATTCGAGGACTTAGGACCATAGTCGAAGGAAGTTTAGAAGTCAAACTTCCGACAATATGGAGAGATGAAAAGCAGAGCAGGGCAGAGGCAGAGAGAAGAGGAAGATTAGAAGAGAGAAGATCAGAAGAGAAAGAGTAAGAGGACAGAAGATACAGATGCGCGAAAAGGTAGGAAAGTCGCGAAACACTGTGTTTTTCCAATGATTTGTGGCTCCGGAGGGTCGAAAAGTAGGCTCGCTAAAGCGGCGGGTGCGGAGCCAGCTGGCCACAGGAGCGATGAAAAATTGCACGCCGTTGTGGTGCGAAGCACATTTCGAAGTCAAAAGTGTTAAAAACTGGCGGTCTCGGACCACTTTTGGAAGTTGAGATGTCAGAAAAGTGCACGCCGTTGTGGCGCGAAGCACATTTCCAAGTCAAAATGTACAAAACACCTCAGCGTCGGACCACTTTTGGAAGTTGAGATGTCGAAAAAGTGCACGCCGTTGTGGCGCGAAGCACATTTCGAAGTCAAAATGTACAAAACACACCATGGTCGGACCACTTTTGGAAGTTAAGATGTCGAAAAAGTGCACGCCGTTGTGGCGCGAAGCACATTTCCAAGTCAAAATGTACAAAACACACCAGGTTCGGACCACTTTTGGAAGTTGAGATGTTGAAAAAGTGCACGCCGTTGTGGCGCGAAGCACATTTCCAAGTCAAAAGTGTTAAAAACTGACGGTCTCGGACCAGTTTTGGAGGTTCATATGTCGAAAAAGTGTCGAAAAAGTGCACGCCGTTGTGGCGCGAAGCACATTTCGAAGTCAAAAGTGTAAAAAACTGAGGGTTTTGAGCCTTTTTTGACGTGAAGATGTCGAAAAAGTAGACATTGATTAACTTAACTAACTTGACTAACTTAACTAACTTCACTAACTTAACTACCCTAACTTCGACGACAACAGCAACAGCAGCAACAACAACAACAACACCAACCACAACCACAACAACAACAACAACAACAACTACTACTACTACTACTACAACTACAACTACAACTACAACAACTACACAACAACTACAACTACAACTACAACTCGAACTACAACTACAACAGCTACAACAACAACAACAGCAACAACAACAACAACAGCAACAACAACAACAACAGCCACAGCAACAGCAACAACAACAACTACTACTACAACTACAACTACAACAACAACTACAACTACACAACAACTACAACTACAACTACAACTACAACAACTACAGCTACAACAACAACAACTACTACTACTACTAAAACTACAACTACAACTACAACAGCAACAACAACAACTACAACTACAACTACAACAACTACAGCAACAACAACAACAACAACTACTACTACTACTACTACTACAACTACACTACACAACAACTACAACCACACAACAACTACAACTACAACTACAAAACAACTACAGTTGCAGTACATCACACTACATCCAGCAGTTGTGGGTGAGGTGACCACTGCAACCATTGCAACCATTCCAGCAAACACAACTCCAACCACCTTTCGGTCAATCAGTGGCTTCGCTCTGCCATCCTTGATTCACAACAACCAACTTCTCCTATAGGTTTCCTCTTTTTGAAACTTCCGCCACCGCCTTGTGCGGCACTACTGGTATACCATAGTTACAGGGCTGATATCCCAACTTATGGGGGTTTATGCCATTTTGTAATGGTTAAAGCCATTTGTAACCTCAACTGCGTTTCAAGTGGGCTGAGTGAAGATCGGTTGGCAGATTGATTCACCAACCAAAGTGGAAATGGATAAAAGTTGTTGTTTGATTTGGTTTCCGGGACTGTTTTGATTAACAGTAGGATTCAAAAACACAAACTTCCAAGTCGTGGCAGTGGAAAAAGATGATTTTCCCAGCTATAAACCTCCCATTCTTATGGGATTTCCCACATTTGAAGCCTCGAAGCAGGTGGCCTTCAAAGCCTCCGAGCACGGGCCACTGATCGGTGCCACCTTGGCAGCTCGTTGCGGCGCCGAAGGGTGAGACAAGTTGTGTAAGCATCAAACATGGGAATTTAAACCATCAGACATGGGGGTATAAACATTGTTGTGACTAAGCAACAGACATGGGGGATATAGATCATCCAAATATCACAACAATACTATTTAAATCTATGTAGTGGTCAGGAGGGAGCGGTGAAGGGAGCTTGTGGTGATCGATTTTTCCTAGTTTTCCCTCATGGGGAGCCAGTTGGAGCTACGAATTCAGTTTCCCAACCACATAGATGTATGTTGCCCATGTTCAACCATCCACATTGGATGCTCCTCCCAACTGACTTCATTCTATTTTTGGATGTTTGTGGCATGATTTGACACGACCAACCAGGCAGGGTTGGAACCTCCTAGTGTCAGTATGTGATGTCTTGTGACGGTTCCAGGATCGAACATTTGCAAAATGTTGGTCTTATCAGTTTCAGTTTGTTTGCACTGCCATTCCCGTAAAGATCTACAGTTACCATTAAGCATATTAAGCGCCCACCAGCCTTCCAAAAATACTTGTTCAACGAACTGATCAAATCAAGGGTTACAATACTAATTAAATCAGTTTAGTCTTGGCATGGTTTCTCATGTTTTCTCCCAAAAAAAATCAAGTGGAATTTGAATATTCTACTCCAGTATGTATTGCTATAGGCTGTATTTCAAAGCTCTTTGGACTCAGCTCCCACCACACAAAACTCAAGGAGGATTTGGGTCTTCATCGTATTCCTGGCGTCAATGAGTTGCTTGTACCAGTGCTCAGCTTTTAAAACAATGGGGCGGGGAAGTAGGTGCACGGGTGATTGTTGGCTGGTTGGTGGTTTGGAGCATTTTCTATTTTTCCATAATATATGGGATAATCCTTCCCATTGACTAATATTTTTCAGAGGGGTTGAAACCACCAACCCGTTGGCATTAAACCGTGAACCTTCCCAAGTTACAAATCAGTCATTTTGAGCATTTCGTTTCTGACACGAAGCACCTTGAAAATCGGGAGGTCAGGATGGGTATTGGGAGCATCTTATGCAAGGGAGAAGCCCAATCCCTCAAAGTTGATCAACAAAATGAGGGCCAAATCAAGGACCACCCAGGATTTTAGATGATTGTAGGAGGTCTTGAAGCAGTAGCCACCACCAACCCATGTGGGACTGACGAAATAACAACTATTTCGGGGTTCCCTGAATAATTGAGTGAGGTACGTACGCCGGCATTGGAATGAAAGGTTCTATGTTGGATACTCTCCAGGAAAAGTAACATAGCCATGGTACTGTAAATGGCCCGCCCCTTCGTATATTATTTACTGTAAAAATGGTGATTCCACAGCAAGCTGTGAATTTACCAGAGGACAATTACCATTAAATTACAGCAAACAAATTACAGAAAAAAAACAATATTACGGCATATTACGGCCAAGATTTCTCCACTAATCCATGGATATTGGGATTTTGGACATGCTTCACATGGCCCAGCCCCAAGACATCTCAGCCTCCTCGCGTTGGTCCCAAGGATTGCCTTGCACCGCGACTGGCTCCGCCGCGGCATCGAGCTGCGCTCGGCGTTTTCGGCGAGTCGCGAGGAGGCTGAGGAGCGTCAGCTGGGTGCAGAGGAGCGATGGATGGGGGTGGAACTGTTGGGGGGGGTAGATGGATACCACCAGTTGTATAACAGATAAATATTATATATATATATATATTATGTAATGTATATACAATATAATGAATATAATAAAATACAATATAAGATAACATAATATAATATAATATAACATAATAAAATATAATATAATATAATATAGTATAATATAATATAATATAATATAATATATATATATATATGTATGTGTGTGTGGAATATCCCCCACTCATATATGATTATATGGGAAAAAATGCATATGGGATTTTATAAGGTTATGGATGAGAAACCGCTTACGAGTTATTGGGATGCACATCCAAGGGGGCAGATGATCCTTTTATGCTGGAGGTGGGAGCTATGTCTTCATAGGCTCCACTTCTTCGCCATAACTCTGGGAGTCCGGGGGAGGTTGGTATACCAAGAACTCCAATCATGTTTCTGAGTATAACCAGTTGCTAGAGCGCAGTTGCTAAGTTTAAAGATCAGTGATATAGATTCATATTGCCCACTTGTTGGGCAAACCCCTGCTGGGGTGCCAATCACAATCAGCACCAAGCAAAACGTGAAACAACTTTTGAAAACCAAAACGTGAATCAACTTGTGAAAGTCTTTGAATATGTAAATAGTGTGGGGTAGAACAACTAACTATATTTTCATCACCGTAACCATAAAGTTATATCCCCAAAACATCACCAATGAACTCCCTGATTCACCAAGTTAGAGCTGCAGGACCTCATTCAGGTCACCTGCAGTGCAGAGGCCGTGGCACAGCTGCGACATGTCAGGTGCGGGTCATTTCCCAAGTCTTGGCAGCCGAGAATTTAAATGCGAAAATAGAACATTGGCGATAATGTGTCCCTCTTTATTTTGCAATTTTTCATGATATGTTTAAGGAAAACAAGATGCTTGGCATCTTTCCGAAATATCACTGAAAATCAGAACATTGGCTTTTCCATGATATGATCCGATTTTGATTTCCAAGCTTTTAGATGTAGAGTGTCCCAATTTGTTTTCCCGTTTTTGTCCATTTCTCTCACCAAAAATCCACCTTCCACGACACGTCCCGCCCCGCTGGCGCCAGGGGTTTGGAGCTCTGCAACGACTTCGAGCTGTCCCTGCTGGGCTCCATGCGTCGAAAGCGGTGCCTCTGCGAGGTGGCGGTGAAGGCCCTTCCGGCTGTCCTTTTCACCCTGGAAACCAGTACATTGAAGAGGTTTCTACTACTAGTAGGGAACTCTACAGGAATCTTAGAGATGTTGTTGGGCAGTGACTTTGATGAAACATGAGGATTTATTAGCATGAAGCATGGCATAATGATGATATTTCATGATATTTCATGATATTTCATCCCAACAACTGGATTGTTAACCAACATTGGAATGTGAAGGGAAGATTGGTTAACTATCCAGTTGTTGGGAGGGATTGGGAGCTAGGGACATCCATATTCCCTTCAAGTGGGAAGCCAGTTGGAGCTACGAATTGAGTGGGCCCCAACCACATGATAGTTGGCTTATAACTTTTCGCCGGGCTAATGATTGGATTTATAGTGGATATAGTGTTCTTATATATTTGCTTGATAGTAATCCCATTTGGTTCTTCCCATCTGGGTTGGGGAAATATTATCCTAATAAAAAATAGTTGTTAATATTAAATATTATCCTAATATCTATATAATAGGATATTTGCCTGATAGTAATCCCATCTTTTAAAAATATCCGAATTGGCTTCTTCCCATCCCAACTGGCTCAGGAGTCCCTGGTGGGGTCCACCATCGACGCCCGGCGCTGGAAATCTGAGCTGCGCTGCGCCGTCGTGGCCTCCCGCGGTGCGGAGACGGAGAGCGCGCCGGCGGCGGAGGGCGCCGCGACAAAATCGTGGGGTTTTTGAAGTAAAACCCATGGGACATAGTGGATTTATGTGGATTTATAATGATTTATAGTGTTGAATGATGAAGAAATATGAAGAAAACCGTGTGTTTATAGCTAAGAAAAGTTGCGAAACATGAGTTTAATCTGCGGAAATGGTGGATTCATAGCATTTTGTAAGGAAGAACAGTGGTGAATTGTTGATGTTTATCGATGGAATTGGGATTTAAGCAACAAAAACTTGGAACATGTTTGATCCTGATTTTAGCCCGTTGGACATGGTTTTCTAGGTGAAATTAGGAGAGATAAAAGATGATAAAAGGATACCGGCTTATTTCTGAGCAAGAAACACGAGACAATTAGCCAGTTTGGAATCTGAGCAGCAAGATGGAGATTTGATGGGGCGAAGCACATGGTGTGGGTGGTTTTGAATCACCAAAAGTTGGCAAAGTTGCATTGTGGAATCGGCAAAAATGATGAGTTCAAACGCAAAAAATATGTGCAGTGGCTAATCTGCTATATTCACTAGTAAGAGTTGTGGATGTTCATTTGCTGTAAAGTGGATTAAACTAATGCAGAAAGGAGATGCCAATCAATTCAATAATTTGATCTTCCTTTTTGCTTGAGCATGATTGACCATGCAATTTCCTGTTGCATTTTCTCTGCATAAGCCAATGTTGGGATGAAAGGATGCATGTTGGTAGTTTGCATTGCTGCACAGCCCTCCCAGTAAGGCACGGGCACCGTGGGTGCGCGAGCAACCCAAAGCTTCAATGGCTACGTGTCACTGGGCGTGGATTTGTTGGGGTTCTGTGGCAGTCAGAGAGCGGGCTGTAGTCTGGTGATGCCCACAAACGACGGCACATGAACATTAACCGTTGAATCGATCGTTTTGAACATTGGCTATAGCCTCCGGTAAATTAACATAACTATGGAAAATCACCATTTTTTATATAATGTATAAATCTACAATTTCTGTGGCCATTTTCCATAGCTTTGTGTATGTTTACCAGAGGGTAATCCCATTAATATCCCATTAAATCACTATAAATCCCATTAAATCACTATAAATCATGGGGTTTCCCCAAACAAATAGCATCATCGAGAACATCCACCATGATCCACGGCCTTTTTTTTGGGGGGTACCACGGGTACACCAGGATCCAATCCGGCGACATTCTGTTGCTGGAGACCTTCCAGGACTTCCAGGGATGCCCTGGCGGCCATGGCCGTGGGGAATTTTTGGTTAACATCAGGAATCCTGGCTCGGTTGTCTTGAAATTTGGAAAATGATCGTCACACTGTCTGACTTTCCTGGTGTTTCATGTCAAAAATCGGATGGTTAGAGAGTAGGCAATACATCAACATTTGCGCCAACGATGACATGTGTTTCCAGGGATTCAGACTGGACCTCGTTGAAACCCCCGGCAGGAAATGGTTGGCTCCGACATCTGGGTGGAAAACTTTGGTGCCTCGGCTTTTCCCAGTGGTGAATTGTCCCAACGAAGCATCACTTCAAACTTGGAGACAGGGCATCAAATTGCCAAAGATGCCAAAGTAAGAGGTTTGATCCAGCCCCTGTTTCCTGGATCTTTGATGTGGGCTTTGCACACAAGTACAGTAAGACCTCCGAAATCCAAAGGGATCGCCAACACAAAGATAAAAGAGAGAAACCGTCAAAGATATTTAACTCACATCCAAAAACGGGAAGAAAAGACACGCAGCAATCAGTATATATTCTAATATTCACTAATATTCTATAATAATGTGCTTCTATAATTAGTTATTCTAATTATATTCAAAATATGGGATAATCCTTCCCATTGACTTTCATATTTTTCAAGATGGTTAAAATCACCAACCAGTAACTCTATACGTGTTAAAATGTTTTTGTGTCCCAGCTTCAAGCCTTTCATTTGCACGGGCAGGGGTGGTGCGTTTGGTCCCCAACTCCGCTCCTCCACGCCGTGGCAAGCCGGCCGTCACTGGACAGAGATGGGGATGGAAGCTGAGAAACCAATGGGATACCCTCTGCTAAATGGAAAATCACCATTTTCAATGGGAAAACCATCGGAAAACTACGGGAAAATGGTGATTTATATGGAAAATCACCATTTTCGATGGGTAAATCCACTATTTCGACTGGGCCATTTTCAATAGCAAACTGTTAAATTACCAGAGGGTACTCAACCCATACAAAAGGTTGTTTATTGGGGATGTTAATGAGGAGAGTGCCTTCAATTATAGGGGTTCGAAGGCACATATGTTCCATATAGATATATTCTGTAATGGGGGCAGCTGAGACATAAGACGATTTTAAGCACCTGAGACACCAATGATAGACAATCCTCAATTTTATTAATTATAATCTGATGATACTTGATATATATTGACATATGAGATGGGTTCTACAGGGTTTAAGCATCACACATCTTGATTTTTCATGGGATCTTGATGGGGAGTATCCCCCCAGAAACCATGGTGGATGGGGAACCCGGAATCTCACTGGGGCCGATTGTAGTGCGACACGGTGAAGCCAATCTTGGGGGTTTGGATCACCAGAAGCGATGAATTCATGGCCTGTTCGTCTTGTGGATCCGTTGGGTCCTTTGGGGCCTCGGGGGTATCTAAGGAGATGCTTAGTTGCCCCAGCAATCCAAGCGCCCCAAACCACCAGTAAAGCCGTCAGCGAAAGAAACAACATGGTTGTTGTTCACATAAAATCACCCAAAAACACCTTAAAACATCTTAAAACAATCCCAAGCACCCTTAAAACCCAAAATCAACCTACAAACAGCCTAAAACCAACTCCAAAACCATCGTTTTCGAATATGTTTGTCCCCTTTCGAGGATTCCCTCCGCGCGGTCTTCATCGTCGTGGGTTTGCTGGCGATGATCATCATTGCCTCCTGCGGCGACGCTCGGATGATCATGATGATCGTCCCATTTTACCACTGAAAATGATGGATATTACATGACTAACTGGTTGGTGCTTTGGAACATGAATTCTATTTTTTCCATATATATATATATTGGGAATAATGATCCCAACTGACTTTCATATTTTTCAGAGGGGTTGAAACCAACCAGCTAATCATGACTCTATATATCACTATTATGATCCTAAAAATCTTCACTCTCATTTTACATCAATTGCAATGTTACCCATGAAAACTGCAAAGTTACCTGAAGAGTTAGCTGTTTCTGGTGATTTTCCTTGGCCCTAGGAGAAGGCACCCAGTTTGCCACTGATGGCGGTGATCTTCCTCTGTGGCATCATCATGGTGAAGGGTTTGAAGTTGGAGGAGGCCACAGGGCGTTGAAGCCGCTTGAAGGAAGGATCAGGGGGAGATCTGGGGAGTTGTTACATGTGTTTTTTACCATCAGAAATGGGAGTTGTGTACAACTGAGAAAAGGGGAGTGAACTATCTAACTATCGATCGATCTATCTATCTATCTATCCATCCATCCATCCATCTATCTATCTATCTATCTATCTATCTAGGTATGTGCCGGGTAAATTATAACTGTGAAAGGGGGAGTGAATATTATAATTTACCCATATATGTATAAACAGCTTGTAAATACAGTAGATATGTAAAACGCCCTGGTGAAGGCTGATGTAGACTTGTTTTCCCAAAAGGAATGGGAGTTTGGCTGGTCACAAATGGGAAAATACTGACATTGAGAGGATTGACCATAGAGACAGGATGCCGGGGGGGTATGTGAAGTGTGAACTGTCAACCTTGGTAGAAGGCAGATGAAAAACAGTTCTTATTTTTCGGAAGATGATGAAGGTACACATGTTGAAACTAAGTTTCTCCAAGATTCAGCATTTGGGAATACACTCTGGTCATTTAACATAGCTCTGTAAAAGGGCCCACTTATAGATTTTAGTTCGTTGATTTACTCATGAAAATCGTGATTTTCCATCGTTTTTGGTAAACGTTTACCTCTGGGGCACCCCATTTTGCCACTTTGCCAGTTGGATGTGCCCCCTTTTCCTTGGCGCGTTTACGCGTGCGCAAACGCGTGCAGGTGTATCAGGAGATCAATGGCCAGGTACCTTGCTGTTTCGGATGGTAGGCTATAATTGTGGATCCTAACCTTCGGGATGGCGATGGAGAGAGACAGAGATGGATATATATATATTTATATTATAATATATATATATAATATGCATTATATATATACTTATTATATTATATATATATTATAGATTTTATATATTATATTATAATATTATATTATAATATTATATTATAATATTATATTATAATATTATATTATGTTATATTATTTTGTATTATTTTATATACATATATATATATATATATTTGTTGGATATTGTTTTTGGTTACTTTTTAGTAGTCGTCTGAGGGGTTGAGCAGTTGAAAACTGATATGGAACGACCCGTCTAGAAAGCAAAGGGGTCAACCGAGAAAAATGTGTGACTTTGGAAGGGATGGTCTTTAAGAGTTTAAGAGCTGGGGACGATCTTGCGAAGTTAGCTAAAGTTTATGTCCCCAGATAGCTCAGATGAAATCACCCCATCAATTCCGGTGTTCAAACCTTTATTTTGGCAGGTTAGCTATATAGTATAGGACCTATAGACCCCCTGGCATAATCAAAGACGTGTAAATAATGTAAAGCTTGGAAATCGCATGGCATAATTTGAGAAACTCTGGTTTAGTTTGGGATTTAGTCATGTTGGAATTCCATTTCATTATTGAAGTTGCATCTTACATCAAGCTTGTTTAACTTGTGATTAAAAAGAATTTGGTTTAATGATCAGTAAATCAGTCAGCTGGTGTCACTTCAAGTTCTACATGAAACATGCTAACTTGGATTCGTCCGAAAGTATGGTAGGACTAAATTCATTGCTGAATAACAACTATCCCTCTAAAAAGTTGCCATGTTATGAGCTTAATCTCATATAATTGGATTTGGATTTGGAACAGATAACCCGCCAATACAAGCGGTAGTGATATAACTATCCATCACCCATATTCTGATCTCCCAATACGTATACCTATTTATGCTGATCAATACATGGCAATATATATATATATGTCCATATCAACCATATTAATCACCATATGAATAAACCACATATATAGCAATGGTTATATCAGAATATACCTATTAATATACAACTGTCTAAAACCATAATCATAAACCATATACAACAAGATTAGAAAAAACCTAGAAAAACCACATATTATATATTATTATTTATTATTATATACAGTATATAACCATCACTAATCATCACTAATAATATTTGGTTTTTATAATCATCACTAATCATCACTAATCATCACTAATCATCACTAATCATCACTAATCATCACTAATCATCACTAATATAATACGACATATTATTATTATATATATCCATCACTAATCATATTCTGATCCCCCAACATGGTGCTGTGCGGATTCCCCGAGGTGTTGCTGACCATCGTGGGCGCCTTGGCGTTGGGCCGAGCGCTGGAAGTCTCCTGCTTGGCCAACTGCCACCGGGCAGAAAAGCCGGGGAAGCAACGGTGGCGAAAAAATGGGGACGAAAATGGTGGTACCCTCTGGTAATTTAACATAGCTATTGAAAATGGTGATTTTCCATAGCTACGTTAAATTACCAGAGGGTATGCTACTAGAATGGTGGTAGAATATATAGGGAGATGATGATTTTTTTGTTTTTAAAAAACTTGTAAGCAAGATTATATGGAGAAAATATCTGGGAAACCCTGTTTTATGTGTGTTTAACACATTGTGGAGTATACCGAGTATGCTAAGCTAAGTTTACATCAAGTTGTTTGATGGAGATGGTGGGAATTTGCCCATCCCCCAAAAAAAAGATGGCAACGATGAATATCACATATTTCCACACATTGTTCTACATGAACAGCAACTAAAAAAACAACAAAAAACAGAAACACATCATTTCTCCGCATCTTTTGTGTCGTGTTTTGATGTTTTTTTCTGCCGTTACCCCCAACAAAAAACCATGGGTTTCCCATGGAGTTCCCACCACGGCGCCCGAGACGTAAAGGCATGGCCCAGTGCATCATCGCCGTGACGAAGCCCGTGGGCACCGTGGCAGTGAAGGCGGGTGCCTCGACACTACGAGGAACGGCCGAAACAGCTGTGACAACTTGGAGGATCATCCCATGTCAGAACTGGAAGATACTGTAAGTGCTTAGATGTGCTTAGTAAATATCCCATTTAAGTACTGTAAGTGTTAGTAAATGGGTCTCAAAAATTGTCTATAACCCATTTTTTAGAGGGATAGCCCGGGAAAATCCAGGAAATGGGAACTTACGATCACCAGGGTTATTAACCACTTGTCCGTGGGATGATCCAAGTTTGGAAATGTCGTGAACATGCTTTTGGTTAGGCATGATTGATTCTTACTGGTGCTTAGCAGGGTATGGATGGGACTGAGGGAATGGGATGATTATTACTGTACTAGTGATTATGGATTTCCCTCATTCCCTGCTAAGCACCAGTAAGTGATTGATTTGGTAATGATTTTTACATGGAGGGATTCACTTCGACCAACCAAGTTTGGGTGCAACGTTATTTGGATTGAGTTTACTACCACAATGAATGATTCACGTTGGTTCTGGTAAGTACTGTAGTATTTTTTTTTGAGACTTGCTTGTTTTCCTGCCGATCACTAGTTCAGATTAAGATTACTCTTCAACTCACAAAAACAAATGCAGTTCAAATGTCCAAGTGGTATGCAATTTGAACTCTAAAAGTTGATTGTGCTTCAAAAAACCTCGGGATTTTTCCGATTGCGTAACCCGATGTGTTATGGTCATAGATGTAGTGGGTTTGGGTTGCAGTTTTAGCATTTTTGTTGGATTTCTTTTGGGAAACCGACAGATCAAACTAGAAGAACCGGTAGCACCGGTTTGGTCAAAACTGTCACCGCCCATGGCGGCTGCTGGCTGTGCCACCATGTCACTGTAAACTTGAGTGGGTTGATTCAAGGGAAGTGTTGAAACGGCTATATATGGCTATATCAACCATCCAAATTTCCTGGAAGAGCCTGCAGGCACTTCCCTAAACCGCCCAATTCTATGGTATTTGTTGGATTCATATTTTTCCCACATACCTAAATCGTCTTAAATAGAACTCGTCAATCAATACCTGACCTCAAACCGGCTGGCAAATCCACTTACGCCATCCCAACATTTCTACGGACTTGGTATTGTCATATTACAGTTGTACCAACTTATTGCGCTATATAAGTCCTTCTAAAGTTGATATATATATTATATTATTGTTATTATTATCATCATTATTATCATTTTTTATATCTATCAATATATTAGATAATTCCAAGATCCCAACTGGGTCATCCCCAACATGAGTACTGAATGCCTATCCCTCAACGTCACCTCACTTCGGCCGAGGGATCTATGCCGCCACCATCGGTCTGGGGCAGTTTCTCAATAGCGCGGCCAATGTGGCCATCATGGGAAAGCGACTTGGCCTGGCCGATGTGGGCGTTGTGTTGTATTTAAGTGGACACATAGACTAATATGGTGGTTTCCTAAAATAGGGTTACCCCCAAATCATCCATGTTTTTTTGGATTTTCCATGAAATAAACAATCCAGCTTCTAATGGGTACCCCCATTTTAGGAAACCTCCATATATAATGTGATTATATATGATGTGATTATATGTATATACATGTGTACACGTTTGTTTGTATTATGTATATACATATCTGATATATTTATGGATATGCTACGCATGGTTGTGAATGATTTTGGAGACCGCTAAGTTGTTGGATTTGTTTATATATATATATATTGATTGATTGATTCTGCCGGCTTTGGTACTATCACCGCTCACGGGAAATGGTGATATAGCTTGATTTAGCTCACCATATCCCAAGTCTGTGACTGTGCTTCAGACCAATATTTGGGGATGTGTTTTAGGATGGTTTATGGCATTTGGGATCCCAAGCATCCGGGATGCTGCCCAGCAGTAAAGCCCAGCATGCTGGAGTTGAAGAATACTGTGATATTGGTGGGGCGTATCTATACTACACGCTTATCCCGTAGTAGTTTTGTGTAATAGATGTGCATCACTATACAATGGATATATGTATTAGTGTGTAGAATAATCATATCGGATATATGTACTACTACCATCACAACAGATATATGTACTACTACCATCACAACGGTATAGTGATATGATTGGGAATTATGATTGAGGTATCATTGGGATATAGTTGAGATAGAATCCAATTATATTAAGAAAGTCGACCAAAGTACTACTACAACAACAACAACAAGAAGGACTGTTTGCTCAGCATTTTGAGACAAGGCGATCGAGGACACGACGAATTTTGGTTCTTGAGATGGCTCGATTTCATGAATTTTCTTCAGTGATAATGAGTAGAACAAAAGTCCCGAATGTTGGTTTTGCGGAGGTCACCCTCCAAAAAACTAACACTGGTTGGTGGTTTGGAACATGGCTTTTATGACTTTCCATATATTGGGAATAGTGATCCCAACTGACTCACATTTTTCAGATGGGTTGAAACCACCAACCAGGACATAATTAGATGTGGAAACCCACCATTTCTAGAACATGTTCTAGGAAACCAATGGAAACCATGGGGTTTTCGAGACACCTTGCTGCATCCTTGCTGCATCGGACGATGAACTCGACGCACTCCAAGGATTGCCATTCCAATCGCTCACAGCATGACGATCCCTGTGGGAGAAATGGCAATGATCGTCTCTTTTCCGCGAAAGCGGGTGAGGATGGTGAGGGAACAAGGCAAAAGGGGGTTTCAATAGTACACAAAACTCACAAAACTGCCAAATGGGAGAACTAAGGGAGAGTCACCATGTTATGCTCTGGTAATTGGGTATACGTTTGCAACATGGAACGTCACCAAATTGTTTAGAGTTGTAAATCATTGAACTAAATTGGCCATTGTCAATCATGTTCATTGACTTTCCATAGGTATGTTAAATTACCAGGGAGAGTAACATCAGATTTCAATGGCTGTCTCAATCTGTTTCGCATCTTGATACAATGTGAGGCCCCCCAGTTATAAGTTGGTTTATAAGCCCCAGTAACTATAGTTATAAGTACCATAAACCATAGTTATTGGAGTTATAAACCAACTTAGCTATCTTGGGGGCCTCACATTGTAGAATTCATGCACTTTCATTCCTCAGCAATGATTCCCGAACAAAATAGGGGCAGTTGCTACGTACAAAGTGGTGCCCCCTAGCTATCAGTTGGTTGCTTCACCCATCTCTCCATCTTTATAAACACCATAACCCCCAGTTAAACAACCGTGTTGAGATCTTATGAACCAACTTACATCTAACATCTAACTATACAAAGTAATGATAACCATAACATAACTAACATATATATATAGTTGTAAACATAACATAACCACAACCAACTTACATCATTTTACATCTAATATGAGCTTTGAACGTCTAACAAACATCATAACCCCACCAGGGCTGCGGGCAGAAAAGGTAACCTATGCGGCCTCGGCGTGCTATACGGCACCCTACGGATATCAAACCAACACGCTGGTGCTTAAAGCAGGCGCGGCGGCCGCGGCGGCGGAAGAAGGGGAGGGATGATGTGAATATGATGTGAATTATCATCTATTCATCATTGGATTGGTGTGATTATGTGTGATTGGTTGAAGGGAAATGTGAAACAGAAAAAAAATATATATAATATACATATTCGGGAAAACTAGATAGTTTTCTGTAGATTTTCTCTTGAACCAACCCATTGAATTCATACATGTCACATGTCACACTTATTTTTGGTGTGTTTTCTTGATTGGTGAAAGGCTTGGTTTTGCACTGTTTGGTTCATAATCCGTCTAATTCAGGCAACCATTTGGAGATGAAGATGGAAACCGCAACAATGGGTCTCGTAAGATGCTGCTTCCGTAGAACGCAGCTGTTTTCAGGGCCGAACCTTAGTTTTCAGGATTGGTAGCATGGTTTTTCAAGATGGAGTCAGATGGTTTTGACCCCAGATCGTGCATCCACATCATTTTGGCCGCGATAAACTGGCCGAATTTCGGAAGGACATGGATTAATCGATGGCAATGAAATTGTTTTTTTTAGGAAACGGTTAATCCATCATGATCAATCAAAAAATACCCTTAAAAAAGGTTTCGGAAAGAGGGATGTTGATAGACATATCGTTCCACAAAACCATTTTAAACCATATTTTTGTCCAAGAGTGTATATCTATGGAATATATATATATATATTATCTATAGGGATTCCCAAAAAGATGCCGTTTCCAGCGTTTCCAGCGCCAGGCGGCTATGCCTGGGGCGACTTCATCAAGTTTGGCGGCGCATTGCAACTGCTACACATGCGCGGACAGGGCTGGGGATTCTGAATGATTTTGGAGGGATATATCCTGCAGTAAACTAGCATAGGTATGGAAATCCACCACAACATCATGTAACCACCTCCCATTTCAGATAATAATCCCCCATAAACCAAGTAGGATTCTGAATGATTTTGAAGGTGTCAATCGGGTTTTTCCGGGTCAAGATGGTGAAATTTGCAAGCCTTGATGATGAACGAAATTCTCAGGGGATATTCATATGATCGAAGACCCGGTGACACTGTGCCAGATGGTGTTGATGGGATCAAATAGTGTTTTTTCTTCTGGGGTGATTGGGGCACCAGTTGAACTACTATTTGTTGCTCGGCTTGGTGGTAGATACAAAGATGTGAAACCATAATTACTACATCCCTGAGTTTTCAACACAACTGAGTTTGGAAGAAACATTTTTCCGATGTTTCAAAATGGCTTGGTGGCAGCACATGGGAATCAAAAAATAAGCAGCGACTTGACTGATCCATCAGGGAATGGCCGAAATCATTTGGTGCTGGGATAGGGCTGAGTCACAAAAATGATTAGTCAATCTCGTGGTACTATAACCATATTAGAACCATATTAGAACCATATTTTATATTAGGAATATGTTACCATTGTTATTTTCCCAGCGTTTCTTAACACCTTTGGATCTGGTGCTTTTGGTTGCAGGTGCCTAGTGGTGGCGATGGCCGCATGGTGTGCAAAGTTCTCACCGGAATAGCGCGAAAATGCGCGAACGACCCGGATTGACCGAAGGTTCCTGGCGGATTGGTTTTCTTGGGAAAATCTGAACCGGAAAGCACAGATTTTCCCATGAAATATGGGGCTGACAAACCAGTAAAGGTTCCCTTGAACCAATTTAGTGAAAGGTACACGTTACATAATATGTGCACGGCAAGTCATCTGAAAAAATATCTATGCAACTTACAGGACCTAACTGCAATTCACTGAGAAAGACTGGGGTGTGCCCAAAATTTCTGGGATATCAGGATGTCATACCAATTTTGATGGATTTTGTCAAAGGGCATGGACAGCACATCCAAAGCATGGACTGTGGCACCAGGACGACCAAGTGACTTGGATCATCCCAGTGATGAGGAAGTGGGGTTATATGGTCATGATATAACCCTTTGGACTTTCGTTCACCGTTACTAACCAGTTACATCCAGTTGCTACTTGCTGGTGCTAAACGTAGGGAATGGATGGGTTGCTGGGGGTTGCTGGGATTATTGATAGTTAGTTATTGTGGATCATTCCCGAAAATTCCCTACGTTTAGCACAAGTAAGACATTGATTCTGCATTCCTCATCTATCCAGTGGGAGCGGTGAAGGGAGCTAAGGCTGTCATGGGCTATCTACATCTAATATACATATGAAATCATATAGATAAAAACATATTTCCGAACTTAAATGGAGAGCCTTAACTGGAGAGCCAGCCAGTTGGAGTTACTAAGAGTTTCCCAAGATAATTAGGCATCATCACCATAACTTATCGATGTCAGTATCACCCCTACCCATTGTCACGCCATCCTCACCCTGGCTCAAGCGGGGCGTACCCGGGGGTCGCCTCGAATGGTGGTGTGACACTGGCTGCACGGGTGATGGGGGCGGTCCCGGAACTTAATGTGGCAATCTCTGAAACAGGATGACACATGTATAGTTTATATTCAGTAACATTCATTTATATTAATTTATATTCATTTATATTAACTTATATTCATTTATATTAAATTATCCAGAATTGTACAAAAAGTAAATATAGTCAAGCTGAGATGAGTGATTCTTCGGGTCCCGGCTGAAGGTCCAGTGCAATACCAGACAAAGGCGATCAGAGACTTCTGGCACAGTTGTGCTCAAACAAAGTGTGAACATAAGTTTGTTTGAGCCATGAATCACAGTGTAAAATCTATGTTCATGGCTGAACTTCTGGCCCCAGATCTATTTTACATTGGTTTTTTGATGGCAGATACAATAAGATCCATTAGGATGCAATGGCACGTAATGGATAGTACTGGATAGTAATGGCATATATTTCAGAGGTGCCTTTTCCTCTCAGTGGACCCCACGCAAAGCGCGGTGTTGTTTTGAGCGGAGGGGACGACGTGACGACCGACCTGGACTTGGAGAATCCACAGCACTGATAGCTGTGCCCAATGTTTATCCATCATGACACTCTTTTTGGAGGTGTTGAACTTTGAATCCATATTTTTGTGGTTCAAAGAAGTTCAACTTCTGTATTCTCAGCATGTTTGTTGGTTTCACGCCTGATGTTTGGTAACCCCACATCATTTGCAATAACTATACTGTATAGCATTGAAACACTTTAAGCTATTACGATGAGTTCAGAAAAAGGCGGGAAAATAGACAGAAAATAAGTGCCATCATGTTTGAGACGTATTAATTTTCTGATCCTCGAAAATTGGTGGAAGAAGAAACCCCTGGCCGCTGAAAGTCCCTTACCCTAGGTGCTGAGATCCTTCGAACGACTCGGCTCGGTCTCTTGGTTCACGCCGGAGGAGATCAGGCTTATGGTTGTAACCCATGGTCCCTGAAAAATTGACAATGCTACTATAGGAGAATATATCTATGTATATATATATATATCTATATATACATATATACATATATATATATACATATATATACATATACATATATATATATAGTTGATAGTACATCTCCCAGACATACATAACAAATCCATCGGGATCCATGGCTTTAACTGTGATCCATCGGGAAACCAATCCATTTCTGATATCCAGAAAGAAATCACCCAAGCTGAGATATATTTTTACAAGACTGCACCTGGATTAACATGATTTTATGATATGTTATGTTTAAGGGGATAGTAAAAAGAAGAACAGGAATTAAAGATTGACACCCGCTGTTAGATTTGGATGAACACGGGTGGAGATATATGGTTGCGGTTCTTGGTACTTGGTTTCTATAAATTAAGAGGGTAATAAGATGTAATAAGGATCTAGTTGTAAAAGTGTTGTAAAATGTCAAGTGGTTTCATTTGTTTCCGGGGTGCGTGCTCAGCAAGTGCTCGTCGCTGAGGTGGTGATGGCACCAAGACCGCCCGTGAAGCTGGACCTGAGTTCCCATGCCAGTCACATGGCGGGTGGGTCATGACGATCATCACGGTCATGGAACGGTGAGGATGGGGGGGAAGTATCCCAACATGGCATGGAAAATTCCAGCTGAGTAGTGAGTAGTGACTTGTGTACTCGGAATGTTGCCAGAATAAGCTAAGTGGTTACCTGGGGCATATCCAGGAGGACCTCAAATGGCCAGAACCACCAATCATCCCCAAGGATTCGAATGATTTACTGAGAAAAAAAAACATAAATTCTGAGAAAAAACACATTAACCCCGATAGATCATGGCTTATCATTTGGGCATCCAGCAGCCAGGCCGGGTTTTTTTCTCCGGTGTATCCAACAGCGCCGGGGAACATGGGATCAGTTCTGGCAGATAATTCTGGAAGGTAATTCAAATATATTTAAATTGATCCAATGGGCAGTAAATAACCCAGCTTAGTTTAGAATTGACCTAACATGGCATCAACATTGACAGGTCAAGAACTGTTATATTTCTGGTGTTTCTGTTAGTTTCGCCACATTGAAGCCTTGTTTCGTGTGGGTAAAAGCCATGGTTTCCTGCAGATGATTCCCCCTTGGAGTCATAGAAGATTCTTAGAATACTATGATTACCATGGTGATCAGATCATAACTATTTAACCGCATCAACTCATGCTTGGGTTTCTGCAGTTCCATGAATCCGTGGCAGAAAACAACTGCAGTTTTGCTACAGTTATGGGGCTGATATCACCCATTAAATTGAAGGTTTAAATCGCATAGTTAGATGCGTTAACATTGAAAAAACCTACAACCGCAAGGCCATTCGCAGACCCGAGGCAATGGGGACGTGTCGACCCTGGATTGGTCCGAAGTGCCTGAAGGGCTGCTGCCTTATGAGGTGCCTGGTGTGGGTATATTTGGGCATTTCTCATGGCTTGAAACTACCTGAAACCAGCATGTTTGGGCTATAAACTATAAACCAAGCAGAATGGAGGATTTTGATGTGGATATGTTTTTACATTATTTTGGATATTGTTTTTTCCAAAATAGAGGGCTAAATGATCTGAAACCCACTGGGTTCATGGATGATTTTGATGGCTGCCCCTATTTTAGGAGACATTCATTTTGGAGCCATGCATCTTGCTAGCCAGCTTGTTAAACTTACTGATCATGGGAAGTCAATGTTGGGAAGCCATCTTCAAAACAAAGGTCCAGAAACATTGAAGATAACTCCAAGAAAATTGCCATCAAAGGTGTCATCAAAGGTGATTTGCTGGAAAATTCCATGAAAAAAATCCTCAGTGATAAATTGTTCATTCAAACATCCAGTTAGTTTGGGGATGCGCCAGCTTGGTTTGAGGACACCGGACATTACCCATTTTACTGACTTCCTGTAAAAGCTTGGAAATATATCAATTTGGTCTTGATTTCAAGCCAGAGTTGTTGAAGTACTTATGCCTGATATATCTCAAATTGATGTCTCACTAATATCATGTTATCATGGCACTTTCATATGGCCTATCATCGACAAGCCAAGCCCAAAGTGACATCCTCACCATTCTTGGCCATTTATCATATGTATATATATATATACATATATATAACATATATATATATACACATTATATGGCATATCATCGTTGAAACATTTTAAAGTGCCAGATCGTATCATATTAAGTTTCACATATATGCTATATCGGCTATATCATAATATATGTTATATCATTTTTTTAGTGCCATGGTTAAGCTTAATATTAAACTTAAATCCAACAATGACACTGAAATATGTTTCATCGAAGGTTCGCCATGCCCAGCTACCATAGCAGGAGTTGTGTTGTTTTTAGATGTGCTCGCATAATTATCCATTTGCATATCATATATGCGTGTTTATATATATATACGCATATACACATATTTATATTTATGTAGATAAATTTTAAATTAATATCTCCTGTATGATTTTTTGTTGTATCCTACTTGAACCAACGTTTTCAACCTGAAGAACCAAGATCCAATTGGAAAGTCACCATTTTTTTCCTCCTGTGCAGGAGCTTGATTTCTCCTATAACGGCATCACTTCGACGGAACTGGATCGGGTCACTTGGGACACGGGAGTTCTGTGGGAAAACCACGGGAAAGTCCCAGCAAAATACCGGAGTTGTTTCCCGTAACTTTAGAAGTGAATACATGTGAATACTACGTATCATACGATCTAAATATAGTTTTATTTGTGTTTTTATTCTTTATTTTTATATCTCATATGTGTGTATAATTATATATATATGCATATTTATTTGTGTATTTAACCAAGAAAGCATAAGGGCCCTGTATCCCAACTTTGTGAGGTTATCGCCATGGTATCTTACCGTAAATCCTACCCACCAAAAATTAAACAGCTCACTTTAACCAGCGAAAAAGGCCCGATTTAGCCACAACTAACTGGCTATATGTTCAATTCAGACTAGCTTGGGTCTTGAAATTTCTTGAGGGTTTTGTGCCATGAAGGATGCCGGCAAACAAAGCTGGGTATCCTGGTTGTTCAACATGTTGTTACTGTTACCACTAGCTGTGGAAGAAAATTTCTTCACATATGCCATACCTCATGCTGGAACGTTCCAGGAGCCTAAAAAATTGGGACCTCCGGGGGGGCCGACTTTTTGAATTAGGGAGGTTCTACCTTCACACATTGTCCCCAGTCAGCTAAACTAGTTCGATGCGCGATTGACTTGGGTTTGTTTCCCAATGGTTTTGAGTTTCCCAATCGCGGATATTTGGTCATGTCTTGGAGCTGCTTTCTAAGCAAATCCAGGATGATTTTTGGCTGATGGGGACATGAACCAATGGGATGATGTTTATGCAATACATTTCGAATCCAACACCCATTGTATGGTTCCAAACATGTGGAAATCGCCTACTAAACCATGGTTTCCAGGGGATGTTTTTACTTGAAGGGATTGTATAGTAAAATTGAGGCTTGTGTATCACTGCAGTCTGATGTTTTTCATTTGTAAACCTCAGATGGGCAGTTCAATACCAGCTGATCGGTTAAATTTTGATGGCTACATATTAGCTTATATTCGCTTCACCAACCATTTTGTGCGGGGGACCTGTTATGCATCTGGGATTTGTCCAAAATATGGATTAAACATGAATAAATCACAGAAAATTGTAATAAATAGTATGAGACGGTTTCATCGAACCAAAGCGGTTCTATTTGCAACTATTTGCAACCCTGGAAATCTGATGATGATCCCAATTGACTTTCATTATTGGCCAGTCGACGAGCCCTTCCTGCCTGGGTTGGTAGTGGATATCCCAGAATGAACATTTGAAAAAAAGGTTATCGCCATGGCATCCTACCCGCAAAAAAGACACCTTAGTCTAGAACTTTGAAATACATATTTATATATATATAGTTTTTTACACCAACAGGTTTGTGTTTTGACTATTTTTGACTGACTTTTGGATGTTTTGGGATGTTTTGTGGGTACCTTCAGAAGCAGGATGCCGGCAGTCCAAAAAAGTGGAAGGTTTCATATGGTTTCATCCCCTTCCACCATGGTAAACCTGTGGGGTTAATATGAATCAATGGATCATTCCCATATCCCATATAGTTGGGGTAAAGTCTCTATAAATATTATGGGTAACTCTTGCTAACTAATAGTCTTTAACCATAATATTTATAGAGACTTTACCCCAACTATTAACCATTAATACCCCAACTATATTGCTGTTCTTTAACCATTAATATCACCATAATCCCATATAGTCTTCATTGTTGATGGTCAAACTGGTCAAACACCTAATTTCGGATGCTTGAATCCCATCAAATGGTGGGAAGGGATCAATCACCATTGTTTTATATATCCCCATGAATGTTCCATTCAATCACCATGTTTGATGGTGAAAGATAGTGCAACATGGTGAAAACCTGGAAAAAAAAACATTATCCCCATTAACTTTTATGACCTTAAAAGCTTAATTTCTTTAAAACCCTATTAACCCATGATTTTTTTTATGGGATCTCCATAAAAACATCATAAAACCCACTATATCTCCATAGAAACATCATAAAACCCACTATATCTCCATAGAAACATCATAAAACCCACTATATCTCCATAGAAACATCATAAAACCCACTATATCTCCATAAAAACATCATAAAACCCACTATATCTCCATAGAAACATCATAAAACCCACTATATCTCCATAGAAACATCATAAAACCCAGTATATCTCCATAGAAACATCATAAAACCCACTATATCTCCATAGAAACATCATAAAACCCACTATATCTCCATAGAAACATCATAAAACCCACTATATCTCCATAGAAACATCATAAAACCCACTATACTATATCTCCATAGAAACATCATAAAACCCACTATATCTCCATAGAAACATCATAAAACCCACTATATCTCCATAGAAACATCATAAAACCCACTATATCTCCATAGAAACATCATAAAACCCACTATATCTCCATAGAAACATCATAAAACCCACTATATCTCCATAGAAACATCATAAAACCCACTATATCTCCATAGAAACATCATAAAACCCACTATATCTCCATAGAAACATCATAAAACCCACTATATCTCCATAGAAACATCATAAAACCCACTATATCTCCATAAAAACATCATAAAACCCACTATATCTCCATAGAAACATCATAAAACCCACTATATCTCCATAGAAACATCATAAAACCCACTATATCTCCATAGAAACATCATAAAACCCACTATATCTCCATAGAAACATCATAAAACCCAGTATATCTCCATAGAAACATCATAAAACCCACTATATCTCCATAGAAACATCATAAAACCCACTATATCTCCATAGAAACATCATAAAACCCAGTATATCCCCATAGAAACATCATAAAACCCACTATATCTCCATAGAAACATCATAAAACCCACTATATCTCCATAGAAACATCATAAAACCCACTATATCTCCATAGAAACATCATAAAAACCCAGTATATCTCCATAGAAACATCATAAAACCCACTATATCTCCATAGAAACATCATAAAACCCACTATATCTCCATAAAAACATCATAAAACCCACTATATCTCCATAGAAACATCATAAAACCCACTATATCTCCATAGAAACATCATAAAACCCACTATATCTCCATAGAAACATCATAAAACCCACTATATCTCCATAGAAACATCATAAAACCCACTATATCTCCATAGAAACATCATAAAACCCACTATATCTCCATAGAAACATCATAAAACCCACTATATCTCCATAGAAACATCATAAAACCCACTATATCTCCATAGAAACATCATAAAACCCAGTATATCCCCATAGAAACATCATAAAACCGACTATATCTCCATAGAAACATCATAAAACCCACTATATCTCCATAGAAACATCATAAAACCCACTATATCTCCATAGAAACATCATAAAACCCACTATATCTCCATAGAAACATCATAAAACCCACTATATCATAAAACCCACTATATCTCCATAGAAACATCATAAAACCCACTATATCTCCATAACCCAAACATCATCATAAAACCCACTATATCTCCATAGAAACATCATAAAACCCACCCTATATCTCCATAGAAACATCATAAAACCCACTATATCTCCATAAAAACTGAACTTTTATGATCTTAAAAGCTGAACTTCTTTAAAAGCCTATCATTAACCCATGATTTTTTTATGGGATCTCCATTTTTTTTAAAAAAAAACATCATAAAACCCACTATATCTCCATCGAAACATCATAAAAACCCACTATATCTCCATAGAAACATCATAAAACCCACTATATCTCCATAGAAACATCATAAAACCCAGTATATCTCCATAGAAACATCATAAAACCCAGTATATTTCCATAGAAACATCATAAAACCCACTATATCTCCATAGAAACATCATAAAACCCACTATATCTCCATAGAAACATCATAAAACCCACTATATCTCCATAAAAACTGAACTTTTATGATCTTAAAAGCTGAACTTCTTTAAAAGCCTATCATTAACCCATGATTTTTTTATGGGATCTCCATTAAAAAAAAAAAACATCATAAAACCCACTATATCTCCATAGAAACATCATAAAAACCCAGTATATCTCCATAGAAACATCATAAAACCCACTATATCTCCATAAAAACTGAACTTTTATGATCTTAAAAGCTGAACTTCTTTAAAAGCCTATCATTAACCCATGATTTTTTTTATGGGATCTCCATTAAAAAAAAAAAACATCATAAAACCCACTATATCCCCATAGAAACATCATAAAAACCCAGTATATCTCCATAGAAACATCATAAAACCGACTATATCTCCATAAAAACTGAACTTTTATGATCTTAAAAGCTGAACTTCTTTAAAAGCCTATCATTAACCCATGATTTTTTTATGGGATCTCCATAAAAAAAAAAAAAACACATCATAAAACCCACTATATCTCCATAGAAACATCATAAAAACCCAGTATATCTCCATAGAAACATCATAAAACCCACTATATCTCCATAAAAACTGAACTTTTATGATCTTAAAAGCTGAACTTCTTTAAAAGCCTATCATTAACCCATGATTTTTTTATGGGATCTCCATTTAAAAAATCATAAAACCCACTATATCTCCATAGAAACATCATAAAAACCCAGTATATCTCCATAGAAACATCATAAAACCCACTATATCTCCATAAAAACTGAACTTTTATGATCTTAAAAGCTGAACTTCTTTAAAAGCCTATCATTAACCCATGATTTTTTTATGGGATCTCCATTAAAAAAAAAAAAAAAACATCATAAAACCCACTATATCTCCATAGAAACATCATAAAAACCCAGTATATCTCCATAGAAACATCATAAAACCCACTATATCTCCATAAAAACTGAACTTTTATGATCTTAAAAGCTGAACTTCTTTAAAAGCCTATCATTAACCCATGATTTTTTTATGGGATCTCCATTTTAAAAAAACAAAAAAACATCATAAAACCCACTATATCCCCATAGAAACATCATAAAAACCCAGTATATCTCCATAGAAACATCATAAAACCCACTATATCTCCATAAAAACTGAACTTTTATGATCTTAAAAGCTGAACTTCTTTAAAAGCCTATCATTAACCCATGATTTTTTTATGGGATCTCCATTTAAAAAAAAAAAAACATCATAAAACCCACTATATCTCCATAGAAACATCATAAAAACCCAGTATATCTCCATAGAAACATCATAAAACCCACTATATCTCCATAAAAACTGAACTTTTATGATCTTAAAAGCTGAACTTCTTTAAAAGCCTATCATTAACCCATGATTTTTTTATGGGATCTCCATTAAAAAAAAAAAACATCATAAAACCCACTATATCTCCATAGAAACATCATAAAAACCCAGTATATCTCCATAGAAACATCATAAAAACCCAGTATCTATATGGGTTAAGCATCGGTCCCATGGCTCCCATCCCCTTGGTGACGCTGCAGATCCTGGAGATCTGCAGCCGTTGTCCCAAGTTGCGCGTCTTGCGTCTCGGTTTTGTCCGAAAGGTCGCTGGGAAGATGGCGGGATGATGAAAGTTGGGTTTTTACTAAGGGGAAATGTGGATTTAAGATGATTTAAGATGAGGGAACTAGATGGGGAACATGTGGATTTCACATGATTCTCCGGAAAATGTGGATTTAACTGTGGAAATGGTGGATTTGACGAAGGAAACTGTGATTTAACTACTGAAAATGAAGATATGATGGGATACACAACCAACCATATGATAGTGGGGTGTGTCTGAAAATGGGATATGCCCGCAAAGGGCCATCCTGAGAAAGAAAGTCCTCATGAACCAATGGTTTAGATCTATCATATGTTGATGAATCAATGGCATTGGGGTTTATTTGTGGACTTGTAAATCTGGTTTTCTAGATTAGGTGGGAACATGATTGTCAATACCATTGGGATATAATGGAAAATGATGATAAGCAAAATGGCTTGGATTTATACCCAACCAAGTAGTTAAAGTCATAAAATGAAATGATAAATGTTGGGATTTGTCTTCTGGTAATTTGTAGCAGTTTGCTATTGAATGTGCATGTTTTATACAAATGATTTATTTGCCGGCTCACCCATGAAACATAGTGATTTTCCGTAGCTGTGTGAAATCACCATAAATTATCAGAGGAGGTATGTGGATGTTTAATTCTACAAGTAATGAAAGTGATGAAATGATTAAGAGTTGAGATTCATCGAAATTTCCATGTCTACCTAATAACCAAGATAATTTCCTGATGAACCAAATTCACAAGAAGGGCGCAGGCAAAAAGAAGAGGGATGAGCTCCTCAAAATGTTGAAACCTCATTTATTCTACACATGTGATTCTTTGTGCTTTTGGCCGCATGGCCATACCAAGTGTTGCTCTGTTTGACCCTGTCAGACAGAGCAACACCATGGATTCATGTGCCCATGTTCGAAGATCCTGGAGATCTTCGGGATAGTCCTTGGGATCGTCTACACTGCATGAAATTCACCATCTTTCATAATATAACTGGTTGGTGATATATCTATACTTAATGGGATTATGACCCATTTATAACAACTGGTTGGTGGTTTCAAACATGACTTTTATTTTCCATAATATATGGGATGTCATCCTTCCCATTGACGAACTCATAGTTTTCAAGATGGTTAAAACCACCAACCAGAACCACCAACCAGAATTGGTTGAGGTGATGTGAAGTCAATACACCAGCTGTGTCAAAACGATGCCGAAAAGTTGAACACCTGGAAATGATGGAAGCATCATCGAACTAATTTTCCTGAAACACGACGTGTTACCCCACAAAACATCTAATGTACTGATGTTCACCAGCGTTCACCGGGGCACCCCGGGGTTGAATGGTTCCTGTTTTTGGGCGATTTTGGGCGAGTTCACCTATGGAATAAGCCACAAATCGCAAAGGTTATTACCCTCCAGAAAACTCACAGTTTGCTGTGGAACAGGCCCATTTACTTCCATGATTGGCCTTTTTTTCAATGGTGATCTTTCATCGCTATGTTACAGGGCCTCCGGTAATCAAACATGGTTTGCTGGGTTTAATCGCCCATTTGGATGACTTTCCCACTCAAACATTTATTGATAGGGGATTTCCGCGCTCACCATGTTTGATTACCTGAGGGTAACAAATTATTTATAAATATCCCATTCTTCACAATTATTGGCCAGTATTGACCATTAACCATTCCTAATCCAGGAAATATCCCATGGTTAACAGTGAAAAGGGATGAAATATCCCATGGCCAACCATTAGTAACCCATAGTATTAGCCAACCACTAATATCCCATGGCTACTTGCCATTGGGACGATCCTGGCATCGACGCCTCAAAGGAAGCTCTTCAAGAACAGCATCGACGATACTGGCGCGGACGGCATCGCGCAATTGTGCCAGTCATGCCCCGGCATCGAGGAGCGGCGGGATGACGGGTGGGGTGACCGGGGAGGGGCTTTTAAAGGCCACCAAAGCCCCTATGAAATCTATGGCAATATGGAGATGGAGATATGTGTGTGTGAAGAATATTTAGGACCTCATCCGTGTGCCCACAATTTAGATCATGTCATTATCTATGCTATTGCAATGTAAAATGGGAGATGCCATCAAGTGCCATTGAATGGGGAAGATGATGGAACATGATGAGTACCCTCTGGTAAACTAGCATAGCTATGGAAAATAACCATCTTCAATAGGTAAATCAATGAACTAAATGGGCCATTTTCAATAGCTATTTTGACATAACCAGAGGGTAAGCATCAATATTTTGGGGCACCCTATTCTCAGACAAACCAACAGTGGTTGATCAGTGGCCGTAACTGAGATCACACCTATGAAATGCATCTTTTCTAGCGGCTGAATTCGTGTCAACAAGGAGTTGGGCCACATTTGGAGCACAGCACTATAGTGAACATTCCCACCATGAAGAGAATAGATATTGTGTTGAAATATGGGTGTATGTGTGACACAACTTGCTTGTCTGAGACGGTTTTTGATGGTTTATATCGGTGTATTGCAATCACTTTCCCCATGGATGGCTGCCTATTTATTGGACAAAGCCATACGTTTCCACGTTGAACTGCCATGAACTGCCCCTCGGTTTCAATGGCTTTGACTCGGCTGGACCCATAGATACTGCATGGAGGCCGGCCCATGTTCTCCTGGCCGTGACACGCATGCTGTGAAGTGTCTAGAAGTTCGCTCGGGACCCATGCCATGTGCTATGGATAAAGCCTCATGTTAATAATAAGTTATGTTCTTTACCTGAAATGGAGACATGTATAAATGTACTCCCGGGACTCCCCACCTAAGAAATAGCTTTCTGTTTTTTTGGCAGGGTATCTAGGTTTAGCCCCGTGTTTATGATGCTTCATCACCGACTGAAGCTATAGAACATCCTAGAACTGCAAAGTGGTGGCCCTAGTTATGAGCTAGCTTATTTGTCCACCTAACTTTATAGTTTCTGAGATGTTGGAAGTTATAACCACCATAAACCCCAGTTAAACATTCGTGGCTAAACTAGTTATGTTTGCCATCTTAGCGATTTGCTCGCTCCCTGGCACTACTTGGACCCTGAGAAACGCCGGGACGGCAGGTACCACAGGACTGACCCAAGTTTAACATAATATGTCGAATATTGTATGTATATGTCTATATCAATATCAATATAATAGAATATAATATAATATAGTATAATATAACTTAATATAACATATATATATAACATATATATATAACATATATATATAACATATAATTATATATATAACATATATAATTATATAACATATATATATGTTTATCATTGCACATGGAATTGTTAATTACTGTGATTAAGAGTTGTTCTCGAGTTGGCATTATTCAATTGATCGGCTATGAACGTCATGCTCACATCGCCATCCCGGTGCAGGAGATTCACCTCAGCCACAACATGTTTACTGCCGATGGCGTTGCCCAGCTTTTTTCGTGGGCTCCGTTGGTCTCGGGATCTAGAGATGGTCAATGGGGATCCATCGATAGGATGCTTGGGGAGGTTTCCAAGATCTTCGAAAATCACATATGTTCACAGATTTTCACCATGGTATGGGCCTAAAATATGATCGAAGATGATTGATTTTGCAGGGTAGGGGTATGAAGAATTATTAAGATCAAATGACCCAATGCTCCATATCCACCTTGTGAAGGAAAAACACTGTGTTCTCAGCCATATTTGATTACGAACGCCCCACGGGTCATAGCCCCAATCATCGTTGAACATAATGTTTACTGGTTAAATCCCTATGTTTGTTGGTTAAATTCTTGTGTTTATTGGTAAAACCCCATGAAGCTTTGAATATCCCAAGTCAAGATCCTTTTGTTTGCTGGTGAAATATCTTGTTTTGTTGGTTAAATCCCTTCTTTCTGTTGGTTAGGTTAAATCCCTATTTTGGTTGGTTTGAACCCCTACTTTTGATGGTTCCCAAGTGCCCCACGTCCCCACATCCCCAGGCCACGGTCATCATCATGGCCGCAGAAAACTCACGCAGCAAGGACACAGCAGCTCGGACTTAGCTGTGACGGACATGTGGACTTAACTAGGGGAACTATACTGGATTTATGCCAAAATTCTGCAGGCACTTCTGAGAGGAAGCCTTGGTCCAAGATTTCGCTGGTTGGTGGTTTGGAACATGTTTTATTTTCCCATCATATTGGGAATGGAAAATCATCCCAACTGACTTTCACTAACTCCATCATTTTTCAGAGGGGTAGGTGAAAACCACCAACCAGTTAGCTATAGCCTGAGGCCATCCCTTCATCCCAGCAGCATCCCTGGTGGCCTTCAGGTTCCATTGTGGTTGCGCTTGGAACAGAACCACATTGACGACGCGGAGGCGGTCTTCCGGCGGCTCCAGGTGCGGGTCATTCTGTGACCATCAAGAAATACCAACAATACTGTTTCCAGTAGCTGGATATATACATACAGATATTATCATATATTTATATATAGAAATAAGTAAATAAATAGATATGTTGTATATTATATATATAGATAGATAGATAGATAGATAGATTATATATACCTATTGAAACTCCTGTCCAAAAAGCCGCGTCCTGGGCCTTCTAGGACAAGTACAGCGTTTGCCGCCGTATCGACGCAAAAGCCTGCACGTCGCGTACCTGCGCGTGACTTGGGTGAATGTGTCGGAAGCCTCTGTGAATGTGGGGATTGTTGGGGAAAATGGTGATTTAATGTTGATATAATGGGATACAATATGAATTATATTTATAACGACCTCACCGCGACCGAACCCTGGAATCGTGGTTTATTTGAGCGGAATCATCCCAAAATGGCCGAACTTTTTCAGGTTAGTGAATTGTTATCATTTGCCGAGATCTATGATTTGGATAAATGTGGGTAGGCGATGGAAAACCACCATGTTTAATTTAATTTCTTGAATCTCTCCAAACAAAAGGTAAAGAACATATGAAATCAACCATAAATGGCAATATATAGCCACTTTCAATACCTATGTTAAGTTACTGGAGGGTAACTGTTGGTCTACTCTTGGAACTGGGTGAAGGAAGAATTTGCGAGAAACGTTTTTGTCTTTTAGAGGGGGTCATTTTGCCATGTTGCACAAGTCCTTTTAACTCTTACACTAACTCATGGACTTAGTCCGAACTCAAACCAACTCATTGATTTGTTCCGATCAGTCCACTTGAATGGTCAAGAGACATGTAGACCTCCAGAATCACAAGTATAGAGATACGTCATTCAACATCAGAGGAATCATCCCAATTACAATGGAATCATCCCAATTAATCTGGAATATTTACCTTTTTTTTCCCTCCGCCAATCAAGGATGGCAGTGGAAAATCCCAATTACAGATGGTTTTCCCACTGCAACCTTCATTGATTACTCGTTTTTTCGAGGCCATGTTTGATTCCCAGAGCCCAAGGGAATCCAAGGGATTTCTAACGATACCTTAGCAAAGCATCAAGGTGTAGGTGGCACTAAATGCACCGAGGAAGAGATGTCTTGTACATCTTCCTCACTTTTGCCTTCAGCGCTTGTCACACGTGCCATGTCATGGCCATGGGCCATTGGGAAGTCATGGCCCAGTTGAATCATTGACCGTTTTGTACATGAAAAATTGGGATTTTACACAGACAAATGGCTAATGAAAAGCATATGGCTTAAATGAAGATGAAAAAAGCTAATGAAAAGCATGTGGCTTAAATGAAGATGCAAATGCTGAATGCAAAGCTGGATTCTGATATAGAGTGCCATGCTGAGTTGCAGTTGGATCTTGTTAAAAGGAACAGTGTTTCAAATGCTGGGCCAATGTGACGCCACTGGGTCATCTTCAAGCTGGGACATATGTCATGTGAGCCGCGTTTTGCTAAAAACGGTTGCAGGGTAGCGACGGATAGCAGAATGCAAAGGTTACCCTCTGGTAATTTAAGAATAGGCAATTAAATATATACATACAGTATATATAATGATCCACTTTTGATGATTGTTTCCTCTTATCTATTAAACAATGATGAATTTACCATATAAAAAATGGTGATTGTCCATTTCGCTTGAACTGTAAGAAAGTGATGTCTCCTGCAATGAGATCCAACTTCGCTGTCCGGCCGCCGAGGTGGATTCACATCAAGACCTGCCGCAATTGGCCAAGACTGGCAATCCGGCACCGGCCCATCGGCACAGGGAAGCGGGTGACTGATGGTGACTGTTTTTCTTTTTTTTGCGGGAGAGTTCATGGAAAAAAACATGAACTCTCTAGGTGGATATCATAGGTGGAGTGGTCTTATCCAGGATGCGCTGGAGATGCAGCTTTCGGATCGGATTGTGTGCAAAACACGTGGATGAAAACATGTGGATAAAAATATGGTTGTTTCACCACCAAGCATGGGGATGGAGATCTAGTGGTTACGGGCAATAGATTCAAGGAAGTTGGCCTGGTTCAAAACAACCTGGGTCCAGGTAAGAATTTTCATAGGTTTATGATGGTTTACTTATAGGTAATGCCGAGAGAGAAAAGGAGACATAGTGAGACTGAAGGAAAGCTTTAAACGCACGATCACAAGGTGGCGCCCCCTAGTTATAAGTTGGTTTATAAACCATAGTAACTATAGACATCAGATATATATATATATATATACATATACATATATATATGTATACATATATACATATATACATACCAGAAACCCTTAATTGTTGGAGTTGTAAACCAGCTTAGCTAACGAACTGGGCACCACACGGCACCTTCGAGCCCTGCGGGGTGAGGCTCGACAGATGCTGCGACAATTCCGGGACGATTTAGATCGACAGAAGCTGAGCTGCACCATGTGGGGTGATCCTGCAAGTAGCTATGGTCCTATAGGGGTCATCAAGGGTGGTTCAATGGTGTTTAATGGGTACTTAATCAACCATATAATACAGTATAGAGGGATATAATACGCTACATAGGGATATTTCATCAACTATATTGGGAGAGAGCATATTAAAGTCCCCCATGGTTTTTGGTGGCAAATATACAAAAATCTTCAAAAATCCCCACTACACCATGATTTTTGCGGGGATGCGTAGTATTGGGGGCAAGGGAAATAGTGATGTGGCACACCCCAGAAATTGGTGCTGGATTCCATGAGACCTCGGAGCTTTATGGCATCAGGGTGCTTGAGTCAGACCCAGGACATGAGGTGTGCTTCGAACTAGATCTGTACCCACTCACTGTGGCTTTCCACTGCAAAATCCCCCATACCTTCAGATCTCTCACTATAATCAATCATATCCAATCCCCAAATTCGATGGATTGAACCCACATGTTTTGGACAAACCCCTTATATACCCTTATATTGTTATTCCATGTCTTACATCTTTTCTGTGAAGTCCCAACCGTCGCTGATCAAATCCCTCGTAAACTCGCCATGTTTGGACACACCCAGCTGTTCTTGGACAACCCCTCATATTTCCAATTACATTCAATTTCATGTCAGTACATCCCATTACATCTCATTTCTTTCCCACCATTGCTGTCTACCCCAACTGTGATCCGTTTACACTGCCTCCAATTCACATAGACCCTGCCATTAGTCAGGGATTGGACGGTCAGTGTCAGGGTTGAACTGTGAAAAATTGGGGGAGGTGAACATCCACAAGTATCCCAACAATAATCCCAGTAAATATTCCATTAAACCCAAGTAATTAATAATTAAACACGATTGAACCCTGCTTGATATATTTTCTTAAGATCCACACATCCCAGAAACTTGTTTGATAAGAGACCCTGGAATCATGCAAATGTATATAATTATACATATTATATACATATATGCTATTATCATCTATTTTCCCGCCACAGGAAAGGCAAGTCCAAGGGTCGCGATGAGCGCGTTCCATTGGCTGCCAAGAGCGATGAGCAGCGTCTCGGTCCACAGGGGTCATCAAGGGTGGTTCAATGGTGTTTAATGGGTAGTTAATCAACCATATAATACAGTATAGAGGGATATAATGCGCTACATCGGGATATTTCATCAACTATATTGGGATATGGTTTAAGAGTTTAAATTGTGTTTAAGAAGGGTTTAGTAGTATGATATTAGGATATGGCAAATAATATATGATAAAAATCACTTTGGCTTCATAGGAATATACTGGGGATGTGGGGGGTGTTTAATCAACATGGGCGTAGTTAATGGGTCTTTAATAACAATATATATATGTATATATATACATGTATGGATAAGAATTGTATAATTGGGATAGGTATGGGATGTAATGAATTTACATACATATTCTACCCAATAGAAATAGGGAGTTTACTAATACTGATGCTTTTCATGGTCAACCAAGAATAATGGTGACTGGACCTGATTTCACCAGGAACAAGTGCATGTTTTCCGCAAGAAAAAATGAGGAAGATAGTGATGTTCATCGAGAATGTGGCGATGAAGACGTTCACCAACATAGGGAATTGAACCAACAACAATGGCTGGATATTGCCGCATTTGGACTGTTCAACATAATGTTTTGCTTGCCTTGGAAGGTGTGTGTTTTTGAAGAAGTTCCAGTAGATCATGATTGTGCCTTAGATTCTGCTAGTCATTGGATTGGTGGATGGTTTTAAAAAAAACTCTGGTAAACTAATACAACTATGGAAAAATACAACTTTTAATTGGTAAATCAACTATTTCTATGGCCATCTTCAGTAGCTATGTTAACTTATCAGAGGGTATATAATATATAGATATAATGTATAAAGAAAATTGCGCCCAAATGGTTGGTCACATGCGAGGCAAAAGATGCGCAAACTCACTGACGAGGAGGTGGGCGCAAGCGGGGTGCGTGCTAGTCTGCTAGTCTCGGCCTATGAACAATAGCCAGCCATGGACCTAACCATTTTTGATATGCATATATGAGTGTATTTATAATGATATATATATATATATATAACTATCTAATTATATACACAATATATAGATACATATATGGATATAGACTTAATATATGTATACATTGTAGCCTCCAAGAAGATGCCAAAAAGTGTTTCCAGGTTTCCCGCTTTGGGGTTGCTACTGGGCACAGTCCATGGGGTCTTCTCCTCCATGATTCGAGGACGATCGTCTACCTATGATGGCCATCAATAGGGATTCTGATGGGATGGATACTCGATCCCTGAAACTGTTGAAACATCATGTTTTTACCCTCTGGTTATTTAACAGTTCGCCATGGAAGCCATGGCCCATAGAAATACTGTAGATGGTTTACCTAGCTATAAAATGGTGGATCTTTCCATGGCTATGTTAGTCATAACCAGATGGTAGATGTTTTTCCCCCTCCGCAGACCCAGGGTGTCCCAGGCTGTCTGACAATATCCCATCCTCCGCCGCAGATGCATCGCAACGGGCACAGCAACGGGCACAGCAACGGATGCAGCGGCTGCGGCTACGATGATCAAAGCACCTGGCAGGCTGCCCAGGGCAGACTGCCGCGACTTGGTGGCAGGCGCCACCCCAAAGTGTGGCCATTTTGATGGAGAAAATGATGGGAACAATGTGGGGGAAGTTGTGACTACCCTCTGGTAAACTAACATAGCTATGGAAAATCACCATGTTTAATGGGAAAAACCACTGTAATTAAATGGCCATTTTCAATAGCTATGTTAAATTACCAGAGGGTAATGGAATTAATGGCCCAGTAATGTGGTCAAGTATGTTTGAGGGTGGTTCTGAATCCGATTCGTAGCACGATGTGGACATTGGCCATTTTGATAGGTAAAATGATGATAAAGCAGAGGATTTCATTCGGGGTATCAGTGCCACTGAAGCGCAAGAAAAATTGCCGGCTAAATCTTGGTGAAGGGTCGTCTAATGGTCCAGTTTTGCCATGAATGCAGAGATATACTACCCAGATCAATCCATGATTTATCAATGCGTGTAAGATAATAGATACCCTCTGGTTATTTAACAGTTCGCCATGGAAAATGGCCCATAGAAATAGATGGTTTGATAGCATGGTGATGTTCCATGGCAAACTGTTAGTCATAACCAGAGGGTAACTCGCAATAAATCCAGGGTGTCCAAGATTTGCCATCATGGGTCTAGGAAAAACAGCTTGTTTTTTTGGGGGTTGAGGATTGATACTGTAGCGTTTGTACCGTGAACCCATGGATTAATGACTCCTGGATCAAATTCCTTGGAAGTGTCAGTGGAATCAACCATTACACTTGAAAATCCAGATGATTTTCCCATTGAACCCCCATTGATATAGGATGTTCAATTGCCGAGTTCGGCAACTTAGCCTAGCTTTGTGAAAGAAACAAGATGCAGATGATCTCTGACCATCGTTGCACCATCCTGTTTTGGAGCTGGACAAATTGGCTTCGATGGGATCAGCGGAGGACCAAGGTCCTGGTGGCCACAGAGGGAGGCTCCGATGAAAAACATCAAGCTCAAAGAAGTCCAAATGCCAAACTTGACCAACATTTGATACAATTTCCAACCATTAAGCGGATGCTGGGTGCTGTTTTTTTTTTCACGAAAAAACGCATTGGCCACTCGCATCTGGGCCTGCCCCACCAAACGCAAACAGACCTCAAATTACCGGAGGGTGATATATTATTGTTTATTTGTTTGCTTCCCTGCCTGTCTACTTTATTTGTCAATATCTGCAGGGATATCAACTGTTTATGGGTTTTTAGGCTGGCCGCTTTTTTGGGAACCAAGCAGCAGCAATGATAAATATCCTCGATCTAAACAAGCCCCGATTTAGAGCACAATTAACCACTGGGTAGAGCACTGCTGTCTCCAAAGGGCCTCTAGGGTGATCAAAAATCAGAACGCATAATGTTGTGGGAATGGCAAAGCATATGTATTGCTGCTTGGTGGTTATAGTATAATGTTTATTTGTTCATTTTCAAGCATAGAAATTAGATGATGATCCCCAATGACGAGCATATCAAAGTATTGTGTTTCTTTTGTGACTAGGCAATTCAGACTGATAGTTATGCAACCCAACAACCAGCTACCAATTACATCTCCATATATATATATATTTGATAGTTAATTCTATTAATGAATTATATGTGATTAAATCCCTATGAAATCATTCTGATCATCTATGGTCAACCCATTTGTCAACCCAATAATGCATAGTTATATCACATATCCCTTTATTGAATCACTATAATTTGTAACAATCATCAACCAACCACCAGCTGTATATCCTGTATGGCCTACCCGTTCTGCAGCTGAGGCACATCCACGCGGAACAACTCGTGGATCAGGAAAATGCGCAGGACTGGGGCAGGAACTTGCCCCTGTTGGGAGTTGAAACATGTTGAAACCATGGTGCTTGGTGATTTGGATTGTTTTTCATTTTCCCCAAGAGTTGGGATGATGATCCAATCTGACGAACTCATATTTTTCAGAGGGGTTGAAACTATGAAACCACCAAGCAGCATGGTTTCCCCTCAATTTTTCTGGGCAAATCATGGTGACCTCCCTGGGGATCATGGCCAGCATGGATTCGGAAAATCGTCCCCCATAGCTGACATATGCTGGTTAGTGACATAGTTCAATTTACCCAGAAATGTTGCCTTAAAGCAATCCACTGAAATAGCCTTCACCAAGCCTGAGCCAGTCTTTTTATGGCAAATTAGCAAGGTTTTCGGGTTTACCCAAGGTTTAATGGACAAAAACCACCAACCATGGGTGTTGGTGAAATCATGCTCAAGCCCAATTTGTTCATCTTTTCCCCTTTGCCGACCATGTGGACCATGTGTTTTTCCCGACGCCCCCAACCATTGCCACCTGGACAGGACTTCTTTTGTTACCTGTGCCATGGAATATTGTATCTGCCGATGCTGACCAGATGTTCCTGGGACTTTTACAGCAGGGACTGGTAGCGGGCCCTTTTTGGAACCTACCGGATTAACGTTTCGGGGGACTTGCCCTCCCCAAGAATGGGGTTTCCGAATACGTACGCCCAACCCCCTGGATCCGAAGGCATCCCAAGCTCTCATGGCCCTGTGCTCTGAGGTTCACATTTGTTTTGTAGTCCTTGCTGCTCGGCCATGGGAAGAATGCCGTGAGGACCACTGGCCGGGGATGGGAAGGATGCAATTTAAGCGATGGCAAATGTTTGGAAATCTCAGGTGTTCCTTGCAGATTTTGGCATGAGATGTGTGTTTCTTTTGGTTGTTATGTTGTTTTTCTCCACCAACCTTTGTTGTTATATGGCAGTGTGTCAAAACCTTGTACCCCTGGTGAACATCAAAATAGCTGGTAAATGGATGTTCATTCCCCTAAAAATGGTATTAATAGGTATTGATCCATACCCATATGTTGTCATGTTGATTTTTTTACGACAATAGATGCTGAAGAAAAGCAACAAGAACGTCAATGGGCTGACTGTTCCACATTTGTTCCTCAATCTTCTTGGTGGTGTCAAATAGATTCAAACAGATGTTCAACCACAATGACCATTGAAACGGGATGAAATGAGATGATGATCCCCAATGACACTTGTGTTTTTTATTGCGATTGCAGAAGATGATGTGGGTCCCGGTCTGAAGCATCTGGGGTGTATAGTTGAGTGTTTGTTGGTGTTTGTTTGAGACACCATTTCATGTCTTAATTTATCATGATGCATGGTTTTGCTGATGTCTCTGTTGGAGGCAGTGTTTCCAGACATTGCATTGTGTTTCACCATACTTTCAGTGACTTCGAGGTTTCCAGTCATGGGTCATGGAACGCGCAACTTGGCGAGATGTTTCGGAGGTCCGTTTGAAGGCGCCAAAGCCACTATGGAAATCCATGGAAATCCCCACGAACTTGTGGCTGACATCCACCGTTTCTGTTGAAATCCCACTGTTTTGGTGAGGTAAAAATCATGGAAATTTACTGTTTCTGTGGGTTCAGGCTCTTGGGTTTCGAGATCTTGACAGAGGGAAGTCTAGGTTTCTTGTTTCTGATCACACCTGGTCCTATATTTTTTAATAGATTCTCAATGTTCGATGATGTTCCTTGGTGATCGGTCCCCCAGTTTAAAGATTGGTTGGGTGTTGCTTAAGCACCGTATGCATCCAACGTTGGATTGGATCTCAGCTCAGTGGATGGGCGCAGCCACCCAGCATTTTGCTGGTGATGCTTCACTGGGATTGGTGACATAGTAGGTATCCCTCTGACATATTGGCCATGTTCTTTATGTTCAAAAATGTCATGTCACCAATTGGTGTTACGCAAAAATGATGCGTAAAAATCACCCATCTGTATCTCGGCGTAAAATCGACCATTGTTGCCAAATCCACAACTGTTGCTCTTCAAGCAGCGACGTTTGCAAGTGAAACCCACCAGTGTTCTATGTTATCTGTTCTTGTGCTGATGAAATCAGACAGCATTCTTCATTTATATACATTACTGTATATATATCTTCATATATATATACAGTATATATATATATATGATCTTTGCCCTTGACTGAACTCCATGTCTTGGGAAAAAAGCATCTAGCACTTCTAGCGTTTCTGACTGCGAATCTCCGGCGATGGCTTTGTGGTTACCCTCTGGTAAACATACAAAAAGCTATGGAAAATGACCATAGAAATAGTGGATTTACCCATGAAAAATGGGCGGATCTTTCCATAGTTATATGTTAGTTCACCAGTGGGTAAATCATGTTAAACCACGTGAAATCCGACCTTTTTCCGCGCCCCAAAAGTGCCCATTTTTCACGGCCTCGGCGTGCCCACTGAGTCCACTGAGGTCAACGAGCATCAGACGGGGCCTACTTCGAAGTCGTCGATGCAAGCCATGCCGTGCCCCATTTGTGGCAGCGGACTGAAGATGCTTCGGCGACAGGATGGTCATGGGATCTGAATAGGTGGCGAATTTGATGGAAATTGGATGGGATTTTAGTAGGAATTACTGGGAAATTCATGGGAAAATCATGGGAAATTCATGAGATCTTATTAATTATGATATAGTGGATGACGAAACAGCTGGAAGCCCATGGATGAACAGCACGCGCCTCTGTTTTAGCGGTAGGGCCTTGAGCCACAAGTCAGGTGGCGAAACCTTTGGTCAAACCTAATTCAAATGGTGACGTGTCAGACAGTGGTAAAATTCGACATCCCCCCCGGTTACCATTGACCAAAGGGACTGCAAGAAGCTGTTCATCTGTTCTACATACTCATCAGTCAATCTCTGTCGACTGGCATGCTGGCTTCTGCGTCGAAAACTCGCGTCTGACTTTCGAGCTTTAAGCTCATCTTCCACGTCCACCAAACTCAGCCATCCGGTTTTCAACAGATGGTTCAGTGCATCGTTGGCTTTTGAAGGATCTTCTTTTGTCAAAGCATCTATTGGCATTTTCTGATGGGGAACCCAACGAATCATAGATCTAGTCTCCTGAAGATCACGCAAAATGATAGCCAATTCCAGCGATGACTTTCGATCCTGCTTGCCTGACGGATTTTCTTTCAACAAGCAGTCATACAAACTCTTTGCATCCGTCACTGAGCACTGTTGCTGACGACCGCCCATGCGACACTCACCCCGCATGACTACCATATGAGGGCTTAAAGAGTTACGCCAGGACCTAATGCTCACATCATGTTGCACAGCATCCCTATACATGATTTGCAACCAATCAACCTCATTAATACCTTGGAGCATGGCCTGCGTCTCACCCCCGAAAGTGGAAAATACTTTACGTTTTAATTTGGATGACCTCCATGTCATGGGACTTGCCTTTACCTTTTCGGTACCTTCAGGAAGCTTTGATGTGGTTAAAACAATCCAGGCACCTTGAGTGGCATCAGTGGGCAGTCCCTCAGAGTCTAGGATCTCGGTGTCACCCTTCACGTTGATTCCGCCAGCGTCACTGCACACCACAAAGCACATGCTATCTGGATGAAATCGCCAAATGGTCAGAGGTCTATCGGCAGTGGAGCGCAGCTGATTCACAAACTTGTTCACATTCAAAATGTCTCCGATGGTGGCACAAGGTAACTTGCTCGCAAGTATGGAGGAAAGTCCGGCAGCTTCGGGCCGAGACTCACGCCCAATCCAGCTAATCTTGAAGATCAGACTGCGAAGCATGTCGAACTCATCCTTGGTGAGAGGTTCGTTCTTGTCTTGCTTTCTGCCACGAGGAAGTTGAATGGGAAACACTTGCTCATGAATATACTTGTACTGGTCCACCAGAATGCGATCCTCAAAGCATCGGATTCGGCGCCCTGCATATTCGGCAGTGGACTCATCCCACTTACCAAATTCAAATCGCTCAGTCAAAGACTTCCTCAATGAGTCATAGGTTTCAGGAGAGGCTGCAATGATGAAGTCGTCGACTTCCACAAGAAGCTGGGCAGTGCATTTGCCAGAGTCTAAATCAAAGTATGAAAACCAACACGGCTCAACGAGATTCCTCTGAAACTGCAGAGACTCCACCAGGAATGAAGTTACTGTGAGTCGCCATGACGCAGGTGCATCGTCAAGTCCATAGACAGGAACCTCAATGATAATGAGGGAGCCAGGTGGTAAAGATAACCCTTCGCAAGGCTCAGCAAACAAAGGCCCACGAGGACGTCGGAGCTTGTTGCTTTGACAAAATGCATTCTTGACATCTCCAAAAGCGAACTTCATCCCCAGATTCAGTCCAGTTTGACAAAACATCATGATGCTCTCTGCTTGAGGAGTTGGAGCATAGGTCATCAGGCTAGACGTGTCTGGGTCTGAATGTCCATGAAGACACCATCGTGATTTGGCCTTCCACTTGTTGACCTCGTCCAGCGGCTTGCGACGACGTACCATCCGACTGGATAGGATCCGGTCAGGGTACTTTTTGCGAAGAGCATCAGCTTCGGCCCCGTGAACAACACGAACGGCCTTGGTCTTGAGAATGGCTTGCCATTCCAGGTGATCAGATGCTTCGAAGAGCTTCCGTTCTTCCGAGTTCAGCTCTTTCAAGGTCACCTCTCCTCCGCGCTTGGTCATCAAGCTCCAAGTTTGATCTGGCTGCAGGCGCAAGGTCTGATCCCCTAGGCTATAGTTGAAGAAGTTCCCACTCCAGCCTTCTGCTTCAAATTGAGCAAGACTTCGATCGGAGTCGTCGGGAAGATGATCTTGTCTGAGTTGTTCAAACTCCCTGGCTTGAAGTTGCACTCGGCCATCAGGTTCAAGATCTTCACCAGGAGTGAGATGAGACGAGGCTTGCCGTCGATGATAGGGAATGGTGTCCAGCAGTCTTCTAACTGGAGTTCCAGGAGCTCGCGTGTCACTGCTGGAGGCAACTTCTCTGGATTCACCTGCAGACGCAGGGGTTGTCTCCTCCTCAGTTCGTGCTGCCTTGGAGGGCCTTTCGGTCGCCTCTCCCGTGGAGGACTGGGGAGATGAGTCGAAATCGGACCCGTCCTCTGGGATAGTAGGCAAATCTTGTTCCATAGGCTGTTCTTGTCCAGGTTCTGCCGCTGGTTCCTCAACGGATGTCCTTCTGGATGAAGGGGCTGAAAGTCCAGGAGGGGCAGGAACGAAAACGACAGGTCTGTCTTCTTGTGGGACTGGCATTGGTGGAAGAGGAGCTGATAGGGATGAGGCAGGCAAAAGTCCAGGAGGCACAGCATCAACTGGCTGAGGTGCTTGCGACGCCTCTCCGAGCTGAGGCATGGGACCGCTTGCGGCGATTCCTTCATCTGCTCGCTCAACGGGGTCAAAATGACTTGAGTTGTCAGGAGGTCCTTCTTTGGACACATCGACAGCTCCAGGCATGACTCCAGTCGTGACCCTTCGCACCAACTCGGCCAGTCCAGGATCAGAAGCCAGTTCTCGGCCTAGGAGCTCGCTGGGTAGAGCGGCACGCAACTGCTCGGCTGAGCATCGCCAGAGTCTGGTTCGCATGGCCACATAGACAGTCTGATTGTTGACCAGGGTGACCAATCCGGGGCCTACCCAGCGATTCCTGAGATGCAGTTCCTGGTTGGTCTTGGCTCGTCGAAAGACATAGACCCATTGTCCCACTCTCCAGTGACGAGACTGGTGCATTGCAGCATGGGAGGCTTTTCTGATGGTGTCTTTGGAAGACTGCTCCAGTGCTGCCTGCTTGGCTCTCTCACGGATTTCATGGCTGCGACGATATTCAGTTGCAGCTTGGTCAACTTGAAGAGGGTCTTCATAAGCATCTCGGAGTCCATGAAGTCCAAGGACATCGTCTGAGAGAAGCTCTCCTGGGATGCGAGGCATCTGGCCAAAGACAAGCTGACTGGGAGTGAATCCGCCTCGGCAAAACCAGCGATTCTTGGTAGAGGTGATGGCTGCCAAGTACTCGTCCAGTTCAGCTAGACTGTCAAAGACGCATCTGCCACTGCTGATCTCGGCGTCGAGCTTGTTTTTGAGCCATCCTCCATGTCTTTCTGCCTTTGCGTTCTGCCAGGGTGATTCAGGAAGAATGACGTGTTGTAGGATGCCCATTTGCTCACAGTGGCGTTCGAACACGCCCTTGAACTCGTTGCCGCTGTCGCAGATAATCATCTCAGGACAGCCTAAGTACCTGATCCAGGATTCGGCAAAAGTCCTCCAGGCAGTTTGAGCTGAAGGAGTGCCTCCATGATCTGTTCTTGTGGGAGCTCGGACGGCCACATGGTAGTTAGTTCCAGTGCACACCATGTTTAGCACAGGGATCTGCTGCTCCTTGAAAGGGAGGTAGAGGAAGTCCACACTGACAACCTTGTTGAACCCGAACGTCTGAGGAAAATGGGCTCGGTGACGGTTGTCAGCTCGATGCTTGAGATTGCAGTGTTCGCACTGGTACTCTTCCTTGACATATCGAAGGACTTGGGGAAGGGCTCCAGCAGCGCGTAAAGCGCGAAGAAATCTCTCAAGTGGAGGATGTCCAGTGTTGATATGGACCTTGTGAATCAATCGCTTTTGGGCTCCTGAAACTTGTGGGAGGTCTTCGATGTTGGTCTCCTCTGGCACTTGACTTTCTGGAGGAGATTGCTCAGTGTCTTCCTCATCGTCCCCGAAGAAAGTCCAATTTGAGGGGACATCCTTCCTAGCCCACAAGTCCAAATCCAAGGCATAGGAGGGAGCAGGTAAATCGAGACATACCTGCAATGTGGCATTGGCTATGCCTTGACAAAGAGCAGAAGGATATTGTTGAGCTAAAGCAGGAAGTCCTTGCTCCAGTACCCGATGAGGTTCGACACAAGAGCACTGCTGTCGGATGAGAAACTTGGCAAGCCAGGGGTTGTTCGTGGCGATTTTTGTCCCTTTCTGAGACAGCCTCTGATCTTCGCTCACTGAAAGTCCAAGGGAGCATTGATCGAAGGCTATGAGGGCCACGTCCTCGCGTCGAAGCAGTTTTTGTGTCTTCGGCAAACCCCAGGCTGCTGAGCGCAAAGGATGTTCAAGTCCAAAGTAGCCTCCGGCATCAAGCTGATCGTAGATGGCCTCGAGAGAGAAATTCCACATCAGCTGCCCTTCAGCCACGATGCGCTGGACTTCCAAGGGGTTCATCTTGTCCCAGTTGATGTTCATGAGGGAGCTGAAGGCTTTGCACTCAGGTGATGCCATCAGCTGTTTAGGTCTCCTCTTCTTCAGGATGTTTCTGGCCTTCTGACGGTGTTCTTTCTTCCGCACATCCCAGCCGTAGGTCAAGTCAAAAGCCTCGGCATCGTCCAGAACTGGAAGGCCCAACTTCCGGACATGAGGACTAACCCTCGGAGGTGAGAACAACTCCACGAAGGCCAGCTGCTGAGGTTCAAGTTGGACACCAGGGCGTTGTCCCACTGCATGACATAGGTTGTGAAAACACTTAGCCAAGGTTGCAGAAGATTCTTGAACTTCGTTCACTTCGGACTCCTCATAGAGCACGTCGTGAAGGCGTTGAGATGCGAAAATCCAATAGGGTCCTCTGAGAGAGGGCTTGCCTGCCTCGTCAAATCCAATAGGCTCAGAGTCCAGGTTGCACCACTGCATGAGGTAGGCGAAGTCCATCGGGATGAAATAAGTTCTCAACTCGATGGCCTGGGAATGATTCCAAAATTCCACATCCTCAGGACAGGCCCCAGGAGAATTCCAAAGCACGTGACCAGAGTTGGCCTCGAAGACCTGCCACCAAATGCATACCCGAGATTTGTCTTGCACCAAGTCTGGAAACTCTCCAGGTTGCAGGTGGTGGATCACACGCTCGGCGGCCGCTGTGACGTGTCTAGGCCACAGCTCCTGACGACCTTCTGCATCGTGATGAGAAGACTCATCCTGCTCAGTCTGAGCAGGGGTTACCAGAGCCCGATCTTGAGGACATACTTCGCCAAGCTCAGATGCAAATGCCGCAGCCCGATCGTGAAGACAAACTTCTCCAAGCTCAGATGCCAATGCTGAAGCCCGATCGTGATGACGTACTTCACCAAGCACCTGCTCAGTTGCAGCCCGATCGTGAGGACATACTTCACCAAGCACCTGCTCAGTTGCAGCTCGATCGTGAGGACATACTTCGCCAAGCGCATGCTCGGTTGCAGCCCGATCGTGAAGACATACTTCTCCAAGCTCAGTTGCAAGTGCTGAAGCCCGATCGTGAGGACATACTTCTCCAAGCTCTGATGCAAATGGCACGGCCCGATCATCAAGACATACTTCTCCAAGCACTGCATTTGAGGTGGGAACTTGAGGAGGAAACTCACACCACGCAGCAAAAGCACGGTGGTCCATTCCATTCTCAGAAGCCTTCACTTGGAGAGCATCAGAACAATCTGTGATGGAAAGCAACGTGGTCGCCATCATCATTGAGGAGCGAACCATCCATGAGGGCCATTGATGCCCCTTTGCCTTCAGTCTTCGGCTGGAGAAAGGTTGGGATTTGACATTGCCTCCCAACTCTGGGTGTCCATCTCTTGACGGTTCGACGCTTGAGCTTCCGTCTGAACCGAATTTGGATCTTGCCCCATGATCATCAGAATTTGAGTCTGACCTCGCGCAAGGTCCGTCAGGGCTGAGTGCAGCATGCCCAGCATCTGCGTCATGTCCGAGTTCACTGGTGGCATGGGACCAGCTGGGGTCGCTGCACTTCCAGAGGACTGATCCGTCTTCTCCGGGACCGTGGGGACGTAGTGAAGTTGACTTGGTGCCGCTTGAGTCAAAGAGCGGCCCGTTCCCTTTCTTCCCAAAGCGGTTGAGGTCCTCTTGCTGCGATATGACAGCCGGGCTTTGCAATTCAGGCACACAGTCCAAAATGCGTACTGGTTGGCCCGATGCACCATCCGGTTGGGAGGATGGAGACACTTGCCCACGGCTTGTTCGTCTCCCACCAGGTAGCCGGTCTTGTCCGAGAGAGCGCTCTTCTGCTTGTTCTCCGCGCGCGCCAGTCTGGCAAAGGTGGCGCGGTTCACCTCTAAGATCTCGAAGATTGAGATCACCATCTTCTTCCACAACTGGCACAGCAGCTCTGACCTCTGTTCGGAGATCAATGACGGCATGGCGAAGAACTGTGTCTCTGGTCGAAGAGGTATCGAATTGCGAGTCAAGTTTGCTGGTTTGATCTCCCATGAGATCAGATTGGCTTTGCTTGGGCCCACAAACACGGAAATCGCAACATGGATGAGCTGGCACTTCTGCTCCAGATGGAACTACATGATCAACTTCTTGAAAACATCTGCCGTACTCCGAGTCTGAGACATGTGCACAACCTAACGACTGCTGCTGCTGCTGCTGCTGCTGCTGAAATGAAGGAAAACGTTCAACATGGCTCGTGCAAGACATGATGTTGATGTTGGAGTTGTTGTCAATGGGCTCATTTTCAAAGGTCTCAAAACAAAGATTGGATAAATTCCCTTCATAGGACAGCTGCTCTTTTGTATACGCGGAAGAGTCCTGCGCAGAAGTGTTGAAGGCCGTTTCCGTGAGGCCATACTTGAGACGCAAATCTCGTGGTACTGGAAAATCTCCGCCAGCCCACTCTATCAAAGGAATGGTGCGATGCCCGGAAGTCAGCTTCCGCAAAGGAATCTGCACCCCAAGAGTCTTCAAAATGATGACTTCTTTGGAAAGATCAATGGTGGCACCTAAGAACTCTAAGAAACCCACGCTCAGCAAAGGAGGCACGTCTGCCTCAAGGATCGTCATCTCGAGTACACCAGGAACACCACCTGGAGCTACAGGAATAAGAACTGCACCCAAAGTGTTGGCGGTTCCGCCAATGCCTGCAGGAATCTTCACCGGGGCATCCACAAGGATTGGCTTCAAGCCTAAGTTGAACAAGTGCTGAGTCAAGGAGTCCAACGCTGGCTTTCCGATGAGATCCTGTGTTGCACCGATGTCCAAAATCGCATCGCCCGAAGTCATGGCAATGAAAGACCACTGCTCTGAGGACTCTGGCTTCCCATGGCAAACTTGCTGAATGATCTCCTGAAGCTCGGCATGGGCCAGGAAGTTGAAAAGCGTTCCACTCCCGGTTGATGCGCAGCTTGAAGAGTAGGTGAATCCAGATGGAGCCACCGGTTTCTTGCCTTTCGCGTCTTTGAGCTGGCAATCTTCAGCCCAGTGACCCTTCTTGTTGCAGATGCGACAGCGGCTAATCTTCTTGAACTCCTCTCGATTGAGGCGGGCCCGACCATTGCGCCCGACTCGGTTGCCCAGAGGACCGCCATGTTGACCTTTGGGAGGCTGCACATCCGTTCCTTTCGTGAAGGAACCTCTGTCCTTCTTCATCTCGGCCTTGAAAAGCTTGTTCTCTTTCCAGGTGCGTTTGCGACGGTTCTCTAGAACTGCATAGATCTCACAGATCTGATCTTCGGTCAAGTCCAAAGGCTCGAGCTCTTCAATCAGGTCTTCATCGTCAATCTCCTCGCCGAAGGTCTCGTCAGGGGCCTCGAACTCCTCCGACATGAAGGTCGAGCTCCCGGCTTGATCTTCGACAAAACCTGAAAGGCGATCTGATCGGATGTCTAGTCTGCCCAGCACGCGAGCCACTTGATCTGGTTCATCTTCTCTTCCTTGGAGTAGAGCCACCATGTTTTGGTGATTCTGCTCGTTCAAGTTGGCTCCTTCCCGCATCATTGCTGCTCGAAGTTCTGAAGGAATAGCCACTCCAAACGCTGCTGCCTGAGCAAAGTCTCGCTGCTTCCGCACGGCATACTGTGCCAAGGTTTCGTCTTTGCGACGATTGCCCTCCACCATGATGGATCTGAATGCCTTGCGCTTCTCGTCATCGGAGCGCACGCCCGCTTTGTTGTTGATCACCTCCAGGATGGCGTCAAGATACCCTGGAGAAGACAAGGTTTCTTCGCCAATGTGCTCAAAATCCGGCTGCATCTCCCAGCCGAGGATGCGAAGCACCCGATCTGCACGCTTGTGCACAGGAAAGTCAGTGGTTTTGTCCCACCTTCGAACTGCCAAGATCCAGTACTTCCTATGGTTCCATCCCGGCCAGGACGGGGGATCTGTGAAGTCTGGTTTTGAGCTTTGGCGCCAAGGATCATCCCATGAGCTCTGCCAGGTCCCACGCGAATTCCACGAGGATTGCCAAGGATCCCAGTTTGCCCAGGGGTCTGTTGTTGTTCCACTGGTAGTCGGAGTCGCAGCCGCAGTGGTTGGTGGTACCTGTTGCGGTTCGGTCTGTCCAACCTGCTGAGCTGTCGTGTCAGGAGCCATGTCAGTGTTGGTTCGTTGACTACTACTCCCATTGCTAGAGTCATTACTACCAGCACCGGTATAGCCAGTGACATAGGTTCTATTCCAGCTATGAGTGCCCAGCGCCAGTACGGATACCAGCCCCATCCACTCCAGCCAGATTCCCAATCACTCCCCTGCCATGACTCCTGCTAGCGAGTCCAAGCCGCTATTCATAGCAACCAAGCTCCGGATACCAACTGACGAAACAGCTGGAAGCCCATGGATGAACAGCACGCGCCTCTGTTTTAGCGGTAGGGCCTTGAGCCACAAGTCAGGTGGCGAAACCTTTGGTCAAACCTAATTCAAATGGTGACGTGTCAGACAGTGGTAAAATTCGACAGTGGAAATAGATGAGATCTGGAACTTTCACGGGATTCACCACCAGGGAGCAGGAACTTCGGCAGAGACCCGGTTTCGTGAAAGTGGAATTTACCGCGAGATTTGGGAGATGCAACATGATGCAACTATCAACTACGATTTTGTTCAGTTTATAGTAAGTTATATATTAGATATGAGTACTTGATTAGAGTTTATCCAGAAACCAGAAGAATGGAATTTACCAAGAGGATTGAGCACCAAATTGCAAGGTATAGGTAATACCGGAAAATACTAATTGGTCAGCCTCGAGTACCCTTTATTAAAACAAAGATTGGTAGGGAATATCATTCAAGGAAAACATGGGATAGAAGCAACTGACCAACCAAGAACATTGATATTTGGACGGAAAGGGGAAGGAAGCTCATGAGTTGGGTGTGTAGCACTGGACCATCAAACATAGCACTGGAAGACCATCCAAATCAGATATCTTTTCATGAAAAACATCCATTTATAGTGGATGTTCAGCTGCCATGCTTGGAGTACCTGATTTTTTTCGGTCCCCAAAAATGGATTAGCTTCACCCTTCAAAATGGGGATTACCCTCTGGTAAACTAACGTAACTATGGAAAATCACCATTTTCAATGGGAAAATCCACTATTTCTATGGTCATTTTCCATAGCTATTTTGACATAACCAGAGGGTACCCCGGTATTTCCCATAACACTTGGAGATTCACCCTTTTAGCCCAGGAAAGCCGATGTGATGCCGTTGCACCGCGCACAACACCCCGCCGTGGGCATCATGCAGCGGAAATGGCACTCCATCAAGTTGAGCCTTGGGGTGAAATGGTTTCCTAAGTCATGGGGTTAGCCCCAAATCATCCATTTGTAGATGGGAGTTTTCCTCAAAAAACCATCCAGCTATTGGGGATACACCCATTTATGGAATCCAAGAAGCGGATGAAAGGCAAATCTGGCAGGAAACTCTTCTATTTGAACAAGAAAATCCGGCTTCTGGGGTGAAGATGTTCCTAAGATAACCAATCCAGTTATTGAAAGGCCAAGAACTGGGCAAGCATAGGTTTGTGTGTCTTAATTTTGGGGGCCTTACATGAAGGAGTGGTACGCACCTAGTAAGAAACGGCATACTTTGTGTCCCAGGGTTCGAAACTACCAACCTGCAGTGCGCATGAAGTACTGGCAGACTACAAGCAAAAAATGCACATCAGAAAAAAAACACGACAAAGGGAGGAGTTTTGGATGGTTCGGACCAGAGATAATTTAGTTTGGCCAAGTTTGGCTCAAATTCACCAATTCACCGGGGGTGTTTCATACATTTTCCGCACCAGATGATTTGACACTGTACCGCCCTGATCATATTCAGAGAGCAGACCTCTACAGGATCTAACATGTCTAATATGTCTAGCTGGTTGGTGGTTTGGAACCATGGAATTTTATGACTTTCCCATCATATTGGGAATGTCATCATCCCAAATGACTTTCACTCCATCATTTTTCAGAGGGGCAGGTATACCACCAACCAGCCATCACTCCATCATATTTTTCAGAGGGGTAGGTATACCAACCACCAACCAGATACTTATTGACCATCATTAACCATATATTAACCATTATATTAACCAGATAATGGTTGTAAGTTCTAGTTGTAACCATCATGTACCACTGGCGATGACTTTCGGCAGCCCGCCTTTGATCTTTTTGTCGATTCTTCCAGGGATCTTGGAGGATCATCCCATGGAGGGAGCCAAGGAGCTACTTAGAGTTTCCCAATCATCTAGTAGTAAGTATGAACTAAATGCACTTACGTTTCACAGTAAAACGTGTCGTTTTTGCCTTGATCCTTCAAGAATATCTAGAGCTTTTAGATGCTTGTAGGCTTACTTGATGGCCCCCGCATTTTGGATCATAGACACCTATGATTTCTGGTTCTGTTTCCCCGCTTCGCGAATCCATCAGGTGGGTCATTACAAAAGCATACCAACTGTCTCATGAAGTATCCCATAACCATAATTTATGGTTGGAAAGAACAAACAATCACAGTTCCACATTATGATTTTGATATGATTTAGATGTTATACTGTATTTTTGTCAAGCGCAATACCATGGATAATGGTTCTAGTGATGGTTTCCTTGGTAAATATCCAAATTCGGTTGATAATCAAATCTACAAATGATGCTGCACTTCCTTTGTAATCGATTGTCCGAATCCAAGTATCCACAAGGATAGATGAGATCTACCAACTTTTCGACATCTTTTGTTTGGGGTTGCTACATGCCATAAATTAATGGTTGGTAAATATCCCCAAGTTCCGTAGATGCCCCTGGACATCAGTATCATCAGTTGATAAAGCCAAATATTGCTTTCCCCAAGTTGTCCCAATTAGTTTTCCCTACAGTTTTCCCCATTAGTTGATTTCTATCCCCATTCCCAACATTTTCGGTCAGGAAATGTTTACATCACGTCGACTTCACCGACCCCCTGTGCCTCGCAATGCGGGACGCCGTGGAGGGACGCCGTGGATCGGATCGTGCCGGGAAGTAGTGGCTACAGTGGCTACAGTGGCTACAGTCATGTTCGGTTATAGGCCCTTGAAACTTGGAAAATATCACAGGATGTATATGGCAAATATCAAGATGATCCCAGCGAAATGTTTGGTGATGGCGACGATGACGATGGAGAGAGAAAGATCATGAAAGATCATTGCATCCGAACATATGTAAGTTGTGTAAGGGGAAATTCTGATTCGCCAGTAGATTTAGAGATTTGGTGCCTATGATATCTCCAAGACAGTCGTGACCAAGGTATCCTTTCGCCGAAGGGGCCGCCCACGTGAAGCCGCTTGGCTCTGTCAAACACTCGAATCAAGCAGGGCCTTGGGCATTGTGCTTTAGTTGGTTCTATTCTCCTACGAAGATGGGAATATTAGGTGTAGATGTTCCATATAAATTGAAACATATTTATATAATATATATATATATATATTAATATGTATACATATGTATATTTATTTATATATTTATTTATTTGTTTATGTTTTTATTTACGGAAAAAATTGAAACATACCTATGACATACCATATACAATCATTATATACAATTACATGGAAAACATTGGAAAAATACTGTAGACAATGTCATTTCGCAGTGCTGTTTGCCAACACTTTTGCATTGACGATGATCCCGGCGGATCCTCAAGGTGAGACCATGAACTGTTATGAGACCCTGAACTTATGGTTAGCTACGAGACCCTCAAGACATCTCAAGACCCTCACCATCATTTTCAACCATCTCCCCCCAGGGCCGAGAGTGGCATCGAATGTCAGTGGGTGGGCGATCTTCCGGAGTATGCGGGGCATTGCAAGATTTGCCCCGTTGCGAACGCGCTCAGAGGAGCGGGACGGAACGTCACCAGCGGTTGTTGAAGAAATGAGTTGCTAAGTGATGTTTTGTTATGTTTTGTTGGCCTCAAATCAGCACATGATATATATATATACATATATATTTACATATATATATAATTGATATATCACTATGGTCCGACATATCTAGTAATAAGTATCTATAAGTTCTATAGTTATTGGATGTTATTGGAGTATTGGACTTATGTTAGCTGGTCGTGCCGGTTGACACGTTCCCCCAACTATAGTTATGACCGCCTTGGAGGTGGCCTTTTCGTTTAGGCTAGGTTGAAGTTATAGGCCTCGGAAAAGGTCAAGATGGGTAATGTTACTCCCTTGGAAACCATGGTTTAGTAGGATATTTCCACATAATTGGGACCATTTATGGGGTGTTTAATACTAGGGTAATGCGATTAGTAAAGCAATGTCATAGACCCATTTGATGATCAATGCATGTCAATACCACCCATTTTTATCCATTCATGGTGAAATTGGGGATGGTTTACTAAACCCATACGATTTGATGCTTGGCACTTGTGGTTTAAAAACCATGTGTCCAAAACCAAGATGTGATGCGGGTTCATGCAAGAATTGGACGGAAACATGTCGGAACTATGCTTTTGCCGCGCCAGAATACCATGTGTTGGTAACGGTTGCTCTTTACTTTACACCTGAAATGATGTTGGGCAAAAACCATGCCTTGTTCCACAACACAAAGTATTATACTTCCAACTATATCCATGATTGATAGATTTACTATAACTAGTACCACTATTTTTTATATTTAGTGCTCTCAATAATATACAACTCCAACATAGTGCCGGCATGTTGCCAGTTGGGTGGCCACCAAGTGTTTCTTAGTTGGTATTGCTTTCAAAAAAAAACATCGTGACAATATTTCCATCACCTTCATTAAAAGTATAGTATACTATAGGTATATCCCCTTGGTCAACCATAGTTCATCGAGACAAAACGTGAACTTATAGCGATATCGTCCTACAGGAGTGCCTGACATTGGTTGATTAGGAGCCCATGCTGCGCCTCCGCCCATCAGCAATGGCAATGGCTACCATGAGGAAAGTGGTGGCAGCAGCCCCTTCGATGAGGCGTTCCAATCGGGAAAAAAAATGGTTATTTCACCAGCCTAAAATGGGGATGCCTATACCAACTATGGGGATTTTAGAGTGGTTTTCATGGGATGAATGGAGATTTAATATGATTTAATAGGATATGAATAAGATTCATCAAGAATCAAACGTGGATTGGACATCCCAGAACTAAAACTAGGTCTTGATGCGAAGATCATCAAAATTGGTGGATTTTCCTGTCATGTTTGTATCTACCGTTTATGGAAATTAAAACCAGAAATCATGTGCATCCCAGTTGTTATGTGGATATCCATGGATAGATGCGATATCTCCCATGTTTCACAGCCTATCAGATGTACACATCATGGGGCCTCCAACTATCCATGCCACCAGGCCGCCTCAAGGTTGGTGAGCGCCCCACATGTTTCTCATCCCAAGCTATTTGTTTATTTAGATCCTTCTTAAAATCCATGAAACATCTTGGAAAATGATCCAGAAGGAGGTTGAATCTGGTTGAATATGTTTTAGGGTGAGCAGATTTGGTCCGGTGGCTGTGGCCTGCCAGGACGATATTTGCGTGGCGAAGTATGACTTCGATGGCACCCCGGCACCAACCCTGCCCTGGTTCTGGGGAGATCGACAGGCTTAGAGTCTTAGAGCAAACCACTAAAAATGTGGCCGTTGGGGCACTCAAAAGTTGATGGTTTGCTACAAAACGGCCCAGTTGTTTCGATTGAAAAAGACTGTGACCTGTATACGTCGGCGGGAGTTGAATTTCTGTAATGTAAATGGAGTAATCATTTAAGTCCATTCTATTACAGTAATCTTGATATGCACTTGAACGATTGTAGATGAAATATGATGAAATAATATCCGAGATGGATTCAGGATCAACATAATTCAAATCAAATCATATTAACATATTGCTTCACACTGCCGGTGCCATGTCATTTTTTACACGCTTGCCACACGGGGCCTTCCCAACAGCCAATTTGGAAGCCGTTCAGCTTATTGCTGATGCGCCCAGATTTCCGTTGGGCTGCTTCATTTTGTTGCATATCTTGATCATTTGTGGTAATATTTCAAGCAAAAAAAAGTGTTGGTTGCTTTATCTTTTTTTTCCATAGCAGATCGGGAATCATTTGTTGGTTTACTCAGAAATCCCTTCAGCCTATGGCAGTCGTGCTTTTTGGCGGTTCAGGTGGGCAGAATCCTAAGTTGCTGCGTCTTTCGGCCAACGACATGGTTTCTTGGGCTATGTCAGGATGGGAGAAGTGTGTGAAGTGTCGTGGATTATCCCATTTATCCCATTTATAACTGGCTGAATTCATAGATTTCACATATCCCATTTATATAAGTGGCTCACAGCCCACAACCACGAAGCAGTTACAAACTGGGATGATTCTCCAAGATAAGGGTTCTAGCAGATTCTCTCCCCATTTTTCGGATGGGTTTTTAGGCAAATTCATGAAAAATTGCCTTATTTCAGGGTGAAGCATGCGGTGATGTTTGGAGAAAGCGCTTTGGGATAGCAAGTCATGGCGCAGATTTGGGAGTGTCCAGACATATCAGGGCCCAGCTGTGCGCGTGCCAGAATTGGTGCTATCAGCTGGGAGAACCATCCAAGTATCCCCATAAATCATCAACTGGTTGGTGGTTTGGAACATTTCGTTTATTTTTCCATGATATATTGGGAATAATAATCCCAACTCACGAACTCATATTTTTCAGAGGGATTCAAACCAACCAGCCATAAATCATCAAACATCCCTTGGTGAATCGCCCATGTCACGTGCGTCAAAACTCCCATACGCTGTTGGTGAAAACATGCGCAAACCCCCAAAAAAAAAGTCAAAAGTCGCTTCAGAACATCTAAGCAGACAGCAACCGACATACACTATATATAGTTATTAATATATATATATATATATATATATATTATATATTATATATATATATATATTATTCTATCTCCTGGTTTTCATGCCCTAGCTACTCTTTTTTTAGAGGCACAGCCCCATGCCTCAAGGTCAAGATCTATCGAACTGTGCCCAGCGGCTGGGCGGGCGGCATCTTACTTGCTCCTCGGGCGACGTTCTCACCGAAGTGCCTAGGGGTTAGTAAGTACCACAGTGGTTAATTAGTGGAGAATTTATAGAATGTTCCCATAGTTAATGAATTTTATAGTACCATAATGGTTTTCATAAGTTCCATGAGTGGTTAGTAGGCTGAATAACCCATGGTTAGTAAGTGCATCAACCATGAAATAAACATAGATTCATCCAAGAATCATCATAGTTAGCTCAGCTGGCCATGGATTGACTATCCAATACAGTAACCATGGTTAGTAAGTGACCATGGTACTTATTAACATGTTTACCCGTTGTTTTTGGAGGATTTTCATGTTCACTTGGAATGATGTTAACAGCAATGGGAAGTAAGTCCCCCATTTCATGGGCTATCCAACCTACAAATTATAACCAACTATGGTTAGTAACAGTGCCAGTTGACGCCCCCACAAACACGATAGCTAAGTTGAGGCACATAACTTGGTTGTGTAGGCTTGATCAGGGGGATATTACGGACTAGCTTTCATTCGCGGTTTACAAGCCAACTTATGACTGAGGGACCTCATCTTGTTGTATGAGATATTCCTCTAGGAGTTTAACGTAGCTATTGAAAACGGCCCATTTATAGTTGATTTACCCATTGAAAATGGTGATTTTCCATAGTCATGTTAGTTTACCAGAGGGTATTCCTCAATCGAAACAAAACAATGGTTTTCGTTCCCAACAGCACTGACTGTTGGGTTTCAACCATTGGGTCTGTGAGTGTTGCATTGCTTTTTGGTCGACCCTGAAAACCGTAACGCAACCCTGGAACCTGCTGTTGGGTGGGATGGGATTGGGATCATCAAAATGGTGGTATTAAAATGTATTAAACTTATCCAACAAAATGGGGTTCGATTTCATGCCTTAATTAGTTAAGCACATCAGAAATTCAATGGAGTGGAACACACGGAAAGAACATCTCAGAAATGGGCCACCTTCTCACCTTCAGCCTCTGGGAACCGGAGATGGTGAATCGAGGCGTTCCTTGTCATGTTTGAAGTGATCCCGTCTTGTCCCAGTGCTTGAGTTTGATAGTTACCCTCTGGTAAACTAACATAACTACGGAAAATCGCCGTTTTTCATGGGGAAAATCATGGAACATCCACTATTTCAATAGTGATTTTCCATAGTTGTGTGAACGTTTACCAGAGGGTATCTAATGTTAGCTATACTTGGCCGATGGATTTCCACCAGATAATTTTCCCAAGACGAAGCCAATGGACTGAAGATCTCAGGATAAGACCATGGAGGAAGTGGGGCTTCCTGGCTGCTTGGCTGCACCCGGACCTTGGGGGAAAGCCCATTGAATTCCGAGTGGTAATCTAAGGCCGAAAAATGATCCATGTCATTCCCGTTTTTTTGGCTGATTGACTTGCAAAGAGCTACTGTAGTCCATGCTATTTCTATATGGAGGAGTTCCTAGAATGGGGGTACCCCAAATCATCCAAGTCATTAGACTCATTAGAGCATTTTTGTGTTGAAACCCGTGGTGACTTTGGGATCCCTCATCGCACCGATCTGTGGAGCTAGCGGTCGATTCCAGGATGGTTTCCCATGAAGTATGTGGAGCTATACAAGGAGTCGATGCAGTCGCCCAAAACTGGGACCTGTTTTTTTTGGAGAATCACTCTTCTACCATACTTGGGTGCAGTTGTGCTTAGTGACTAGACTAGGGGTGACTAGGGCAACTATCCTAACCTCCCGAAGTTAGGAATGCTCCAGAAACCTCGGTTGAGGCCCCCATGTTGCTGTCCAGGGTATGTAGACCTACCATCCAGTAAAGTGACATAGCTATGGAAAATGGTCCATGATGGTCCATGTATATATTTAGAGGTGATTTCTATACCTCTAAAAATGGTGAGTTTGAACAGTTACGTTAGTTTACTAAAGAGTATAGAGTATAGAGGTTGTAATTATTCATCTTTGGGCGGAGTAGTACCACCGTTTTTGAAAATCTGGCATTGTGTGTTGTAATAATTCATGCGCGCGCAGGGTTGTCCACAAGCAAACCGAACATCTGAAAATATCAGTTATGCACGCCATATCCAGCAGTTGAACATTGCATGTCGAATCATTTTCTCAACAAGCACGTATCCGTGACAAAACTATCTCCTAAATGACTTAAAGACATTTAACAAGAAGTATAAAGATGTCTAAAGCACATAACTTCAGAAATTGCTCATTTATGTGGTATTTCAGGACTTGATAAATATGCATATATATATATAATATTGTGTGTGTAACTATATATATATTATAATATTGTGTGTGCAAATATATATATACATATATATTATAAACAATATTGTAAACATAAATATTGTATAAATATTGTAAACACAATACAATTATACCTATATATAATATCTATAGTAAAACAAGTGCCTAGTGCCTAGCGGGTCCTAATGAGTCCTAGCAGTTTTTACGCAGCGCAGGACGGGGAGAACATCGCTTGATTTGCCCAGCGGGACCAGTGTCCCATCCGATGGGCGGATGAGTCGCGGGCGGTGGCGTCGCGTCAAGAAGTCAGGTTCCCAAATGAGGAGCCGACTCGTTCCCAGCTGCGGGGCGGTTGAAAAAGAAGCATCACACAATATAGCCTATACAATAGCCATATGTATGGCATGCTATGGCTAAGGTATGTTTTTTTCTCCGGTTTCCATTGTGAATCTTATGAATGTTTATGATATATCCAACTGCAGTAGTTGATGGGGGCAACAACAACCAAATTTAGTCACATGTGACCTTCTGATCGCATATTTGGGTAGAGCTTTGATATGCTCTGGTGAAAGGATGGTTTGCGAACGTGTTAAAAAAAAACATAGAACTAAACTGCATAAGTAAGAGTTGTTTTGGCTTCGCAAGGGATCAGTGTAATTTGCCATTGATTTCACCATCGATTTCACCATTTTTCACCATATTTCGCCCCAGGCGCGTTCAGTCCGAGGTGTCCAGTTTGACGTGTGTCCTAGATGCGGAAAAGGCCATGGGGTCCGTTCCGAAAATGATCAACATTTATGGTGGGTAAACTCCACATCTTCAGGAGTCTATAGCAGAAAAAAAAACACCTCCTTGTCCTCCAAAGAAGATGGTGTTGAGAGGCCAGAGAATGGATATTCTGAAGATTAATGATAGGACTGCACCAAACCAGGATTCAGAATGGCAGCAGAGAAATTCCTGAAATAGCAAAGAAACCAAATGATACATTCCAAATCATTCCAAGACTCAGAGGTAGAGAGCACCAGCACTGCCCCGCACATCGCCCCATGTGTATAGCTCTGTGCGGTTTTGATCACGTGAAGAACACGGCTGTCTTCGCCGCGTTCGACGCCGCTGATGGTGAAATACTGTCGGTCTTTGCTAGCTGCTAGCTTGAAGTTCGCTGTCATTGGCCGGGACCGGCTGCTTGCCAACAACCATGGCACGTGGTTCGCATGTGAAACTAGTAGAAATTTGGCAATTGCTGGACATCCTTGAAGATTTTGAATCAACCATATACCTGGTTTTGCCAAATTGGGTGGCTTTACAATTCCTGAGAAATTGGAGTTTCTCCTGGGATAAATTTTAGAGTTCAGTACTAGGAAGCGAATTGCTGTGGTGTCAAGCCAAAAGTTTCGAAGTAGCAATTACGTTTTTTCCCCGGAGACGAAAGATGGATTTTCATGAGCTTTCCATTTCTATCCATGTTAAAATGTTAAGTTTCCGTCTGTAGACTTATAGAAATGGATAAAATGAAAGAAGCTCAGTAAAACACTGTCACGTTTCCATGTTTTCATGATGGAAGTTGGTTGTTTCTTGATGGAAGTTGGTTGTTTCCTTGTGTTCCAAGTACTAAATACACCTGCAATGCACGTGAAAGTCTAGCAAGGAGACAACCCAGCATAGCCCATTTAATTAAGTTAGTTTCGCATGTTTGTCGTTCATCCAAGTCCAATTAATTTAATCAGCAGTCATCAGCAACCATCAGCAATCATCAGCAATCTACCCTCTGGTAATTTAACGTAGCTATTGAAAATGGCCATTTATAGTGGATTTTCCCATTAAAAATTGTGATTTTCCATAGTTATGTTAAATTACCAGAGGGTAGATGACACAAATGTCCCTGTCCAACCCTCTCCGAACATGGAACATGATGGAACCCAGGCACTTTGAAGCCCCGCGGTCCCTGCCATTCACCGTTCCGTTTGCATCAATCGGATTTCGCGTCGATTTCGCGGCACGCTTGCAGCGCTTCCTTTCTTCCTTATTTTGACTTCAGAACTTGCAGTGGAAGAGAGGACGTCTGCAGGTCTCAGCAAAGGGTTAAGAGATGAAAATCATGAAACAAACAAGCATTTTAACAGAGTGTCATGCACCATGATTAACTGGTTGGTGGTTTCAAGCATATTATCCTGCTTATTGCTGATGGGATTGTGATTCGTGATCCCCAAGTGACTGGGCCAGGGTGTTGAACCACCAGCCAGTTTCAGGTTGTGAAAAAAACAGCATCATGTGCACATCATATTTGCAAGAACCGCCGTTGCTAGTGGAGGTTGACCAAACAACTCCACGGAAAACCCTAACCAACCGCTTGAACCAATTTGTTATCAGCTCCGGCTGATGTTGCCACGTTGCCTTAACAAGTCGCGGTAAAAACCATGGCTGAGCCGCTGAGCGTGCTGTGTGATGGTGACTTCCCCCAACGAGAAGTCGACCAGTCGAAAACCTGAAACGATCACATTCCAATGGTAAAATGGAAGCAATGATAGGGGCCACCAATGTTTGACATTGTTTATTATTCTGACTAAAATTCATCCAACTTCTAGGGAGGAAACAAATGCTTCACCATTCCCAAAGCCGTCGTTCCGAAAGGAAACTAACATGTTGTTTCATGAAACACATCTTGAAAACTTGCCCCTGCTTCAGGTCGGTGAACAAAGGATTTGCCTTGTGGTGAGATCCTAGTACTTATATAACTTATATATGTTGATCATTGTTGATCTGTGAGTCTATGTTGATCTATTTTGAATTTCCAGCAGCCCAATGATGGGACCTCAATTCCAATGGTCACTTAACAGAAGTCACTCCGATACAAGCTGATGACATACCAAGATGTGTACCGGGTCGGAGCAAGAGCACTTGAAATCAATGCTGGTCCAAGAAAGATTGGGATATTAGTAACCCCCCAACAAAGAGGTCTTTTTCGTGTGCCACCTGACCCCACGGAAACCATGGTTGTGTAGGGGATGTACACATATGGCAGTGTGTCAAATCCTTGTACCCCTTCTGTTCACATCAAAATAGCTGGGATTTATGGATGTTCATTCCCCTAAAAATGGTATTTTCATAGGTATTGATCCATACCCATATGGGAACCATTACATAATTGGAGTTTAACACTAGGGGGGTGGGATTTCATGCGTATACTCCTACTTGGGATGTTTTACTATACCCCCACTGGTTGACAGATGTGGAGAACGCTATCCCACATTACTTGATGGGTTTGGCGGTTATACAAATGCTGTGAAAATCTAATCATTATCTAATTAGAGGATCTATGATCTATTGCAATATCTATATTTTTTTACCATCTAATATCCAATCATCATTATCTAATGATGAATTGACATCTTCGCCAATGACAATGCCTTTTTTGCAGTACTGCAGGAGGTTCCTGCGAGGTGAAGCGTGCCTAAGGTGACAATCCAAGAATCATCGCTATGGATTGACTATCCAATAAGAATCAGCAAACCCTCTGGTAAACATACAAAAAGCCATGGAAAATCACCATCTTTACTAGGTAAATCGTGGTAAATCAACTATACTTGTGCATACTTGTGCCATTTTCAATAGCTATGTAACAAATTACCAGAAGGTAACTATGTTTCCAAGGGGATGTAACTCCAGTGGCTTTTGCCAGGCGAGGCACTTGTTTACGATAGCTAAATTGACGCAAACGACTTGGTGAGTTCTATGGTTTTTGGGATATATATACAAATATATATAGTTATACTTATATATATATACATAATCATCTTGAAGTAGATAGAATATGGGATTTCACACACATTCCCAATTTTGTGAAGATGTTTGACAGTTCCATATTCAATCTACTTCAGAAGGGCTATAAATCCTTTGTAAATGTAGATTTTAATGGTATAATCCCATTAAAAATGGAAGATTTTCCATTGCCTACATGTATTAACTAACAAAACTATAAGGAAATGTTTGAAATTCCTAATCCAATCTAGTCATATATATATATATATATACAGTCTCTAACTATCATAGGAGTTTAAAACATCACTTGGACACCGGATCCCAAGGTTTGACTCCCCTCCCTGCGTGGCCTGCGACTTCCAACGCCGGCGGAAAGCCCTCGGCCGCGGGATCTCAGGGATCGGGAGGATTCTTCGGGTGGAAAAAAGGGTGGATTGGAAACCTCCAAGAGTCTGTTTGGTGCTTTCCAAATGCTTCAAATATGGGATGATTGGGATCATATTTCGACCCTACTTGGGATGATTGGGATGATTGAAATGACGAAGTTTTTTTTGTTTGGGATGAGTTACTGTAAAAGTAGCAACGAAAAGAATACAATGTTCCTTGTACTTGTCCAGTTTTCTTGAAATCAGTGCCTGATCTATTTTTAGGGGGTAGAGTAGATTGAGTAGATGAACTCGGGGGTTAGCAAGTGGGAACCTGTCATTACCACGGTAAGGTTTGATTGGGTGAGTTTTTCAATGATTTACCAGGCATATTTCTCAGGATCATGGAGATTCATGGAGATTCGTTACGACTCGGTGTTGTGGTGACCTAAGACGAGTTCACCGAGTTAACTAAAGTGCTGAGATGGATGCGGTTTTACCATGTTGTACCATATTTCACCCAAATTTCCTGTATCCAGCAAAAACTAGGGGGTCAACAGAAAAACAAAAGCAAATGCTGGGAACAATCAAGTGAAGTGATTGGATCGTGTATGATATACTACGGCATAGTGACTGCATTTGCCCGCAACAAGTTTTCCCCGAACCTGTACCACAAATTGCCTGTGGTATCGCACCAGTACCGTTTTGGTTGGAAATCACACGTTTTTTGGATAACGTCTCCATTTTGCTCTAATGTGTCTTGGCTTCAAACCCAAATTCTTCCATGATGCAACATGGTTTCATGGCTCCCTCCCCTCCCAGATTTTTTATCATGTCAGATCCTGAAAATCCTGATTCCTGTAGGCTCAACAAGAAGCTCAAACCCCATAGCTGTCATCAATTTTAGATATATAATTACACCCCCCAAAGTTCTCCAATCTCTTCAGGTTACCCTCTGGTAATTTAACATAGCTATTGAAAATGGCCATAGAAATAGTGAGTTTTCCCATTAAGCATGGTGATTTTCCATAGTTTTTTGTATGTTTACCAGAGGGTAGTCATTGAACATGCCAAAATCTTCCATGGTAACATCCCATGGTTTTCCACCGGAA